TTCCCGCCGCATTCAGTGTTCATGGCGGGAAGTATGTCATCAGCGGGAGCGAAGATACGAAGATATATATATGGGACTTGCAATCACGTCGAGTTCTACAGGTTCTGGAGGGCCATAGAGGTTTGCCGCTTCCATGCATCGCTTCGCTCATCACACTTACATGCGCTAGATACTGTGCTTGCGTTAGCAGTGCACCCGAAGAAGGCTTGCATAGCAACGGCGTCAATGGAGAAGGACTTGTCTATACGGCTGTGGTTCGACGAGTCGGCGCTTCAGGATGATCTCGCTATGGACGTTCAGTAGTCATCTGCCTGATACCTATATATTCTTAATTCATTTCGGCATATGCGCGTGCCATAAGTATCGGACACTACGTGTTATTAGAGACAACTTGTGCTGGATTGTGCTGGCGTTTCTAGCACCGACCGGAATGTTTGAGTCAACAAAGCTGTGTGGGCACCGGTTCCGGGATCCGACGGTGTGCCGTGCTTATAAGCCGGGGTCGCGATTGTGCCCCGCATCCTCGTTCACCTGAACGACCACCGCCCGCCCTACCACTACACTTACACCCAGCTTTTCTCTCTCCTCTCACTATGCAGATCTTTGTGAAAACGCTCACTGGCAAGACTATCACCCTTGAGGTCGAGTCGTCCGATACCATCGATAACGTGAAAGCCAAGATCCAAGACAAGGAGGGCATCCCTCCCGACCAACAACGCCTCATTTTTGCCGGCAAGCAACTCGAGGACGGACGTACTCTGTCTGACTACAACATCCAGAAGGAGTCCACCCTTCACCTTGGTGCGTACAGCCCTGCCGCTGCTTTCCGAACATGCTTACTCATCTCGCGCCACAGTCCTCCGCCTTCGTGGTGGCATGCAGATCTTTGTGAAGACGCTCACCGGCAAGACCATTACGCTTGAGGTTGAATCGAGCGACACCATCGACAATGTGAAGGCGAAGATCCAGGATAAGGAGGGCATCCCTCCGGACCAGCAGCGTCTCATCTTCGCCGGCAAGCAGCTTGAAGATGGCCGCACCTTGTCCGACTACAACATTCAGAAGGAATCTACTCTCCATCTCGGTAAGCTCTCGTCTCTCTCCCATATTTGAACTAGCGCTTATCACGTGCCACAGTTCTTCGTCTCCGTGGTGGCATGCAAATCTTCGTGAAGACGTTGACGGGCAAGACAATCACGTTGGAGGTCGAGTCGAGCGACACCATCGACAACGTGAAGGCAAAGATTCAGGACAAGGAGGGCATCCCGCCTGATCAGCAGCGCCTCATCTTCGCCGGCAAGCAGCTCGAGGACGGCCGCACGCTCTCCGACTACAATATTCAGAAGGAGTCGACCCTTCACCTTGTCCTTCGCCTGCGCGGTGGCATGCAGATCTTTGTCAAGACGTTGACCGGGAAGACAATCACGTTGGAAGTCGAGTCCTCGGATACTATTGACAACGTGAAGGCCAAGATCCAGGATAAGGAGGGGATTCCGCCTGACCAGCAACGCTTGATCTTCGCAGGCAAGCAGCTTGAAGACGGACGGACTCTTTCGGATTACAACATTCAGAAGGAGTCCACGCTGCACCTCGTCCTTCGCTTGCGTGGTGGGCTTTGAGTTGTCGTGCTATCGCGCTCGCTATGTAGAACCTGTAGTCTATACGCCCAGCTTTGTATCATCACCCGCCCTCATGGTCGCAGTTCACGTATCATCATTTTATGACACTTTGGATTAAAGTCGCACTATACATCCCGCGATTGGTACATAACCTGGCCTCAGCGCGGCGTGTCACCGTGTGACGCGACGCGTCCACGGAAGGCTTAGGTAGTTCGGTTACCAGAGGTGTGTTTGAGTGCAACCACGACGCGTTTCTTACTACGCGGCTCCTCTAGGCTCCGGCTTGCCACTTTCTCCGATGTCTCCCTGCTGGAGCGATGAAGAGAGCTCGGATGATACCTCGTCAGATGAGTCGCCGTCGGCTGGGATGGATGTGGACACGACCGTATGACAAGACCCGCGCTTTATACGGACCGTCGCTGACGGCGCTACAGACAGCTCCACTTGGGACTTCAGGCGCAGCTGTCGGTGCCATAACAGACGTTGACAATACCTCCGCGGTGGCTGGTCAAGAAGGACTAGGTGACATCAATGTGAAGGTGCGCACGCATGCGCGCTATCCGAAGTAGCCTCGGTATTGAGTGCTAGCATGTAGGACGAACTCATGAAAGCGTTCAACGCCTCCAAGAAGACGTTCAAAGGGACGTATGCCACGCTCCAAAAGTATGAAACCATGCCCAATCCTCTGCTCGACATCGACGGCCTAGGCGTCTTCGGCATGCCTCTTTCAGCCGCGGAGTCTCAGAGGTTACGCTCGCGCTGCAATCCTGCAGCCTTCGGGAAGGGCGAACGCACAGTATTGGATCCCAGTGTCCGTGATACATTTGAGCTCGACGCTTCTTGCGTTCGTTTTTTGAACCCGGCCTGGGAAGTGTGGTTACGGGAGGCTATGCAGAGTGCGTGCAACGAGCTGGGGCTCGCAGGACGAAGTCCTCGACATGAGCTCTATAAGTTGTTGGTATACGAGGTTGGATCCCAGTACGTAATCTCTACATCTGCCACGGGAGCGCTGTGACTGATTATTGCGATCCAGCTTCCATCTTCATCAAGAGTGAGTAACCTATAGACAGCATAGATCCGTCTTCGACTTAACTGAGTGCTTTAGCACCGAGAAGGCACCCGGCATGTTCGCTACGGTTGTCATCGTCCTTCCTTCTCAACATGAAGGCGGCTCCGTTCATGTCCAGCACGGACGCCAGCGCAAGACCCTACAGTCTAGTGGGCAAGGTCTTCTTACGACGACAGTCATGGCTTGGTATACAGGTGTGCTATTCTATATGTGTCCGCGCTCAGTCACCAACCCTATGCTCCCTTTCAGACGTCTTCCACGAAGTCAAGCCTGTGACTGGCGGGTATCGTGTGGCTCTCACGTACAACCTCATGCACGACCCCTCTATGCCGGACATCCCTCGCGCTCCTGCTGACGACGGCGTCTTCGACCAGATACAAGAAGCCTTACAATTGTGGCACGTCAAAGAACTCCTGGGACAGAAGCGCCCTAAGCGCCTCATCCATGCTCTATCCCATCACTACTCGGAGGTGAACCTAAGCTTCTCGCATCTCAAGGGGCCGGATGCCACGCTGGTCTCGCTGCTTCGCGACGCAGCAAGCATGCATGGCTTCTATGTGGCTCTCGGACACCTTAGCTATACAGAAAAAGGCTACGGCAACGACAATGGTCCGCCTAGTGACTCGGAGGAGGAAGAAGAGGACCCTGGCATGTGCGAGGTCACTAAGACAAGGCTCACTCTACAACTCAAGTCGGGCTTCAACGGAGCCGACATCGGTCGTGATAAGAAGATCTCTAACAAGTCCAAGAAGAACGATGATCTTATGATGGACGATGAATACTGGGATAGGCAGGAACCCGACGACACAGAGTATGAGGGATATATGGGCAACGTGCGTGCGGGCCTTGTCTACGTGTCGTTTTACTCACAGGTTGTCAGGGTGCCGGCAGCCTGGAGTACTGTGAGCACTTCTACACTCGATATGGCTTGACAGGCCTAATGCTGACACAATATACAGTCTATCACCGTACTGTTGTGGCTATCTGGCCACTTTCGCATAATGCGTCCCTCATATCTTCGGCCGGTGGCCGCGATTTCATAATAAGCGAACTAGAGCACTGCACTTCGACAGAGCCTAGTCCTGTCGAGCTGTCTTACATCCCAATTGCGCTGACTGCGGGCACTTCCGATGTATCTTGTCTTATCGCGGGTCTGGCGATCCGCTGGAAAGACCGCCAGATGTGGCTCAACGCTCTCAAGGCTTGTAAAGGTGACAGGAACATCGCAGTTCTGGGGACGTCGCGTGTTCTCACGGCTCTCGAGGTTTTCGGATTCGCGGGAATACAGGAAGCGTAGGTGTTCAGGGTTTAGCATCATATCCTTACTCACCCTTAGGACATAGACTGGACCTGGTTGTGTCGAATACGATGTCAACGAAGAGTCGCCTAGACTTCGTGAACGCTCTGGAGAAAGACAACGTACATCGATCCGACGTAGCGAGGATACCTGCGAAATGGTTCGATGACAAAAGGCGCTACATACTTGCTTCGTTACGATATCCTCAGGATGAGGATGTAGCTGCCATGGTGAACACGGTGGTGGCGTTCCCAGACGGGATAGCAATACTCCGCGATACGTGAGTACACATGCATTCAACATGACATAACCAATTACCTATTTCCCCTGCAGACTCTTGCCGCAGTTGGTAGCCTTGCATCTCTTGTATGACTGGTGGTTCGAGTTCGTGAGCCAACTGCAAGCATGGGTGGAAAGCCAAGGGACGTTCTCTGGGTGGAAGGGACCTGTGTTCAATGCAGCGAAAACAACGTTAGTCTCGCTCGAATGTTCAACTCCTCTCATGATGACGATGGGCTTTTTAGCTTCTCGCAAGCGGTGCAACACGCCCCCTCTAATCAGGCGCGATTCAAGTTACTCGCTGATCTGGAAGGCTTGTGGGTGTCGTACGAAGACGCCCAGACCTGGGTTCTCGAGACCCGAAAGTCGGCCGTGCATGACCTATGCCAGCCCGCTCCCGGCGATGCTGCATTGCTGATGACCTTTGTACGCACGGAGCCTCACTATCTGGAGACTGTGTGAGTACCTATCAATCTAGCCAATATTTGACCAGTACGCTGATTGTGATCGACTAGCTTGATACCGACTCTGGCACGGATGCAGTACGTCGAGGAGTTCTGGCTTGATCTACTAGAACAGTTGCGGTCGTACTCCGAGGAGGCAAATCAACTCTTACCTTCTCAATGGGATCAACAGGTATCAGATCTGCTGCGCATCCCGTACGTTCTGTGACTTACTGCATCGATCATGTCTGACGGCTGTACAGTCTCTCGCGCGCGCGAGCGAAGACTACGAGTAATAGTGAAGCATTCCGTCTCATTGAACGTTTCTACGCTATCTGTGACAGTCTCGATCCGATGATTGTTATGCTCTGCGAACAGAAACGGGACGTTCTACGCTCGATGAAGCGCCCCAAAGAAGATGACATTCCTTTGCTCCTCGATGTACTCAAACTCGATCAGGAGTTCGCCCTATCACAGTACGCAGCCTCTGCAGATATGATCCATATACTTGTTGACCTTTTGGTGCTAGGTTCTCGTCACGGCTTGGTGCATTCCGCCTGGATCTTGCGCTTTGGAGCGGATTCGTACATGGGGTTCGTGCCCGTGCGGCAGACTGGACCCAGTCTTCGTGGACCCAGGAGCAGATTCAACGACTTCTCACCTTGCTCGTGACCGAGGCCGTCTCCACTATCCCACTCCCCATCGCCAATGCGCTTACGACTGGTGTCGCCCAGCCGGTGAAAAGCCTCTTCACGGTAACCGTCCAGGCGCTACTCACGCTTTGCGCTGAGACGGACAATATTGCAGTGTGCTCTTCAGTCTTCCGGAAAGTTTTTGCGGCATCCTCTTCAGCGGTGAGTTGGAGTCTATATGCCATGTAGCTCGAAAGTGCTGATGTCTGTCCATTAGGACACTGTCAAGTCTCACATCTTACCCCTCGTTCCTGTCGTCATCGCGTTCGCGAAGGGAAGAGGCCTCACCATCGAACAGAATCCATTCGACAAGTTCTTCCGCGAGACTATCCGACTCTACGTGACTCTCATTCTAGGGAAAAGGCCCAGCCCGGCAGACAGCGAGCGGTGGCGGAAGTCGCTTTGCTCGACATGCTTGTGTTACGACTGTAAAGCTGTCAATGCTCTCATCGTATCTCCGCAACAGGAGATCATGTGGGCCTCTGGACAAAAACGTCGCAAACACGTCGAGCGCGAAATCAACACCAAGAAGGGCTTGAAAATCAGCACAAGTTCTGGGGGTTACCCTCACAAGCTCGTGGTAACGAAACTCGTCCATGAATACGACCCCGTCTCCCTCTGGACCGAGAAAGCCAAGGCTGGTGCCGCATTTCTAAAGACCTTTGGAGAAGACGACATTCTCCAGCGGCTGTATGCTTCTGCGCCTGGCCGACTGTCTATATTGATGGATTGTCTTCGAGGCAACGCTTCGCCATCATCCCTCGGAGGCTCTGAATACGCAGAGCAGGCAACGATTACGTCCGTTCTTGCAACACCTCTCACCGCTACAGACTCGGCGCCGGCGGGCACATCGTCTGTCCCACGTAAACGACCTCCGCCTTTGCCCAACCCGGAGGACGTCATCGAGATCTCGGACTGAACAATCTCTGTATCTTCTGCTTTATTTGCTCCATCTTGTCCGTTATGTCAAAATTGTCATAATGCTACACTACTTCATACATAGATATATTGCCGAGGGCAAGACCCGAGGTTATGCTGGTTGCCAAGCGAACAAACGTTGTGGCGGTTGAGCTTAACATCCTAGGACCTCGGGTATGATGAACATCACTGCGACGGGGTTGACACTTCTAATCGCCCGCCGCGTAAGCAGAGGCTAGTATCATACACCCCAATCGTAGCTTTTGGTCTTGCGCGTTCTGTCACGAGCGTGACACGACGCGAACAGAGCCGATCCATTCGGGGCAGGCTTTCACGTCAACCGCGACAACCGGTCGTGCGCATCCGACTCTTCACCTGGACTGGATCGAATCGACCGGCTAGCCATGTCAAAGGGTGTGCCCATGGCTGTAGATGACCTCGACACTACGCATGCGGTTCAGCCCGAGCGCGCTGTCGCAGACGCGTCTACAGCTACTGTGTTGACCCCGGCAAGTGTCCAGTACTGTAGAGAAGCTTCGCCTCTGGTTCTGATACCCGTCAAGGCCCATCAGACACGAGATGAAAACAACCTTGACGAGGATGCGAATCAAGGTGGCAGCATGCAAGAAGGACGAGACGACGAGTCTATGGCCAGCGCGCACGGCGAGGTGGAGATTGTAGACGATTCGGCCCTTGTGGAGAAAGAGGCGGCGACAGAGCTTGCCGAGGGAGAAGATGCATTGGAGATGTTGGACATCAAGGTGCGCATTCTACTTTACCCGACCCCTCTCCCATACTGAGGTACGCGAGCAGGAGTCTATCAAGAGCGCCTTTGCAGCATGCGAGTCCGGGTTTCAGGGGACGTACGCGACCTGGCAGAAGTACCCGTCCGCGCCAAATCCCTGCATGGACATTGACGGATTAGGTCTTCTCGGGTTACCTCTTTCAACGACGGAGGCCGGGAGGTTACGTGTGCGATGCAACCCCGCCGCCTTTGGTAAAGGAGAACGCACAGTCATCGACACCAGTGTTCGTGATACATCCGAGCTTGACGGCGCTCATATTCGCTTTCTTAATCCGCTCTGGGATACTTGGGTGGAAGAAGCTGTGTTGAAGGCTTGCGAACAGCTTGGCGTGACAGGCAAGCGGGTCCGTCATGAGCTGTACAAACTCTTGCTGTACGAGACCGGTTCACAGTGAGTAGCCACACTCTGTGGGGAGGTTGTATGACTGACGCGAAGACTGGTCTAGTTTTCATATGCATCAAGAGTGCGTTCCGAGAGCAATGGCGGGCGCTCCTGCTTCCTGAGCACTGATGACTTGGCAGCACCGAGAAGAGCCCCGGCATGTTCGCTACTGTCGTCATCGTACTACCGTCTCCACACGAGGGAGGTTCTGTCCACGTCAAGCATGGTCGCCAGGAGAAGATGCTGGATGCGAGCGGGGAAGATATTGCTACGACGTCCGTTTTGGCGTGGTATACTGGTTCGCAATCGGTCATTCTGTCTCACTGCGGTAGCTGTATATAACAGTGTTCTTCTAGATGTCTTTCACGAAGTGAAGCCCGTTACGAAGGGCTTCCGACTGGCGTTAGCATTTAACCTCATGCATACCGGCGTTGATGTGCCCATCCCTCGAGCGCCCGCCTTCGATACTGTGTTTCAGGAGCTGGAAGAAGCTCTCTCTGCATGGCATGCCAGGGACGTCCTCGGTTATACCTGTCCCAAGAGGCTCATCTATGTCTTGTCGCATCACTACTCGCAGGCAAACGTATCTTTTGTACACCTCAAGGGCGTCGACAGCACACTCGTCAATCTCCTGCGAGAAGTAGCAGAGCAAAGAGGATTCTGTGTTGTGCTGGGGCATCTCACATACTGTGTCGGTGGCATGGCGGATGACGATTATGGTGGGCGCTGGGGCAACAACGATGTATCAATGGGCGAAATCAACGATACCGTCCTGAGCCTTCAGCTCATCTCGGGTACGACCGGCATCAACATTGGGCGATCGCAAGAGATTGAAGCCCGCTATGATGGTGACTCTGACTACGACGAAGAGGAGGCTGATGAGGCCGAACTCCTCATCGATAAAGAGTACTGGGATAGCCAGCGACCGGACAAAAAGGATTACGAGGGGTATCAAGGAAACGTGAGCGCACTCGTGTCGATCCGGGTTTAATCTCATTCTTAACCATGACATTCAGGGTGCCGGTAGCCTTGAACTATGTACGGTTCCTCGTCATCTTGGAGCACGGTATGTGTACTGATAGTCCCGACAGTCTATCATCGAACGGTTGTGGCTATCTGGCCCGCATCCCAGAATATCTCGGTAGTTACGTCCGTGGGTGGACGAGACATTGCCATTGTTGAATTGAAGAAGTGCGCATCGTCGCACCCGACAACGACAGACCTGAGCAACGTCTCTTTGGCATTGACTTCTGGTACGCCAGACGTCGCATGTCTCGTCGCTGACCTGTCGATACGATGGAACGACCCCGCGCTATGGCACGACGCTCTGAAGTCCTGCAGGGGCGAGAGCGATATTGAGACTCTGGGCATGCAACGGGTTCATACTGCCTTGAAGCTATTCAAGTTTTCTGACATGCAATCGGCGTATGTGGCTCTAGAGCGCCTGTCAGATTTCTGGGACCGCGTCGTACTTACAGCCTCTTTCCATCAGGCTAGAGGCTATCGTATCCAAAACAATGTCAACTCGCAGACGTCTTCGCTTCATCGACGAGATATCAGCCTGCTTTGACGACGACGATGCGGAAGCAGCACTAGTGCCGTCCGCATGGGCGGGAGAAAAGAGACGCTATATTCTATCATCACTGCGAACGCCAGAGCTCGACGACATTAGTCCCATGGTTGAACTCGTCATATCCTTTCCCGATGCAGCGAGTTTCTTCTGCGATACGTCGGTCATGCCATCACCCAACCTGTCTACACTTAACACTGAATTTATCTGCCCAGGGTACTTCCTCAGCTCCAAGCGCTGAATCTTTCTTATGCATGGTGGATGACATTCGCTGACAGCTTGAGAACGTCCGAAGGCGCTGCTGCCTCTCTTTCGACTTGGGAGTCGTCTGTCTTTGCAATTTCAAAAAAGATGTACGTTGCCATGTTGATCGCGCCGCATCCGCTGCTCACCATCTTCTATATAGCTTCGAAAGGACACTTTTGCATTTGCCATCTAATAAAGCACGCTTCGCGCTTCTTGACGAGCTGTCGCGTTCGTGGTCGTCACTCAATGAAGCTATTGTCTGGGTGAACGAGACTAGGGAGTGGGCGATCCAGAACATCACCTGCCCTACCGCCGATGATGTGGACCTCATTGTGTCACTCGTGCGCACGAGACGGGATTTCTTCTCCACAATGTGTGTCTCATTGTTGCTGGATATGATGAATAGCTCATAAAGCCGCAGTCTATGCCCGACACTGCAACGGGTGGATTACGTAGATCAGTTCTCACCAGGACTTATCAACCAACTTCAGCAGGTACATCGGGAAGATGGCAGCTTGCTTCCAGAAGACTGGGCCACTGTTGTCGCGGACGCCCTCCGCTCACCGTACGTGATCTATACGATGTCGTCTGAATCATGCGCTGATGTTGACGCCCAGCCTCTCGAGAGCGCAAGTGCAAGCAACTAGCAATGATCAAGTGTTCACAATGCTCGATCATCTAGCGAACGTCGGTCAAGATCTTGAAGCTCTGAAGCTCGTCATTCGGGAACAAAAATGCTACGCTATGCGTAATCTCAAGAAGCCAGCTGCCGAAGAGCTCCCGCTGCTGATAAACGAGCTCAAGGATGATATTGCTTGCCGCACATTGTGTGTAGAGATACCTGGAAGCCTCCATAGCTACCCAGCTGACCCAACGTTCGACAGGCTCGCTCCTCAATTCCGGAATCACAAACTAGACCTAAACATCTGGGAAGGCATCGTGAAGATGTTACGCGATCGTTCCGACGAGTATATCAAGGCAGGTTGGAGTCGCGAACAACTGCATGCGCTCTGCGGGGATCTCGTTCTTGAGGCAGTATCGTCCACGAAGTTCCCGCCTGAGTTGCCTCAACATCCGCAGCCAGCGAGGTCCGCATATCTCCAAGAACCAAGTGGCGATCCTCGATACTCGCAGCAGGCGGTGACTATGTCGTCACATACCATCAAGATGCTATTGTGGATCTGTCTACGCGCGAAGCACCGAGAGATGGCAGTGCATGTTTTTCGCAAGGTTTTCACAACGTGCACGACAGCGGTGCGTTTTGCTGATGATCGTCGAAGCAGCTGCCCGCCGAACTTAACGTCTTTGATAGGATTCGGTGAGGTCGATCGTGAAAGCACTCGTACCGACAGTTTTGTCCGTGCTCCAAAGTTGGAAGGTGGCCATGGACGCTCCACCCTTCGACCAATTCTTCCGTGAGAGTATTCGCTCGTTCATCATATCCATTGTTGGCAAGAAACCGGACGCCCACGACAACGCACAATGGGCGAGGACCCTTCGGTCAAGTTGTACCTGCGGCGACTGTACCTCAATCAATCACCAGATCGCGAGCTCGCAGAAGCAGACTGTCTGGAGAGCAAGCCAGAGCCGACGGGACCACGTTGAGCGCCAGCTTCGTGGCATTCGCGAGTTGAAACTGAGTACGGCCTATGGCGGAAGAGGAAGAATGTCCGAATTGATTATCACGAAGCGCCTCGACGAGTACGCGCCACTCGCTCTCTGGTCGAAGAGGAGCGCCGAAGGAATGCAACTACTGCGACAACTCGGTCAGGATGCGACAATTCGTAGCGTTTATGCATCCGTGCCAGGTCAATTGGAGACCGTCGTTGCCTGTCTTCAAGGAAACGCTGCCCCATCAGCCCTCAGCGCAGCGGCCTTCATGACACCCCCGAGCCAGCCGGCCTCGAACGCGGCGACTGGAGCTGGTCCCCAACCCGCTTCATCAGCGGTGAGTTCGCTAGAAGTGGCGGCAGGATCTACAGTGCCTCGCAAGCGCAAGGCGCCGCCTCCAAATCCGGAGGATGTTATCGAAATCTCGGACTAGCGACCTCGCAGCAGCAGGATTTTTCGTATTCATTACCTTTACAAGTAGCCTTAGCCTAATATCATGCGCATCGTCATCAACATACAATAATAAACATGCAGCTTTGATCGATACGCAACGGATGAGCACTGAACCCCATTTATGTCAGATAGGCGCTTCGAGTAGACTGGTAAAACTCGGAATTGTTTGTGAGGACCATCCGTTGGGGCAAATCTCGCGTGGCTAAGTAACGTGACTTCGCGGGCCGCAACCGGACCGAACGGGTAAGCAACTAAGCACGGAGGCGCGTCGTGGACGCGAGTGCGCAACATAGGTCATCGCTGAACGTCCACCACCACGGACCGAGCGCTTCGCGCTCGCCTTCCTCATACGAAGACTGGGTTCGAGATTGAAGGCCACTGTGTTTTGCGAGGGCTTTCGGGGTCACGCTGGTGCCCCTCGAGGTTCCGCCTTCGGATCTCGGATCTCCAGTCCACAGTATATAGCTCGAGCTATACTTGTGCGAGCGTAGCTCTCGCTCCGGCTGTTCCATCTTGCCTATGGTGTGACATTTCCGGCCCGATACCTCGCGCTTAATAAGCCTCACACTCACCTTGTCTGGATGGTGGGTATCGAGAAGCCCGCACTTGCTGGCCTCACCATTGATGCCCATACGACGATAGCCGCGTATGATCATGTCGGGCTCTCACGTCGGAGCTCGAGCGACTCAGGCATTTGTTGGAGGTAAGTGTAATCATGTGCATACTTCCCCTCAACGTCGCTGATGGCTCATGATAGGATACATGGCTGCCGAATGAAGCATGGCAGGTGGGTATATGCACTCCGAGACTCATGCTTGACCGATATGTTGCTGCGATCTCGTTCTGTAGCATCCGCATCAGTCACGAATGTATATTTACATACATATTTAGTATCATAATACGAGTACTACTTAACCTGAGCTCGGGCGACGTGATTCGAGACTCACCCCGCCCATCCACTACAGCATGTCAGCACCACCCTCTCGGTCACCATCGCAAGGTAGACGGCCTACGTCGCGAGCCGAGGGCTCCCTTCCATCTTCGCGTCTGCCGACTCCCGGTCCCTTCGTTCCAGTAGAGAACGAATTCAGCCCCACTGTGCAGGGCCCGTCCCGACGACGCTTCAGCAATTGGGCGAGTCAACCGCCGCCACCATCACCTATACATCAAAATCTTCGTGCAGCAGGCATTCTACCCAGTGCTTCCCCTTCGTCTCCATCGTCTCCTGCTTGAATATTCTCCGAACTCTCGAGTAACCGCGCCCGACTGCCGCTTGCCGGGATTAAGCAGGGCAGCTGCCGCAATTTGAAGTGTTTTCCCCGAGCCCGTACGAGCAATATAGAATGTATCATGCCCAAGCGCGACGCGTGTAGCCGCCAGGACCTGGTCGTCTCGCAGCACGATCTTACGCGGGCCAGATGCGACATGAATCTTATTGAGGACTTTGGTGGCGAGTTCGGCAGCTCCAGGGTAGTTTTCGAGTGCACGGAGCACATCAGCAGATGGCTCAAAAGTAGTAATTGACATTATAGCGCGTATGTATTGTTACATGAGGGTGTGCATGGGAAAGCGAATGGTACGTGGACGTCCGAAAGCAAAGGCAGACGTGCCAGCACGCCGCGTCGCGTCGACGCGCTTCGGTCCGGCTGCGGCCCGCTAAGTCACGTTACTTAGCCACGCGAGATTTCACCCCAACGGATGGTCCTCACAAACAATTCCGAGTTTTACCAGTCTCCTTGCGCGGTACTAGAGCTTGCCTCCGTCACCGCGCTCAAAGGAGACTGGTCACGAGTCTACGCTTCGAGCGTATATCATGCACCTATGGCGGCGCCGTCACGTCTCCTGAATTGTCTCCTGATGCCACCTTTCGACGTCGTTTCCTCCTATGTCCGGAGACCTCACTTTCCTTCGTGTCTTCACCAGACACTACCTGGCTCCCTGTATCACCGACATCGATACTTTTGCGCTTCTCGCCCGTACTGGCCGCATCGCGCTTCGGCATGAGTGCGGACCGCTTTGCCTGTGTAGGCTCCGATGCCTTCTTTTTCTTCACGCTAAGAGGATTAGGCCCTTTGGGCCCTTTCTTCTTTTTGGGCTTCGGTGTTTCAGACGCCTGGGGCGCGACCGCTTTGAGCTGTGCGGCTTCAGACGTAGATGGTCCAAGGGCGTTGGCTTCAGCCTGCACGACGGTAAGCATGTGGTCCGTGAAGGGTCTTGTTATTGACGCACCAGAGCCTTCGCTCGTAATGTAGCCTCACTGGGTGGTTCCAGTATCATGACAGACCGATTGACATGCACGATAGGGACACCGGGTATGGCGCGTAATTTTTGGCGCAGAGGTTGCGACTGTGTGGCGATTACATATCTGTGCTTGTTCTTGTCACCTGTGAAGCTATATTAAGAGAATGTCGTGGATATTAATGCTAGAGTAGACGCACCAGTGACACTGAGCAAACATTCATCCCCAGGTATTGGTTCTCGATGATTGCATTTACGCCGCTCGAAGGTCTTGGCGAGATCCGTGGCCTCTTGCTGAGGTTTCCCTTGCAAGTATAGTTCGTGTATACAGCATTGCGTTATCACTGTGTAGAGACTGTCAGCGTTAGCGAAAAAGAGCGCACGAACGAAGAAAAGAGGGTACTCACTGGGCTTCACAGTTCCCTGTACTGATGTGCCGAGTTGTGCCAGGAAGTCTGTCTTCTGGGAGACTGCAGTCTTGCACATCTCAGAGTCGACTAGGATAGTAGAGGCTTGTCAGACGCGAGGCCTAACACAGGACGGAGACTGAAACGCACCCAGCACTTGGTATGGCTCTCGAAAGCCGAAGGTGTGATGATACATTGACATCAACTTGCGATACGTCTTGGCTCGTTTTTGCCTCATCGTGAGAATCAGAGCAGACTATGCCAAGAGTATTGGAGGAAGGGAAGCCAAAGTCACGGTGGAGGTCGAGAGCAAAAAGGTGACTGACGCGTGGGCGCGCGTGTGGCGAAGGACACTCTGCTCCCGCGTTCACGGTCGTCAGCACAATGCGGGTTTCTCTTATTGCGCTATTTGGGTGCGTCATCACCGAAAGCGCCATGTTTGTGACGACTCATAGACACGCAGACTTGTAACATCAACTTGGGCCGTTAATCTATCTGGATTTGTACAGTGGAACGAGCACTGCAGGGGTGCGTACAGTCACTCGCTCTCGCGAGTGTCTATATTGACTTGCCGAAGACTATGCTTCCTTAGGACGCGCTCGTGTAATACTTGATGATGGATCTGCTTCTGGAAGCGTCACCAGAGACGGTAGATGGTCGATGTGCGTTACCAGCCCGCGTACATACTTGAGTCTCATGCATCTCTCAGTCCAGACGTGGAACCCGGAACATACATCCTGTCCGTCCTGGCGCACAACCATAAATTCGACCAGGTATGTAGAGAGATTCATATAAATGAATGGCACATTGTGACCCCACCTCCAGTTCAGGGTAGACGTACTTCCGGAGACCCCACTCGAGCCTATCGTCCGCCCATTACCTCCTGGTACACCACTCAACCCGGCGTCGCCTGCGATACTGCCGTATCCGATCAAGCTCTCAGCACGGCAAGCAAATAGCTACTACGTCCCTCCTGAGTCGTTCAACATCATGAGCATGGTCGGCAATCCTATGACCCTCATGATGATCGCCGCCGGCGTGATGATGTTCGCTGTACCGTATATCACGGTAGGTCATCCCTATATACTCCATCACTTCTCCAGTCACTCAATATCATCCTTCTATCTGTAGAAGAACATGGATCCGGAAATGCAGGCGGAGATGCAGGCAAATCAGGCCAAGTTTTCCAGTATCCAAAACTCTTTCATGAGTGGCGACGTTGCGGGAAGGTTCGTCGCGCCTCACATTCACATCCCTCCCAAGTCTCTCACTGATTGCGTTAACAGCTTCAACGCCATAATGAGCGGAGGAGAGCAGCCACCTGCGGGAGCTTCCGCAGCCACGTCTGCGACCCAGCATAGCTCATCGAAGAAGAGCACGAAGAAGCGCCGCTGATGTGTTGTACTCATAGGTGTAACAGTACTATATATATGCCTGCGCTTTCGGTGGTTATTACAATGCGGGTTTTCTCTTACTCAGATATAGGATACGAGGTCGTGATGCACAAGTATCTCTTGGCAAATAGAGTACTAAGTATGCTACGGCGTAAACACGGAAGCTATACTACAGGGCAGACAAACGAATGTCTAAGTATAATCAAGGGCAATCCAAGGGGTACGGGGATAGAGAACAAGTATGTGATATAGAGGAGTCCAAAGCTAGTGAATGGGGCGAATACAAGGGCCGTAAGGCGAGATGGAAGCAGCATTACAAAAGGCATACGGGAACGTGCAATAATACACGTCGGGGTAAACATGGGGCAAACAACAACGAAAGAGAAGTAGTCCGTCTAGTCCACATACAGATGTCACCTACTCACAATGCTCCACCAACGATACTTCGTTCGCTCCCGCCTCCATGAACGAAAGCAGTTCAATCCACAGATTTGCGCGTCTCTGCCTTCGTCACCTCCTGTACGCCACGACGACGCCAACGTTCACGAAGTCCAATACGACGCTTGGTTTCAGGGCTGGCCTCGTTATCGCTGCTCTCCGCCTCCGTATCACGCTCCTCCTGCTCGAAACTCTTCGACTTGCCACGCACACCTCCCTCGCGACTCTTCTTACTCGTCGAGAAGATTCTCTTGATCGAAGAGTGTCCCGTACCGCGCTCGCCATCCGGCCCGTCGGGTTCCGCGATAGTGACCTTCTTGCCGATTGGTGAGCGTGGAACGTCTGCCTCCGGTGGCGAGCTAGTATCAGTGCTGCTACTGCCGGCCGACCCGCCGTTAGCCTGACCCTGAGGCCCTTCGCCGAGGGGTTGTGCCGCCATCGTTGCCGAGCTTGTAGGCAGGTCTTCGGGACGGTTCCCACTGAGACTGACGTTGCGCGAGTCGTAAGGATGTGCACGCGAATCTCCCCTTGGTCGAGTCCCCAGCTTACTGGGCGGGCTCTGCGCAGAAGGCGATGCAGGAGCGCCAGGAGGCTGATTGACATTCACCAACACCCACCCTTCACCCTTGTCTTGCGGCTTATCGGCATTGCGCTCGCCGACGCCTGCTGCCAATGTCGGAGTCGGGAGCGGTGGTGGCTGCTCGTGCTGAATCTGACCGTGCTCGGCAGACGCACTCTTGCGCTGTTCCTCATGGATGATCTCGTGCACGCCAACGTTGACGATTTGGCGATCTGGTGTGATATCGTCGTGGCGGCGAGGATGGAACTCGAGGCTACCATGCGGCTCTTCATCTTCGTCTTCCGGTACCTCGTCCTCTGGCGAGAGCCATGCTCCAGGAAGCACAGGCGAGCGTGGACGCGCCTGGCGTGGCTCTTTGCTCGAGTCCGACCAGGTAATGGGTACCATTGCTGCATCCGAATCACCCATACTAAGGGCGGAGTCCCGGAAGGACTCAGTGCCGTGCGTATCGCGGAAGGTGGTTGGGCTTAGTAGAGGCGGAGTGACGCCACTGGATGTCTCTGACTCCGTCGGTCGTGGTGGAGGAGGCCGAAGTGTCGAAGCTTGTTCAGTTGAAGCCCACGCGGTCGCTTCCTCTGTCGACCGTGCTGGCAGTGGAGGAGGTGGGGGTATCGACTTGAACGTATCCGCACCCGCTGGGCCACCAATCACGAACTTGGGAGGTGGTGCATGCGCATTGCGGGGTGGGCTGGTCGTCTGTGGGGGGCCAGCAGATAAAGGTGGCGTGGAAGGTTGCACAGATTGTGATGGAGGGGGTGGAATCTGGCTCAGACGAGGGAAATATGGGTTGTGGGCTGGCGCCGCAGTCTGATAAAAGATGGCGGGGCTAGGCGAAGGCTGTTTGCTCTCCAGGTGCGGAGGCGCCGGGAAAGTTGGCGCGCCTTCCCGTGCACGACCCCTTGCGCCAATGCCAGTCATGTCCACTTCATCCTCCACAGTGCTCGGTAACTGGGCCCGCACTGCGGTGTCCGCGTCGGGGCGCTGTAATCTCGTCGCTGTTGCCACAGTTTCGGTATCCGCGTTCGCCGTGAGCGCAGATATAGGAACTTGCGCGCGAGGGCCAGCTTTGCGCAGAACGGTTGCGGTTCGTTGAGGAGAGTTCCGCCCATGGCTGCCTTGACTGGCGCTTCTACGATGTCCGCCTATGGCTGGCCGTGGGAACGCGGAAGGGGCCTGCGTGGGCTCTTCGGGCACACTATTACTCCTACGTCGCTGGTGAATGGGTAGAAGGTTGGGCTGAGAACTGGAGGCAGAGGAGCCATCTGTGGTCGGGGGAGTGTCGAGTTGTGTAGGGTCTGACGCGCCGGTGAAGATCCAGAGATCCTTTGAACGTGCGTGGTTGGAGACGGCGAACGAGGTCAGGAGGCGGAAGCCATGGCTGTCGAAAGAGCTGAGCAGTGATAGAATGTAGTTGAGAGAGTCGGTCGCGAAGGTGTCCTCCTGGAACCCTAAGAGACTATGAGATGCGCACGACGACATGATCTTACTGCATGGTACTCACATTTATACCCTTTGAGCTTGAACTCCCAGCTGTCGGGCGCTATCTTGCGCTCGGACACAACACCGCGTGGCCACGAACTTCGTACGGTCTGAAGGATAGCTGGGGTCGAGGACAAAGGAGGACACATGACACGGAGTGTGGTGGCGTTAGGGAATGATATCGCGAAAGGAACCTGTACAAGCGGGCGAGTGGGCGGATAGTTCGATTGCGGAAGCGAGGTAGAGCTTTGTCCAGACAGTTGTTGATTATGTTGGCCAGTATTCCCTCTGTTGTGTAGTTGCTGGCCGGATTGCATTCCCTGCAGAAATGCTTTACTGCTGAAAGCAGAGGTGCTGTTCGGCGGCGACTGGGTATAGATTGGGGAGACGTGACCAGGCCGCATAAAGGCCATGACCACGCGATCATCCTGCTCGCGGCCGTAGTCGAGGGTGGACAGAAATTCGAAGCCATGCCTGCAAAGGACGGCGAAGAGATCGAGCACCAACTTCTCGGTTGGCAAACTCTTGGGATTTGACCACGGCTTCTCCGACACGGCGAGCTCGACATAGTTGTGCAGCACGTCCTCCTTGTGGCCTACAACCTCTCGCGTGCGGTCGAGCAGGTCACGCACGCCTGCCGTGACTTCTGGTGGAAAGCTGTAGAGACGGATATGGGCAGAGCCTGAGAAAGCGAGGATGGAGAACGTTGATGGGTCGCGATGTTCGCGCTGGAATTCGCGTCTAGGGATGAGACTAGAGTCTGAAGGAGCGATTGGGGGTGCAGTGTTCGTAGACATGATGGCGGAGAAGAGAAGAATCGGGCATGCCCAACACGAGCACAAACATGAGGACCAACGTCAGGCCCATTCAAGGGTGGCGCGCACCAGGCACGTTCCCATTATTAAAGCGCGAGTCATGCGAATTCCCTTCTTGAACCTATACCAACTCGTACTTGTAGCCCGATGCAGGCTCTCAAACTTCGGACATCACCCTACAGTCGTGGTTGCCGCGTGAAGCTTCCATTCGCAGTATCGCAATTCATGTACGCACCTGGCGAGTGCGCGTCCCTTGGGGAACCTGTGAGCGAAGTGGTGCGTACCTTATGCGTACCTTAACCGCATTCTCTCATGAGCGTCAAATATAGACTATCAGTACAGACGGGCCGTCAGCGAGCTACTTGGACCTACACGAGTCATCAAAGCCTCAATACTCGGACTCGCCGGCGCGGACTCGGGCCGCCACCTCCGGATCCGCCGCCGGCCCGCACCCTTCCCCGCTCTCAGAGCCGATGACCCACGATGGGCTGCTTAAATAGTTCGCTACTGGCCAACCAAAATCTTCGATAGTACCACTTGGGCTACCGCCGCACTGTCAAACAGGCATCTCGCTGACCTCTTGCAACATGTCCGACAAACTCAATGTACTGATGTGTGAGTACGCATGCACCCAATACCGTTCTTGCCATCAGATCTGACCGTACATACACTCTGCATAGGCGGCTCGGTGAGGATTGGTATAGGATACGTCCCTTACCTGGAGCTGAACAATGGTATAGGGTGAGTATACCACGGGATGGACGGGATCTGGAGCCTCCAAGTCGGATAAGAAGGTGTGTAAGATGTACTGAGGTGGGGAATGGTTCGCTGACTTGATGGCTTAGATCGGCGTGCGTGCTACTGGCTGTGAAGACATTTATGCTTCTCATACTGTCTTTACAGGTCGTCGGTCTTACTCTCTTTGATTTGCGCCGTCTTGGGAAGGTCCGTAAGCGCTATGAATGCTTGGTGCCAAACACTCATTGCGTGTTTGTGTACAGGTCGATAAGCTCGGCATGGCTGCAGTTACTGGATCCAAGTACCCCGCCATTCGTGAACACTTGCAGGAGAATATCGGGAACGTGTACAAGGGCATGGATACTTCGTACGTACTCACGATCCAGAGTGATGTGTGTAGTAGCCTTATGCCTGAGCAGCTTCGACTCCTTCCCCGACAATGACAAGGTCGACCCAGAATCCTGTGCGTACATTCATCCTGGCATTGACATCCCCCCTGATGTGTCCCCTCAGACAAGACCGCCATCGACAAGATGTCGCCCGGCGAGGCCGTCATCATCTTCACACCGGACAGCACGCACTACCCGATCGCGAAATACGCCCTGGAGCGCAAGATGCACGTTCTTGTCACGAAGCCCGCAACACAACTCCTGTCGCACCACTCCGACCTTATTCAGCTAGCGAAGGAGAACGGCGTCGTGTGTATGGTTGAGCACCACAAGCGGTGAATCTTCGCGCCCGGCGTTACCCCGTGAACACTCTGCTAAACCTTTAACACAGTTTCGACCCCGCATACAGCGATGCGCGTGCGCGTGCGGCTGCGCTCGGCGAGTTTAACTTCTTCAATGCGTGGATGAGCCAGCCGAAGAGCCAGCTTGAGACGTTCCGCGCGTGGGCAGGGAAGGACTCGGATATCAGGTTGGTGCAGCCTTCGACTTCTCTGTGTTTGAGACTAATGCGTTTTCCAGCTATTACTTGTCCAGCCACCATATAGATATTTGCTGCTGGATCCTCCAAGACAAGGCAGTACCTACACGCGTCGTGGCGAGCGCAGCGACTGGCATCGCGACCAGCGAGCCATACAACTGTGTTCCTCAAACTGAAGACACGATCACGCTTCTCGTCGACTGGCAGTCTCTGGGTAGCTCAAAACACAAGGGCACTGCTGTTTACACCGCGTCATGGACCGCACCTCTCAAATCGGGCGTGCACTCTGCGCAGCACTGGTACTATATGGCTGAGAAGGTTTGTGCTCTCCAGTCGTTTGATCTACTGGAGACTGATAGCGTCTATCAGGGTGAGATCAACGTCGACCAGGCGCACCGTGGCTACGACGTGACTGTCGATGACACGGGCAAGTCATGGTTCAACCCATTCTACATGAAGTACTCTCCCTCCGCCGACGGTTACTTCGATGGTCAACGTGGCTACGGTTACGTCTCGATTGAGAAGTTTGTGGACGCGGCCCGTGCGGTCAACAGCGGCGCAAATACTGCAGCAGACTTCGATGCGCAAGGCCTGCCGACGATTGCCAACACTGTGCTCACCACCGCCATCCTCAATGCTGGCCGCATCTCGCTCGACGAGAAACGCGCCGTTAACATCAAGAAGGATGGGGACCAGTGGGTGCTTGAGTAGACTCCTACGAAGCTTCGTGTGTAGGTCATGGACGTCTATGTGCAGATATGTATACGTATCCTGGTGAAGTATTCCTTCGTTGTACGATAATCAACGTAAACACGGCATCGCCCTCACGCTAGTGTCGGCAAATGCCTTCAAAATGAATCGTCTACGGACTACAGGGTGCGAGCCTGACCGGATCGCAGCTGCAAGAATTCGCGGGGACGATATGGCTCGCAGAGTCCAACTCGGCAATATCTCCGGCTGCGCAGGACGTGAGTGAATCTTGCTTTCGTGTTGGTGTCTATAGACACTCACTTGGTTGCCTCTCTTGGCAATAATCCTTTAGCTAATCATCACCGGCCATAGTACTAGTAAGTCCATTGCCTTGTATTCAGTGCTCCGCAGGCAGGGGGTCCGTCGTATTCTGTTGCGGTGGCATCATCGGACTGACTCGATACCGGAAGTGCTAATGATACAGCCGACAGGTGATCGGCATGTACAGCCGTATGTGTTGGTCTCATTGCGAACACCATGGGCGCATCTTCTGCAGCGGGCTTTCAGTCCAACACAGACTATGCATGCAAGTCACGGCAATCGCTGTACTGTGTGCCTGCTAACCCATATCTTCTAAAGTGGGTCGCAGATCGACCTTTGCAGGGGTGCACGGCTCGGTTTTCTAGGGTTGGACTGTTGTGGATCAATCCGACGCAGACATGCAGTGGAATGTACTCGAGGCATTATGATCAGACAGATACTTGACGAGCATGCGGTCGATCCAACCGCCCGTCGCAACGGGGAGCTCGTCGGGTATGGAGAAGGTGTACCGGCGCCTTCTCGCCGAGGACCCTCAGTGCCTTGCTGGCCATAGCAGAAATCCATCACGCCACAGGAAAATGTCGACAGCGCTGCGGGTGCCGAGCCCGCGATGGAGGGAGGCGCCATCAGCATGAGTCGTGTGCAGCAGTAAAGATCAGAAGTGGAGGACGTACTTAGCGTATTCGCCAGAACAACGTACGACCCGTTGAGCGCGGGTTCGGAATGATGCAGGAAACGCCCTTTTACGCATGTGTATATTGTTGCCCCGCACGAAGACGATCCCTGAGATCCTGAGAGCGCCGGCCAGCGTCAACGGAGCGCCTTCGATATGTGTGAGTCTGTATGGTATGGACCAAGATACGCTCGCAGATCATATCTGGCCTGCAAGGATTATCAGGAGCATGCGCGTCCCGCGACTTCCCGCGCCCGGAGTTGTCAATAGCATGCATGTTCTCGACCTGGTCGTGCCAGCCCTGAAGAGTAGTAAAGCTTGCGCGAAAGCATGGGAATCCTCCCGGACCTATTCGCATAGGGTTGGACGGCTGCGCGCATTCAGAGATCAACCGTATACGCAGAGTCTGACATACTCGCACCGTGTTCATACAGCGCCGCAAGCCGTACATGCTCGAACAGTGACACCCGCTCGCACATTTTGCGCACGGTATCGCAATCTATCTTGCAATCAGGAATCTGTGTGGGCAGAGGATGCGCGCTTTGCTGCTTCTGGCGTATGCACGAGTCAGCCACGGGGGTAAGATTAAAACAAGGAGGCCCATCGAGTGATAAACGTCGCCCACGACGACAGGCAAGGCGCGTCTCGGCCTCAGCGCCTACAACTATCCTCAATATGCCGTCGCGCAGGAAAGAGTTGAACTGATTGCGGCGTACGGCGTGCATGTGGATAGCAGCTTCTGGATTGAAGCATGGCGGCGGACGCATTCAAAGAGACTTGAGAGCGGCAGGGGTAAAGCGGGAGACGCATATAGCGGATGCAGTCTCATCGCGCGCCTCCGTTCTCCCGCGAGAAGCGAAGAGAAGGTGTGGATGCCGATGGGCGTGTTATTCATCGGCAGCGGTGAGATGAACTTCTCGAAGCCGAGTCCGTGACAGACACACGATGCGCGAGGGAAGGCACTACACTTGCGGTAGATATCGTCGTGAGGGAACACGCTTGCCGAGGACCCAGTACCGGGGCCGGCCGAAACCTAGCGCTGAAAGAGGAATATGTTGTACTTCAACGGAGTTTGCTCCAGGAACGGGGCTTGATGATTGCGGAACGGGTCACGAACGAAACAGCAGTTTGAAGGAAACTTGGGTTCAGCTGAACTATACCACAGAATGCAGAAAATATTCAATTGCGGGGTCCAGTGGAGATGCGAGGAAAGGGAAAGCGCGGCCGTTCACGCGAGGACGCGCTGAACTGCGACACGGGAATGGGGGCGCTACTAGGTCGGGCTGTACGGGTAAGAGACGCGTGTAGGGTAACCAATAAACGTCGTCTGACGCGGGGACGATGCGACGGTAAGTAAACCAATTCCGAGCAAACGTTCGAGGTGGACGTGCGGAAGAGATGAGTGTATGCACGATGAGGAGACTGATGAAAAGGGAAGAAAGCGGACACCCTGCAGTAAATTGAGGAATAAAATATAGACAGGCGGCAGACAAGGGGCGTGTAGGCTGTTAGACCTGTGGCGCCCCGGGACTATGGTGTGGCTAAGGTGCGGGGCCGGGTCGGAGGTCAGGGAATGGACGAGACGGTTTGCATAGGGAACCGGGCGATACGAGACGAGACGAGACCGGGTCGAAGGAAGGATGGCGGACGGCACGGAGCGCCCCACGAGGTCGACGGCGGCTGGCGCAGGCCGAGGCATCGATACCCATCGGGCGGAGCGTCCGGGGCGTAGAGCCATGTCGAGCGCACAGGCGTGTTCCCTCGTTTGAACGGATAGCGATGACAATGATGCGGCGAACGAGAGGATGCATGATGTGAGAAGGATGCTGAGACAAGATTGCGCGAATTGATGCAGTCGACAGACGTGTTTGGTGGATGGTGGTACATTTTGCTGGTGGAGGTGAAGTGATGCGAGAACGAAGCGGAGGGAGATGCAGCCTATGCGACCATCGCCGTGCGAGGAGAGGACGAGTTGAACGATTGAAGCGCCATCCGCCGGTGTGCGACGTAGTCGTGTGGTAGATATTGCTCCTGTACGTTCTCCGCGTTCTGCTTGTTCACGACTGGCTCGAAGCGCCCGGGTGAAGACATATTCTCCTTGTCGTCAGACATCGCGACAGACGACATGTAGTCAGACGAGAATGCGGGTGATGTTGGCGTAATTGGCATCTCATCGGACATGTCTGACGCTGTTGTTGTTGCTGACATCGGAGTGCGTACGGGGGACGCGTACGACCGTACTGGCGTCATCGGGACGGGCAAAGAGGAGATTGTGTGGCGGATGAAGCGACCACCTTGGAGGTAGTACTGCACTACGAGCGTTGCCGCCTTGGAGTAGAATGCGTATGAGTACTTCTTGATGAGCGTCTCCGAGAGGTCGTTGACGTGCTTCGAGAGGCGGTTATCCAAATGCTCGACGATCTCGATGCACTCGTCTGTCTCTTCAAACACGCGCCGCTCTTTGCCGCAGATGAAGCGAGCGAGCGTTAACGACGCGAAGGCAATTGCTGATGGCGTGTATTGTACGAACTCTCGGTAGAAGAGCGTGATCTCCATGAGGAACCGGGCGACGTGCTGAACCTTAGCCTCCTCCAGATGCGGCGCCGGAGAACAGCAGAGCATGCGCAACCAAGCCTCCGCTGTGGGGTGCCCAAGCGTCCACTGGATGGTCTGGAGGACATGTGCTTCCATCTGGATGAATGCCGAGGCGTCGTACGTTTCGCGACAATAGTGGACGAGCTCCTCTACCGAGGGTACGCGCTCCTTTGCATCTTCGAATTTCGCAGCAATCCACAGCGCCGCGCAGCCGACAAGCTGGTAGTGCTTGATGTAAACGATGCGGCGGGAGACGTAACGGTCGATGATGTTCAGGCACAGGTAGAGCGTCTCTGGCCTTAAGCGGAAGGTAAAGTGCAGCTCGACGAGGAAGTCGACGAGGCAGGGACGCATATGCCATTTGATCTCCGGTTGTTGGTCCATTGATGAGGTCGAGCCCATGGTCTGTCGCTTCAGCAGACGTGAGCGGCGGAATTCGGGATAAAGTGGCCGTACATAATACGTACCTCCATGTCATGCAAGAACAGCTGGATCTCCTCAAAGTACTCCTCCTCCAGGTAGATACCCTCCCTCTTCCACGCGACGAGCTGCTGCTCACGCTGGCGGCGGAGTGCGGCTTCGAGTCGGGCGCGCGGAGAGTGACCATGGGCGGGGGCGGCGGTGGCAGGCGAGGCGTACTTGCGCTTCTGGATGCCGTGTGGTGATGGGCGCTTCTTGACGGCGAGCGCGTTGTAGCGGGAGCTGCGCGAGGAGGAAGAGAGATCCTTCATGCTGCCAGAAGCGGGAGGAGGGACACCGGAGTACGGGACGAGAGGGCTAGAGGTAGGAGGGCGCGGTGCGTCAGCCTGCGCGCTCTGATTAACGGTAGAGAAGGACATGAGAAAAGAGATTATAAGATCTAAGAGTAGAGAGAGAGAAGTATTCGAAGTACGGGTCGTGCGAAAGGGAAGGAAAGGTCAGTCGGGCGGGGAGGGGGGACTGCTCGACGTCGAGAGCCAAAGCACGAGGCAGGGCTTCTAATTGTGTGTAACGATGGCTGCCTATCAACCAGGCCGTCGGCGAGGATACGGCGCCAACGACCGCGAATTCGAAACACATATCCGGAAACACCGCAACAGATCGACGTTTGGCTCACCTGCTAGTTTACGACTTTCGGTCGCGAGTCAAGTCGACTCGCGTGGAGGAGGGAGATACGGATGGAGATCGGAGGGGAGGGGTGCCGGCGGGCAGCAGTGGCGGGGGGATTGATGCCTGCCGGGCGTTCGTGTCAGCGTTAGCGTTCTGTATTCGTAAGTTTTGTCGTTGGTGGTGGTCCAAGACGAAGGGAAGAGGGGATGAGAAGAAGACAGATGGGAACCACCCTGGGAATTCCCAGAAATATCAAAGCTATTCGCGAATTTCGTAAAGGGCGTATCGTCTGCCATCGCGCTGATTGATCGCGCGCGACGATGACGCCCCGGTCCATTCTCCCCTCTCAGGACAGTCCGTCCCTATCGCCTGTCAACCACTCTCACAGCCTGAGCCTGGCCCGGCACCGCCGTCCAGCCCCGCCATCAGCTGCAGTCCCCTTCTCACGGGCACGTTTTCCGATGCTCACGACCACGCCCACAACGCAGCACGCGCAGTCCACAACCACCACGCTCGCAATGTCTCACCTTTGGCCTTTGTTCACTACAAGTAGCAGTCAGACATCCGGCGCTCAACGTCCCCCAGCGGAAGCAAATCCCGCACCTATTATTGATGTTTTAACTATGCTCCCGGCGATAATAAGCTCGCTGTCAACCCTCTTCTGTTAGCGATTTCGCGATATCGAGGGCACAGTGCGCAACGCACGGAACCACAAGATCTGGTGCTGGCCCTGGTAAGGAGTGACTGGCAGATGCGCGAGGTAAAAGAGAGACTATGCGGTCAGCGATCGAGAAGCTGGGCGGGCGGATGCAGTATCGGCCTCGAGATGCGCAGTCAAGTGCAGCAGGAGGATGGGTCCGAGTGACGCTTTGGGAGGACAATGGGGAGAGAATAAACTGCTCCGGCGGGTAGCACGACCGACACTATGAGGGAGCTGCAGTGTGCTGGCGGCGTGTCGCTCGGCTAACAGCACGCCTTTGTGTCCTCTTCAATCCTCTCTTTCTCACAGAGTCCCAACAACACGTTTTCTGCCTGCAGGCATGTCCAGGGCGTGGATTCGCAGCACTTTTAGGTAAGGTCCCGCGGTCTGATCTACGCTCAGCCCTTCTCGAGCGCCTTTTCGCAAAAGCGCGAGTCGTCTCTCCTGCTGCTCGTCGCAGAGTCTCGTGCATCCGATGTTCGCTCGCGCACAGAACTGCAACCAGGGCAGAGGTGCGTACTACCAGACAAAGACCCGATCCCGTCGTACCCTATGACGCCGCCGTGCCCGACTGCATACCCCGGTCCCATCATCTCATGGCCTTGGGTCCCGCTATCGGTCCGACGCAATCAGAGCACGCGTTGCTCTTCCATCGCACCCTCGCACAGCTGTGGTATCTTCCTTTCCCTCCGGGTGCTGCTAACGCGCCTCTCTTGATGTCTTCCAATTGTTTTCTTGACAGATCTCCCCCTTGGTACTCCACCACTTCAAGCGCAGAAGACACTTGCTATGAAGACGGAAGCGCGCTCATGCGCACCCGCATACGATGCTCGGCCGGGAGCCGAATACCGAAGACCGCCGCGCGCCCATCTCCCACATCTCACTTCGCGGATGATAGGCACCGTCTGGGCTGTTGTAATAATGTATGTATACGCTCGGCCCTTATGCATATGACTGTTGTCTCTGCAAGGAGAAGAATGATTAAGACAAACAATGTACGTCTGAAGAACGCGGGCCTGAGTGGACGAGGCTTCTCTTGTTCTCGCCGTTGTGAGCACAACTTGTATGTACCTCTGGATCCAGAATAGGCGTCGGGCATCCTGTCGGGCCCTTCCTCAAACCGAATACACATTTGTAGTAGTTGCGCGGGACCGCCTAGCCCCCGCCTCCGCCGATCTACCTGTTCTAGCCACCCGAAGAGCGCTCGATGCGTCGTACAGCTGTCTTCGTCGCCATCTTCGTCGAGATCGGGCGCAGCCGACACGGAGCGCGCGATCCGGCGAATTTACAGGAGATATCATTGGCCGGGCGCCGCCATCTGCTGCGTCCGGTACGCCGACGAGCGCGCTGAAGCGCCGGTCAATATCTTCTTCATTGCGAGCGCTGGTCCGCTTCAAGCACCGGCTGTCCCTTAGACAACACGTTTTCTCTACATGCATCTCTCTAGTCAAACAGAGGATCAATCGAATCACCGCTAGACGTTCTGTCTGTCTGTCCTCGCTCACTGAAGGCAGGACCACGCTGCGCGAACAAAGCAAGCGTAACACGCGCAAGGCGCGAGGCAGCGACGAACACCATCGAGGCACGGAGGTAAACGGGATGACGTCGGCACCGGTTCGCCGGAGGTCAGATCAGATGATCCCGATTTGTCAAAGCTTGTTCCCAACTTGGAAAGCACGACCTCTGCGCTTGGCTCAGTCTTCCATGTCTCGCCCGCGGCGTGGGGCATTGTGGGGCACGTCGCCCGCGACAAAGCAAGAGCCTCCGTCGCTGTCTGAGACTGTACCGGCGTGTGGCGGGTTGTCCTCATTGACCCGCCGACGCTCGTCTCGCACATTCACGCGCATATGTTCTGCTACGAAACGCCCCAGTGAGCCGCATATGCGGGCAACAGCGGGAGTGACGTAGTTGTACGACCTGGGCCTCTCATATGCTCACCGCCATCGTTGCTTCCGCTTGCTTCCCCGGCACGCCCGAGCGCGATAGCACATTGACGAGGAGCCCGTCGAGCTTACTTGACAGCACGAAACCCCGAACCTATTTCTCGCAGGTCAAAGGGACTTGCGTGTTGCGTCATGTACGTTCGATATCGACTGGCGGGATGAGGTCGACGGTCAACAGCCCGCGTTGCCCAGTGATGCCCTCAACGTCGCTGCTGCGGCCGCTCACGACATAAACGCAACAACAATCATGCATCCGGCTCGAGCGGACAGCTCTCGTTGCGTATAGACGGGTCGGAGTTTGACAGTCACTTGCTCATCGCTGCGTTCCCGCCGCAAATCCGCAATGCTCATGACGTTCGTTGAACTTGCGGCAACACATCGACCTGACTCTCATTCAGTTTTCATATCAACCATTGCGCGACAGATGTCTTCTCGCAGGATGTCGTCGAGTCAATATGAATTGAGGTCGATAGAGACCTGCGAATGCGGCGGCTGTGCATTGACATGAATGGGCGGCAGGGCAGGCACAACGTGAGTGCATTAGGGTCTATAAAACTACATCCTCGGCGATGAGGCGGGGAGACGGTCGTTCAGATGCGATAAAGGGAGAGGTAGGCTCGGCGATATCGAGGAGTAGAGCGATGCGTCCATCCGGGCGAGATACAAGATAAATGGTCAAACCTGCAAACCCCGTGAAGGGGGCAGCATAAGACGCTGGGGGTTTAGCAAGATCAAACGAGTCCAAGGGTGAACAGCGGGCGATGATGCGCGTTGCAATGGTGAGAGCGCGGTACATGAGGTAGGAGAAGCCGGCTTCACGGAGGGGAAAACCAGGATGTTCATCGAACCGACGCTCAGTCGCGCGGCGCGCCGTGCATAAGCAGCGCCATGAGATCCTGCGCCGGCTGACCGATAGGCCCGCCAGCGCCGCCACCCTGCATATGCGGGGGAAGCATGCGTGGAAGCATATGTTGAGGTAGACCTTGCTGCTGTTGCTGCTGCTGCTGAAGCGCCTGTTGACGGGCCAGATACTGCTGAGTATGCAAGGCGTTCTGATTCACTTGAGGCGGCGCCATCCCGACAGACGGACGACGAGCCTCAGGGGCAGCACCTGCACCAAGTCCCAAAAGTTGAGCCTGTTGCGCCGGGCTCAACCCACGGATGTCAATCTTTCCCGGTAAACCCGCGCCACCGAGGGCGTTGGGGCCAAGTCCCAAGGGCAGTTGTTGGGGTGGCGGCGGCCCACGCATCTGCGGCGCACCAGCGAATCCGGCAAGACCATTCGCACCTATCGGAAGGGCACCTGCAGCGCCACCATACTGAGCCTGGCGAGGGTCGACTCCTAGACCCTGCAAGTTGGGGTTGACAAACTGTGGCTCGTGCGGCGGACGCCCACCTAGGTTTGCGAGGCCAGGAGGCAGACGTTGCTGTTGCTGTTGCTGTTGCTGCGCAAGGAGAGCATTCTGTCCGGGAACGGGAGACACGCCATTGCGGTACGGCTGCCCAGGCATATTCCGCGCCTGACCAGGATACGCCTGAGGCGGAGGAACACCATATGATGGGTCGATTCCGCGCTGCTGAGGGAGACGCGGCTGCACGTTGAAGGCCATGTCGTCCTGGTCACGGAAGATGGGCGCGCTGTCTCTGCCGCGCGGTGGGGGTACTGAGCGAAGACCGGGGACCATGCCGTCAGGAACGAAGTTACGATCGTCCAAACGATTGTCATATAGCATGTCGAGATTGCGGGGAGGGTTACGCTCGGCTTGGTGTAGGTGCATGGGAAGCTGTTGTTGGTTGAACTGGACGCCTCCGGTATGATGCATAGACGGAGCCGCCATGGGACCGGGACCGCGCTGAGAAACGGTCAGTGAAGGGAAATATACGCTTGGCCCCGGAGAGCTGACCTGAGAGGAGTTCTGCAACATCTGGAAGAGGTCCTCCATCGTGCGACCCTCCGCAGCATTGCCGAGACCGCCGCCGCCCCCAATGTACCCATCACCACCACCGATATCGAGCCGTTGCATGGAGTTTGGGAGCTGACCACCATAGTCCATGCCGCCTGGCGACTTGCCCATTGGTTGAGGTTGCATCTCGCGTGGCTTTCCTCCATCGAAGAATTTGGCGAACCGACTGCCTTTCGACTGGTATGGCGAACCGCCCTGGCTTCGCTCCGGGATATCAAAGGCGGGGCTTTGTCCACGTAGAGGTAGGCCATGCGGACCGATGGGTCCACCCATATCCGCATACTGCTGCATTGGTGGTGTCCCAAATTGGGCGCGCTCGAGCGCGGCGTGATTACGAGCCGCATCGTTCGGGTACGCTGAATCCTCTAGGCTGATGGGTGGACGAAGTTGGTTCTCGTAGGACGGGTAGCTGATCTGGGTGCGTACACCAGCGGGCGCAACTCGCTGTGGACCGAGCATCGGCTCAGAAGGCCCCAAGCGTTGTTGTATTTCTGGAGAGAATGCAGCACCAGGTGGAGGCGCTTCGGAGAGTTGACTTAAGGTGGGACCAAAGGTCGAGGGTGGAGGTTCAAGACCAGATGGCGTCTTGGGCAGACTTGGCATGAGATTGGATGACGAGGGGCGGGCACCCAATGACAGTAAGCGAGGGCCAGAGGGCGGGTTGTACGGTTGTGTAGGAGACATCAGGTTATTGTCGGGAGCAGATTCGTGGGCGATCGGCTGTGGTTGATCAATCGCAGAGGGTATAGTAGCTGAGGGAGGAGCAGGGAAGAAACGAGAGCCTGCGGGGCGCAGAGCATCTTGCGAGGACGGAGGGATGTCAGAAGCCGTCGAAGTCGACGCGGTAAGGGGCTGAGGGGCTGTCCCGGCTGTTGTAGCCGATGATGGCTCGACAGCAGCACTACCCATGAGCGTCGCAAGCGAGATAGAGGTAGAGCCCTTAGGGCCACCCAGTCCGGGAGGAGGACCAGCATCTACAATAATGCGTCAATGATGAGAGACATGCAATACCGCGTAGTCTTACCTGCGACTGGGGAGTCAAGGTTGGGCGAAGATCCTGATTCTTTCTTCTTCTCTTCCTCGCGCTTCATCATCTGCTTGAACATCTGGATCTCATCCAATCCTCCTGCCGCAGACTTCGTGCCTTCCTTAGATTTGATTGTCTCCTGCGCACGAGATACCTCAGCCAACTCTGCTGCCTTTTCCTTCTCCTCCTTCTCCTTCATGCCTTTCTTCCAAGCTTGGATACCGTCAAGACCCCCATCCGGCGCCTTCCCGCCCAAGATGCCGGTGCCGCTAGCGGATGGCGGAATATATGTGTCCATCCATGCCGGTTCCTTCTCCTTCTCACGATCCCTACGTTCCTCTTTGTCGTCATCGCCCCGCCTGTCACGTCCGTTCGAGCGTTTGCCTCGATCCTCACGCTCCTCGGTGGTCCACCGGTCATTGCGCTCTCCACGATCACGATCCCGACGGTCGGTGTCCCAGGCGTCCCCATTACGCTCACGGCGCTCACGATCACGCGTCCCTCTTTCTCCGCGGTCGCCTCTTTCTCCGCGGTCACCGCGGTCCCGTGCCTCCCGGTCGCGTTCACGGCGGGCTGCGAGACGTTCGTCCCGCTTGCCATCATCACGCCAGCGCCGCGGATCGTCGTTCTCTTCGCGATCACGGTCACCACGGTCCCTCCGGCGATAGTCGTCCCGGTCGCGGTCGTCACGGTCGCGATTACGATCTCTCCGAGACGTTGAAGGTTCACGGCGTGTACGAGACGAGTCGCGGTGCCGCGAACTATCCCTTCGTGAGGGTTCAGGACCTAGAGATAATCAGCTATGGCAGTTCCAACCAGGATCCATATGGGCTCGTACGTTCATCGCGCCCTACAAATGAGGATAGATTAGACCTTGTACGTATACATGCAATGAGGCAGCTTACCACGGCGCCAATCATCAATCGACTCGCCCGCTTTCCTCCTCGTGCCGCCCTCACGCTCACGCTCGCCACGTCCCTCACCCCGTTCGCGTCCTTCTCCACGCCTGCCCGTGAGGCTAGTCCCTGTAGCTAATCGGCTCGAGCCGACGCTAAGATGCGGCGCAGTTTCTCTGTCCTTGCCGCGCAGACCGTTTGTAGTAGACGACCCAAGCCGATCACGATCGTACTTGTCTGAAAGCTGCAGGCAGAAAGATTGCACGTCAGTCAGACACGAGGACATGAAAATGTAAAACTGACGCTGCGTAGACGCTCTTGCCCTTCGCGGTCGCGTATGTCACGTTCTCTCTCCTTGTCGCCGTCGCGATCTCGGTCGCGGTCGCGGTCACGGTCTCGATCGCTAGTTCGAGTAGATTGATGCTTGAAGTTGCCCATCTGTGAAGGTTGGGATAGAGCGCCGGAGCGAAATGTTGCCCGGGGTGTAGGTTCTGTGAGCCAAGAATAAGCAAGAAAGCACACGTGGAAGGAAAGTGTGGCTATTAGATGCACATACCGCTGTCATCTTGGTCGCGGCGGAAACTGGCAGGCGATAGTGGATGAGCACCAGTAGATGAACGTTGAACGTCACATGTCATAACTCACCGTCGGTCACGCGGAACTGCGTTGAGAGTGAGAGTGTCGCCTCCGTAAGATTTGTTGTTTTGTTCGGGCCACTCTCTGGAGATGCGGACTGAGTACGGCTGGGCGCAAGATGTGGATGAACACGCACCCGAACCAGTCTCTCATGGGCGGCATGTGGTCCAGAGGCTTCACGAGAGGCGAGTTGTAGAGTGCGAGTATCTGCGGGCGAGTGTATGATACGAAACTGCGAGGGCTACTGGGCGATTCCAGCGGCGAGTCGCCGCTGCGCGCCTCGCTCAAAGATCCGTCTTTTTGCGCGGCATCGACACCCGCGTCGCCAGCGGAGATGGCCGGTGAGCCACCGTGTTCGTCGTCGGCCATGTGGCTATCCAGTGACTGTACGAAGCAAGCAGAGTTTCAGCGATAATCGAGCAGAGCGTTGTTGACGACGTTTACGGTTCAGGTCGACCAGTTAGCGCCGCGCGGCTCGGGAACGGCCCTTGTGACAGGTAATAATTGCCGTGACACCCAGGCAAGCACTTGACCTCATGCCGCCACCACAGTTGAGCCTAAAGCATTTTATCCTCCAAGCCAGAGCACGTAATCTATACAGGCAAGCACTACGCGCAGCACGAAGTATTTATGATATGTTCTCTATCCCAATTCTGGCTTAACAGTCGCTTAGACATTCCGGACCAAAGCGCAAGAAAGGAGACCATTGAATGGATACGCTCGGACTTTGATAGGAATCGCTTTCTTTCAGATATTGTACGGCAGGCTACATACATACTCTGTCACGAGGCTAAAGCACCTTATCAGGACATGATTGAAGAAAAGCTGGCTGCTGGGCGAAGGGAACTGCGCCAATACTTTCCGGCTATGAGATAATTGCCCCTGTGACCCACATATTTGCTATCCATGTTGTGAAATCCGCTGTGAAAGCTTTGTAACGTAATACTTTAGAGTGCACATATCTTCGACACATTGCTATCTGCGTGACGAGGGACTGGCGATACGCGCTTACCACCGTTGAGCCGAGCTGCAATATATATTCTCGCAAGACGATAAGGAGCAGACAAGCTGCCAGGTGACACTTTTGTTAGGGCGTCCAAACCGTTTCTTCAGATGTAAGGCGGCATCGGAAGGGTACGCCGAGCATGATGGGCATAAAGCCTCAAGGACCTCTTCGACCAGAATATTGAGCAAGGGCGTAATATACATACACACACAAGATGGGCCAGAATTCAGCCACCGGAACCTGTCCCATTTCGCAAAAGCACAATCCTTGCTGTTCATCGTTCGTCGATTGCATGATATGGCAGGTTGAGGGAGCTGTAACACCTCATTGGTTGCGGAGAACTAGAAATCGCGTCAGTGCTGTATTCTAAGTTTGTAACCGGAGTACTCACCAAGAATCACAGAGTCACCCCTAATGAGAAGCGATGAGTGAATGCTGGAAAAAAGCACACTTGTATTGAGTTTGGTACGCACCGGAGGAACATTTTGCTGATGAACCGATCCTTGTTCACGGCCTTCTTATTCTTGCCCTTGGGCATCTCCGTCCACATCTTCACAACCCAGCATGAGTATTGATACCCAAGAGTAGAAGCATCTGTACACACCTCTTTCACGTTCTCCAGGACCTGCCGTACGCGCAGACGTTAGCATCGCATTTGACCACACGATCAGCCCGAGTACGCACCATGTTCGAGTGCCGGTCGAACGCCTTGACGCGGGCAAGCAGCTTTTTGTTGTTGCGGAGGGAGATGAGGACTTGTGTGTGATTCCTCACCGCCTGCTGGAGGACGGATAGCGGGCCCTGGCTGATCTCGTGTTCCTCCAACTGGCGTAGTTGAGCCTCGTCTAGCTCGGACTTCGGCACATTGACGTACTGGCTATACAACAAGTTGCGTCAGTATACATAGCAGTTGGTAATTTTCAGAAACGCGCCTCATCGTGAGTGATGGAGGTGGGCCGGTAGGTGGTCGTGGATGTCGATGGCGAACGCGTGCGCGCGCGACGCGAGGCGGCTCAAGCGCGTGCACGTGGAATTTCCATCCATGGATTTCGCTCATTTCTCAAGGTTGCTTTCGACCATCATCAGGCGCGGGACTCGGACTGGCATTGTTTGCCCTCACTCTCGTACTCGTACGTGAAGACACAGTATGAACTGCTATATTTGATATATACGTATGCCGACTTGACACCTCCACACTGGTCCGTGACTTCCTGAGCAACACCGCTGGCCGATATGTTGTTGGACATTATGGCGGTCAGCTTATCTGTGTACGAATATAGTCAGCTGAGGTCAATCATCGGATGCTCAGTATGAAGGTCAGTGTGTTCTAAGCAAAGCTTTTGTGCCGCATATCCCAGAGGATCGGGACCTTGAGATGTTCGTCCCATAGCTAGCCGAAGCGAAATCCGACGTACCCTTGGTGATGCTTCGCGCTAGGGCACTCGACGGGCGGAGGCAAGGAGCCGTTGCTGATCTCGGTCATATTTTATACTCTTGCGCTTCGAGAAGTCACCGGGTTTGACCGTGTGTGGTCGCGTGAGCTCTACGCCGACGTTTGTGAGGTTCTTTTCACACAGGGGAGTGACTCTTCCTATACGCTGCAGCTAACTTTGGAGTCGCAGCTATGCGGCATTTTTGGCGGTATCTGGTAGCAAGGTGCGCCTACTATCGGTGCCAACATACTGGGCATTCATTCACGAGGTACTGACATATGGTTCCCAGATTCGCAGACAGTATCCTTCAAGTATGGTCAACATTGACTGCCCTGGGAGATGATATAACACCTCTATACTCTCCCGTGTCGACCAGGATCGCAACAGCGTGAGTTCGCCTTTTCCCAGCTATCGTAGGGCAAGTCCTGATGAGATAACAGTTAGCGTGTGTTGGTACTACGTGGCCATGGCGAATTCAGTCTAATTCTAGAGCTATGTTATTGTGCCATATATCCGAGAGGATCGGGATATTGAGATTTTCGTCCCATAAGCGGCGCAATCGCAACTCGTCGCACCTTATGTCAAGCTCTTCAAGGGATCTTGTCCATGCGCCGCACCTTTGGACGGGCTGGGGCAGGAAGCTGTAGCTGATTTGCCTTGATCTTTATAGCTCAGCGCTTCGCGAGGTCATCGGGCCTGGCCATGTGCAGCATGCGTGAGAGGCTTCACCAGTTCAGTGCGTTCAATTCACACAGGGACAAGAACCATATACACTCAAAAGGAATCACATCCTCCTATCCTGTGCTCATACCTGTGGAACAAGAGAGCGCTTTGATACGAGTGGTTCTAAGTCGCTTCCTGTTCGCCGCAACGCACAACGCTTGAGTACCGGTATGCTGACGGGATGCCTCCAGGTGCCAGCATCCAGCACGTAGTCTATACCGTTCCACGCTCAGGACACTGCATTGACGAGGAGCGAGGGGCATCGCCGAAAACAGAGATTGACGTTGAAAATGCTCATTCAAACATCTCAATGCGCTCTCGACCTTCCGACGCGCCGAACGTTGCGGCACGCATCAACAACCGCTCTGGGGTATCGGTTCAGCTGCGTTACGCCTTCAACAACTGCATCTATCGTCCTCCAGGTCACGTCCAGAAACCTGCAACTGCCTGCCATATGCACGTTTTTACCTCAAACTCATGAGTACTATTCATTCTTACAGGAGTTCCTCATCGATCACGCCCTTAAGGTAATGAACTCTTTGAGATCTCTATGGACGCACAGGACTCATGGTTACAATTCTGCAAGGGTACACCGCTCACCGGCATCAGCCGACCTTGGTCAAATGGAGCATGATCGTCGGAAGAAGCGAGGATCAGGCGCGCGCGCATATCGTTCGCTTGGGAAGCAGTGCTCTCTGATACAGGGGGATATAACCATGCATCACACCTTATGCATGGACGATATCGACGCTAGACTCATCTGGTCGTACGCAACAGAAAGCGCTCAGCTTCTGTCGGATCCGAAGCAACACGTGCTGCGAGCTGAACGCTATGTTATCTCCGGTCCGCAAAGAAAAGGCGGCGTACAGATAATCATCGCGCGGCGATGCCCTTGGGCTCTGTAACTTCCCGCGCTCCAATACAGCTCAGTCTTGGCCGGTCTTAATAGCCGCTGCCTGTCGCCATTCACGTTGTGACTTCTGGGCGCGCTCTCATTCATTCCTACATAAAGAGACTCGGAGACTTTGTACGCTCCTGACCGCGCCCCTGCGCCCCCGAGCTAAGACGACATGGAGCCCACGTACCCCCTCTTTCCGATATTTAGCTTGATCTCGGCTGCACTTCTCCTCCTCATCCTGATCAACAATGCCATCCGACGGAGTTTCAACTTCGGGCTTTTCATGATCTGCCTCGGCTTGTTCTGTCTTAACTTCACTTATGGAGTCGGCAGCATTGCATGGGCAGATAATGTGGACGTGAAGGTGCCGGTATGGTGTGACATTGGTGAGCGCCGAGTCTTGCCAGTCGCATCTCTTAGCTCACTCGAACTTCAGCCAGCCATCTTCAACTCTTCGGTGTTATCATCGTCCCAGCTGGATCGCTGGTCGTCACACGCCGCCTGTATCTCATCGCAAGCCGCCGACCGATCAGCTCCCTTGAGCCCAGACAGGTATGCCGTGTGGCATCGGAGCGGTCATCATACGTTCAACTGAGCATATCTCCAGCAACGGACAGAGTTGATCATAGAGTGCTTGCTGCTGCTTCTACTGCCGGCTCTGTACATCAGCATCTTTTGTATGCATGGCTTATACATCGTAAGGCCCGGGCTCACTCCCTCTTGTTTAGACTACACCTCGCAAGTTAGTCGCTTCCAGATATTCGAAGGTTACGGGTGCACCAATGCAATCTGGGGCTCTGGGATGTCAATCATCCTCCTCGATCTTCCAGCTCTTATTCCTCCGGCCATTTCAACGCTCTTCTACTGCCGTACGCGCAACACTCGATGGTGCTCCATTGTCCATCTGCTGATCCTGCTCATATCCAGCGAGAATCCTCTGGGTGTTCTACACGCAACGGAAGGTCTTCAAGCAGTATCTGAGCGACAGTAGCTCGGCTTCGTCTGAGCCAAGGACCAACTACATGCGTTTGCTCGCGATCGGCTGTCTGGACATCGTCCTGACCCTACCCGTACAAGCTATCGGTGTCTTCCTCGACAGCAAGTCAAGCGACCCTTTCATCTTCTATCCAGGTTGGAGCGTGGTTCACGCAGACTGGACACCGTTAGTGATAACTCGCGAAGAATGGCGCGCATCCGGTTGGGGCACCTTCACACTTTACTTTACGTTATGGGCGAACGTCGTACTTGCCTACGCCATCATTGGTCTGTTCGCATTCACACCCGAAGCATTGGACGTGTACAAGCGCGGGTTGTCAAGCGTGTCGAAGCGTTTCGCGGGCGCGCGAACTCAGGACACAAACTTGAACCCAGCAACATCGGCACTTGTGTTTAGGAGCGGTCGTACAGAGACGGAGACATACTCTGCGTAGGTCTTGACGTACATACTCCAGGCCAAAACATAGGCTGACGGAATTGACAGCGATGGTGTCGCAGAGGTTGACATGAAAGCATACAGGCAATCTGAGGCTGGGGAGTACCAGAAGCAACCGTCGTGAAGGATCACAGAGAGCAAGACTTGGTGAGTCCACTTGGGAGTGAAGCGGGTAAGAAGAAGAACTAATCATAGTGTAGAGTATTGCAAAGTTTCTGTGCTTTGCTCTGTAAAGGAAGAAGAGTGCATTCTGATGGCCTTAGCGTTGGCACTATTGCATGTACATCTATTGCGCACAAGCTATACGGATCGAGCGGTATCTTCGGCGGCCCGCGATTGAGTAGAGGCCTTACGCATCATGTAGCAGTACAGGGATCAAGAACACCGAGTCCGCAAAGCTATGAAAGACAAGCTGCGTCCCGAAACCAGCCTGGTCGTTCTGCGCCGCATGCGTGAGAGGTAACAACGGGAACTAACATGAACAGCGACTCACATCTTGATAGCTCTTGTGACTCTCCTGCGCGAGGTGAAAGATCAGTTCTTCGTCGGGCGCAAGCCTTGCTCGCAACTCCTTTCGTACGTAATCGTCTTGTGGCGAGTCCGATTTGACGAGGGCGTCACGTTGAGAGCGTAGTGACGATGTCCAGGAAGATTCAGCCGCATGCTCCACTAAGCGCACTGCCTCAGTACATGAGTCATCGTGCGAAGAGCAGGAAATACCGAATACAGTGTCACTACACCCCCTCAGCCGAGATAACGCGCGTCCGATCAAATGCGCGACAAGCACGGACATTGCCTCGTCTTCTCCTACGAATCGCCGCTCGATCGTGAGCGTCAGGGCATCGCGCAGAAAATCCCAGACTTCTGCCTTCAGAAGTGCAGACATGGATTGCAGCGCGGAGCTACTGCACAGGAGGTAACTTGAAACCGCCGCTGAAGAAGGTGATGAGTATGGAGCGCAAAGATCGCAGGGTCACCAAGACGCACCGGCACATAGAAGATCCAAAGCTGATGATGAGCTTGCGTCTTGTGGCTGTTCGGGGTAAAGTATGCTGAGAACCTCCTCCTCAGACAGAGTACGTCCTCCAGCGCCTAGGTAGGGCGCAGATATCGCGAGGGACACGGCTAGCTCCCGCGAAGACTGAACGCCGGCGCAGACATGATCAGATACAGCCGAGCTTAGCATCGTCATGGTAGGTTTGTAATGGGGAAGCGTTGCGCCGCGATGGCCGAAGACAGTCACGAATGCGAGCAGCATCTGAGCTGGCCTTGGTCGGACTCTCCCGCTTGGATGCGCGAGTAACCTGTGGGGTATCAGTGCTACCGCACAGACAGCGGGAGGCTCAAGTTACTTTCGAATGGTCGTCACGGCTAATGGGCTCACTCAGTATGGCATAAAAGCGGTCGCGTAGCTGTTCACGTGCCTCGGTCGAGCGCTGTCGGGAAGTCAAGACTTTCAGCCAGTCTTTCTGCGGCAGTGCGCACGTCCGATGGCTCAGCGTGTAGCAGAGCTTGAAGAGCAGACTCTGCCACTGATTACAACAGTATGGGTGACGCTAGGGCAATATGAGATCATGCAAATGACTGACCATTCAACGCAGTCTCGGCGCCACCGATGAAGTGTAGAAACATCGTACAGAGATGGAGCACTGTATCGGGAAAGAACATAATACGTCCTTCGAGTAGAGGGTCCGACAGCTGGGCCATTGACCAGCAGACTTGGTGAGCGAGGCGTGTCACTCCTTCGTGATGAGCTTGCTCTTCATTGTGCAATGTATCGATGATCCGGTAGAGCAGTTGCTGACGCGACAGGGCGTGTGTGGTCAGACAAGAACGAAAGCCTTGACGGGAACGTACCAGTATGTGCGTGGCAGACAGAGGGAGATCACGCATAAGCAGGTCGAGGGTGGTGCTCTTCCATCCGTCGTCTGTGGCACCCCGGCTTTGATGACGAAGCCACGCTGTCGTCTGGAAAGACACGGAGATTAGAAACACTGGTGATGGCTAGAACTGACGGACTATACCAATGAGGATACTAGCGTCATGTCAGCGCTACGCGGATCAGCGCAGCAGCGCCAGCACCATGGGAGTACGTGACCCCAGCTTAGGATTACGAGCTGCGCAGGGTCCAACGGGTCATCACCGAGCAGAGTCAGCCTGCCCACGTCGAATAGCGCATGTAAGCATCCGAAAATGAGTGAGATGAAGTATGGACGAGAGGTGGGAGATGGGCTATCGGACGCGCGATCCATCGAAACGGTCTGCCAAACGAGTCAGGATGAGAGATTCCAATGCAAGATCTCCACTCACTGCACACAAAACAGTAGCCATGGCGCATGATAACTTCTCGTCATCACCCAGTCCACCCGCACGACGAGCAGCTATGTCGCCATAGTACCGAGCGACACTTTCGATATCGGTCGGAGTGATAGTTATGCTACTCCGCTGGTGAGATGGAGAGCATTTGCGCAGATGGTGAAGAAGAGATTCACCTGGATGGCCCCAAGTCTCCAGTCATCGCAGGACGGACGATGCATGCAGCAAAGACAAGCTGCAGAGCTAATTTTCGCATCCCGGGAGACGCATACGTAGAGTATGTAGCGGGAGCAAGATCTTTCGTGTCCTCTGACAAGGACGGTCAACAATGCACACAGAGCAGGAGTGGTAAGGCATACGCGGCAATTGTCTGACGGCCCACAAAGCTTGCGCATCGAGAAGCTGAGTGGAAGCTGCGACTGGAGCATATCCGGAAGATATCAGATTGACGATCCGGCACATCTTAAGCAACAGAACGTCAGTCCATGGTACAGAGATGGAGGACGTGTCGCCGAGGGTGCGCAAGATGGAGTAGACCGCCCTGCGGTGGGTGAATAGCGAGACGAAGAAGTCTTCCCTTACTAAAGAGAGTCAGTAAAGGTCGAAACACTATCTAGTAACACACGAAGTTCCAGAAAAAGCTCGAATGAGGCGCATATATCCAGCCTTTCTCTCACATCTGCCCGTAACAGGTCGTCCAGGAGGCAGTTCAGGGACGAAGAGGCTGCTACTACGTTGGTATGAAGATTCGGATCCTGTTGAAGATCAGTAGAATGTTAACGTCGTAGTATTAGAAGAGCTTACCGATCCCAGAGAGGTAGCTCTTGGAGCTGTGGCAACGAGGACGCCGATGGCGTCTAAGACGTTGAGGTCGGAGGTTGCCTGCGGTTGGCGAAGAACGAACGGCGCGTCGGATGTAATAGCTGCAGAGGGAATGAAATCTCCCTCTGATTCTGTATCGCTGTCCATTGTAGAAGCAGAGTGGCAGTAAGAGGAAAGGAGGGAGAACATTGACAGGTATGATGGATGCGAAGAGATGGAAGCGCCGACTTTAGCGCCGTCATGGATCCATGGTCGCACGCACCATCAAATGAGAGGAAAGCGACGGTAAAGCTACACTAGATGAGAGTTACGAAGCAACGTCAAACAATGCGGGATATATGTAAGGGTGCGAATGATGCTAGTGGTAGTTGGAGTCTCATGTGGCGACCTTCAAAAACGCTGTAATGTCTGATTTGCAGCGCAGAGGCTCTTCATGACGGGAAAGTAGTGCGTCAAAGGCCTCATTAGACTCTTCAGTCTGCGTTCGAAGTCAGCGCAGGAACGTTCGCGGCAAGATAGACAGTCATACCGAATCTCCTCTGAACTCATAGTTGATCCACGTCTCATCCTCTTCGGCATGTATTGCCTGCAGCATCTCCCGCCTTACGGTCGATAGTCCGCCTTGCATGGTCTGCCCACCCTTATCCTCGGTCTTTCGCGCTGACACCTGAATGTCCTTAGCATCGCCCGTCGGCTTCTTCTCCTTCTTCGCTACGGGTGCAGGTGCAGGCTCATCAGGATCTGGTGGAGGGCCGTCATCCGAATCCGAGTCGTCTCCTCGTGAGCGTTTGGACTTTCGAGAGAGGACATCGAGGTATGTCATTGTTGGGCGAAGTTGATGCGTTTCGCTGACGGGGTGTAGATGCAGGCGGCCTATCCAAACCTCAGATGATGGTCCAAGTATAAGAGCAGGGCTTAGCATACCTTCACGCACAAAGCCAAGCATATACGCCCCAGCCTGCGGTATCTGCTCGCTCCTCAACCGCGTCTCAGACAAGCGCGGCTCCTCGCCTTCCTTCAACTTCATCGCGCCCGTCTCCTGGTTCTTCTCCTTGTCATCCACCGCTCTCCCAGCACCGAGCTCCTTCGCCCGCTCGTCATTCCACACGTCTTTTCGCGTATCAACGGGTACGTGTATTTCGAGCCGCTTTGACTGAGGTTTCAAGCGCGCCTTGATGAGTTTGCCGCTGCGTTCAGCTGCAGGTGGTACAACAAGTTTGCGGTTGAGCAGGGGAAATTGGTGAATTTGAACATTGGGAAGAAGAGTGTTCGTGAGATGTATAGGCAGCACAGATACTACAGGGTCATCCTCTTCCATATTCACGTCCATGGTTGAGCGTAGAAAGCAAGACCGAAGCCGGCCAGAAATTCCGCATTGATCGGCGCCACACGTGAGCTTTCCGAAGCGCGTCGAGCCGGAACGCGACTGGACGCGTCTTTGAGCTGTCCCTCGACGGCGACGATGGCCAGCGCCTTTCTCTCGCCCTGCCGCAGAGCAGCCCAGCATGCCTTCTTCCTCGGCTCTTTCCGGCGCACTCTCGCTACAGCAGCTCCCACGCCTTCTGAAATCACCGTGCTAGGCCAGTCATACCCCACAGACGGGCACACCAATGTCACGCCCGCTATAATCTCCAAACTCTCCCGAAAACTCTGGCTACAGGATGGACACCCGATAGCTACACTCCGAGGGCTCATAGATTCTCACTTCTCCTCGCACGAGCACCTGAGTTCAGACTCGCCGCTCGTAACGCCTCACCAGAACTTCGATTCACTCTCCTTCCCAGCCGACCACCCCGGCCGCTCAAAAACGGACTCGTATTACATCAACAAAGACTTGATGCTCCGCACACATACCTCGGCTCACGAGGTCGAAGTCTTTGCGAAGGGGAAGGAGAAGTGGTTGCTTACGGCGGACGTGTACCGACGCGACGAGATCGACGCGTCGCATTACCCTGCGTTTCATCAGATGGAGGGCGCGCATATCTTCGGGAACGCTCCCGAGTCTATCGAAGCTGCTGAAAAGGAGTGCGAACACATGGAGGCGCAGCTTGCGAAGGTCAACATCGAAATCACGGATATACCGCACGTTTCTGCGTCCAACCCCGTCCAGCCGGCACATACTACAGCCCAGGCAGAGCTTGCGGCGCGCCACCTCAAGCTCTCACTCAACGGTCTCATGTACACTTTGTTTGCTGGTGCTGCAAGCGCGAGCGAAGCCGAGCCTTTGCGTGTACGCTGGATCGAGGCCGAGTTCCCGTTCACGAGTCCGAGCTACGAGGTCGAAGTCTTCTTCCGCGGGAAGTGGCTTGAGATTTTGGGCTGCGGCGTCGTGCTTCAATCAACTCTCGACCGTGCGAGTAAGTCATACTTCTGACATGACATTTGACGCGCCTCTGAACTCACGCAAGTAATAACATAGGCGTCCCGAACAAGCTCGGCTGGGCATTCGGCCTTGGCCTTGAACGCATCGCCATGATCCTCTACTCCATCCCCGATATCCGTCTCTTCTGGTCCGAAGACGAGCGTTTCTTGGACCAGTTCAAGCCGGGCGAGATCACCACGTTCGCCCCGTTCTCGAAGTATCCCGCCAGTACCAAGGACGTCAGTTTCTGGCTTCCGGAGTCCAGCGAATTGCACGATAACGATGTCTATGATTTGGTGAGGGATATCGCCGGCGATATTGTTGAGGATGTTGCAGTGGTATGCGATTCATCGTTTCATGCCAGTTCCTTGATTGACACTATTGCGTACAGCTCGACAAGTTCACGCACCCCAAGACCGGCCGCAATAGCGCGACCTACCGCATCACCTATCGATCTATGGAGAGGTCAGCGCGTCCCTCACAATTCCTCATTCACGCATGCTGACGGCTCCGCTCTAGGACACTGAGAGTGAAGCAGGTCGAGTCTCTGCAGACCCAGATCAAGTCGCGGCTAGCAACGCAGTTCGGCGTCCAAATCCGATAACGGGCGCATTTATTTATATCTCATGATCGTGCAGCAATATAATCCTGGACCTGCGGGTCTATCCTCACTACTCTCAGCGGCCACATTGCAAGAAGGGATGAGGATTTAGAAAGGGCATGGATTGCAAACACCGCTACAGCAGCAGGGTACGCGTAATACGCATCAACACAGGAAGTCCACAAAGCCTACATAGCCAGCTCGCAACAAGGTAAAAACGGATGAGAGGAGGGGGAATCATTCGCGCAGGTATCGGGGTAACATGAACAAAAGGGAGATGAAAAGATCCGCGCAACGCAACTCCGGTGAGACGAGAGAAGTGAGAAGAATGGGGAGGAATATTGTACACGAACTGGCTAGAGACGATAGAGACGACCTATGGAGCGGTCTATCGTGAGAGTGTGAGGGGCGTACGACCAAAGGGAGGTCATAGGAAAGGACATACATACGTCGAGTCATAATATCGTTAGTGGTGTTGGGGATCGGGTGATGGGATTCGGGTTGGGGTTAGGCGAGAGGGGGGGAGGGGTAAGAGGGGTTAGTCAGTAAGTACTCAGTACTACGATTCGACGATTCTGCGGATAGGCAATTAAGGAGAGGGGGATGGAGGTAGCCGTACAGCGACAAGCGACACAAAAAACGGATAGAAAAGATGTGATTCGAGACACAGAGACCAGAGCGAGATTGGTATCAATATCAATACTGGACCATGGGATTGGGACAGGAAAAAACGGATGGGCAGAGGACTATGTACTCACTATCAAAAATATCATATGGGGAAACTCAAAACCGATTGTTCACAGTGCTCCCCGACCGCGGCCGTCCACCGCCCGGGACACTCAGCTCATCTTCCCCACCAGCGCTCCGTCGTCCACTGCCGAACTGCGGCCGCCCAATCCTGCTCTGCCCCAACCCGATCCCACTCGGCCCCGTAGTAGCGCTTCCCGGCAGTCGTCCTCCGCTCCCTCTCACAGTAACATTCGGATGCCCGACGTTTGATCGGCCGCTAGGTGAATCACCCGAGCGGAATGAGGAGGGGGAGCCGGATAAGGCGCTCTTGCCTGGTACAGGGATTGAACGCGGGCGAGAGGGTAAGCCGCTATCGCTCATGTATGCGTCGTGTACGGGCGTCCGCAATGCAGTGCTCGCACCGAGCGACGAGCGCTTCGGACCCGCGGAGCCGCCCGAGCCGGAGTACGGCCCGCCGGCGCCTGGCCCTGTCGAGCGCTTAAGCGCGCTCGTGCTCGCATACAGGCTTGCTGAGGGTAGAGGGAGGAATGTCGGTGACGTGGGCCGCGAAGACGGAGTTGGGATAGAAGACACAGTTGCTGTTGTGCCGATGGAGGATCGTCCCTCAGAGGATACACGCGACTGCGGGCGTTTTAGCGCTGAGGGCTGTCCTATCATGCTGCGAGACAGCAACGGGTTGGGTGAGAGGGGAGGAGAGGAGTTGTTCGAGTTGGGGGTGATGTTGGTAGTGGTGGCAAATGGCCGTACTTTCCCCCGTCGAGAGGGACTTGAGTCGAGTGACGCACGGCGCGAAACGTCCGCTTTATCCTTCTTCGGCGAGGGACTATCTTCCATAACGAGTACCCAGCCTGTATCGCCACCAGCACGTTTGCCATCTGGGCTTCGTCGCTGGTCAATGCTTCGCCTTTCAGCCACTGATGGACGGCGCGACACAGGACCCTTTGACGAGCTTGCCGAAGGCTGAGCAGACGTGGTGGACGATAAGCTCGACGGTCGAGAGATATTGGTCGCTGCCACAGGGGGAGGTGCCGGTCGCGAAGTGCTGCCCATACGTATGCGGGGGACTCGGGTATGAATCTTCTGCTCAAGGTTCTTGACCTTCGCACGCATCTCGGATACCATCTGCACGCCTCGACTGCGCGGGACTGGAGTGGCAAGGCTAGATACGGCTGCAGGTGGCACCCTGGGCGTTGGCCGTGTGACGGTCGTTCGGGGAGGAGGTAGGCGGGAGGGAGTGGCCGGTGAGCCGTATTTCGGCCGAGGCAAGCTGCGGGGGGTTTCTGGCGAGGCAAAGTGTGTGCGAGGCATGCCAATGGACGACTTGTGGAGCAGAGGCGAATGATGGCCAGAGTCAGAGCCGTGTGAGGACGAGGATGCCCTCGGTGTTTCTGGCACAGTCGAGGTAGAGTTGACGGGTGTGAATTCAGAGTCGGGAGTGAGGTCGGATAATTGGAGGTCTGAGGGCGCTTTCTGGTGGGCGAGCAGGTCCTCGTCCGAATGATGCAACGAAGAGGAGGGTGTGGGCGGCGAGGGCTCGCTCGAGGAAGTAAACGTCATCACGGACGCGCGCTCCTGTGCCGCCGCGAGTTGGTCTCGCAATATTCCAATCTCCGCGTTGGCGTCTGATAACGATATGTTCAATAAACAGGGGCACAAGACCACATCACAGCACAAACCTCGTAGCTCATCCTTCCATCGCTGTGACTCTTCCTCGATATGCGCCTTGTCCAACAACTCGTGCTCCAGCAATATCTTCTCCTCCAACGTCCGCGAGTACTTTCCCTCGATATCGGCCAAACTGGACAGCACCGCGCGTTCGTTGCGCTCGAGATCGTCGTTTCCCATCTCGAGTTCACGCAACTGGACTTTGATCTTCTGGTGCTCGGCCCGGAGCTGATCAAGTTCGCGCTGGAGGGAGGTTGTGGTCGTGTTGTGGTTTGTCTGGAGCGACATGAACTTGTTCTGTAAGGTGGTCAGTATACTGATATAGTATATGTACTGATGTACACACCTTCCACTCTTCCCGTTCACCCTCTGCACGCTCGAGCTTGACCTTCATGTCCTGGTGTGCCTTCTCCGTGCGCTGGAGTTCCCGCTCGAGCTCCTCCTCGAGCTCCTTGCTGGACGTGTGAAAGTCGTCGAGCTCGTTCCGCGTCTCCTCGAGCATCTCCCGGGCCTCGTAGTACTTGCTCTTCCAGTCCGCGCCGTCTCCGCATGTCGAAGTGCTGGAGGGGATTGGGAATTCAGTATTCTGTGATAGGCGCCGTAGATGCGAACAATTACCTGAGGGCGTCGTCATCGAGAGAGGTCCTGGCGTCCATGGCCGGCATGATGACGGGCGGTCGATCTGAGATGGCGAGGTTCGAGCGGTCGACGGCCGCGGAGAAGGGGGAGGACGGGAACGGGGAGCGGCGCTGCGCGGTGTTGAGCGAGGTCGAAGGCAAGTTCAGAATCACACAAGCTCTCCGGCCCACGTCTCCCGTCAACACGTGGGTCCCGCATTCATCAAAGCCTCGGCCTCTTTTTGTGCTTTCTAGCTCAGATCGCTGCATATAGCACACACTACTACAGTACTGCTACGATAACATGTCTTCCGGCTTCGCGCACTTGCGTCGCTCGATTTTTCCTGTCTTTGGGCACCGCATCTCAAGCCACGACACGGGCTCCATCGTCGCGCCTGCAGCTGTCATCAGCAAGCCGCAAACACGCCTTGTGGATTCTAGGGTCCTAGCACTCACCTGCCTCGCTCGTGGCAAAGATAACACCCAGATCGTTGCGCGCCGTAGTGACATAGTAGCTCCTTGCGTCGCCCAGTGAAATCTATATGCGCATATATTGGTGGCCGCTCAGATAGATGGGGGCGAATATACTTACGACCAGACCCTTGACGACATCCCCGCCGCGAAAGCAGTCTGCGATCTTCACCTTGTCCTTTTCTGTCGCGCGCACGTCTTGAGAGCGAATGACGCCTGTGAATTCTTCACCGGGTGGCAGAGGCACGCCGTCGACGACAGTGATGGCTATCTGTGCCTGCTGTGGCGATAGTCTGGTGACCTGTCCCAGCACTACCGAATTTGATGCAGGCGGATTCGGTCGTGTCCGCGAAACAGAGAGTTTCTACTGGCAGGAAAGACACGGCGTGAACTTGCCAAAATTCACTCGAGACTCAAAATAGGTACGGACAGGACCGTCGTATGAAGGCACGCCGAGCAAACTCGCGCGGACTTGTCCAGAGCGCAAATACACGCCCTGTCCCAGCTGAGGCGCAGGGCCCTTTTGAGGTAGAGGTATGGGTTGACCGGGCAATACCGTCGACATGGTGGTTCGCCACAGAGTCCGATCCGCGTCGAGGTGCCATCAACGGAGTTGGTTCGCTCGTTGGGGTCCGAGCCTCCGAAGAAGCATCCCGGGCCCTGCCGAGTACAGGTCGCGCGCCAGCTCTCCTCCTCCCTCCACCACACACCTCATGAGTGCCTCTGTTCTCGCTCGTATTGCCCAGCGGGGTGCGTATATACACTTTGGATATAGTATAAACGGCCAAAATAGTGACTTTTCAAACAGGTCTGCACACCTCGGCACGGAGGCTCGCCCTCACGAAGATGGCCATGCCGGCCATGAGCCCTACCATGACCGAGGGCGGTATCTCCAAGTGGAAGGTCGAGGAGGGCGGCTCCTTCTCTGCCGGCGACGTTCTGCTCGAGATTGTGCGTAGAAACCGAAACTTTGCACAGCTGCCAGCGGAACGCGTGCTAACTTTACGTGCAGGAGACGGACAAGGCCGTCATTGATGTCGAGGCTCAGGACGACGGCGTGCTGGCAAAGATCATCGTACGCTATTATATTTTGAATTTCATAAGCAAATACTGACGCGTATATCTAGACCGGTGACGGTTCCAAAAACGTTGGTGTCGGTGCACCCATCGCCATCCTCGCCGAGCCAGGAGATGACTTGTCTGCGGCAACACAAATGGCCGAGGACGCGAAGAAGGAGGGCGGCTCTTCCTCTGCACCTGCACCGAAAGAGGAGTCGGCACCCGCACCGCCCAAGCCGTCGTCCGGCACGACCGACCCCGCGAATGCGCCCACAAAATCCACTGACAACTCCGGCTACGACGTCTCGCCAAAGACCGAGCTTCCCAAGGGTGACCGCATCTACGCGACACCCGTGGCAAAGAAGATCGCCCTCGAGCGCGGTATTCCTCTTGCCAAGGTCAAGGGCACCGGTCCCGAGGGCCGCATCACGCGTGAGGACGTCGAGAAGTACAAGCCCGAGTCCGCCGCCGCAACCTCTGCTGCCACCCCGGCAGTACCGGAGTACACCGACACGCCCACCAGCAATATGCGCCGCACCATTGGCCAGCGCTTGCAGGAGAGCAAGGTCCAGGCGCCGCATTACTACGTTACCGCGGACATCAACATGGACAAGGTCATCAAGCTTCGCGAGGCGTTCAACAAGAGTCTGGCGGAGAAGGACAAGGGCGCGAAGCTCTCCGTGAACGACTTCATCGTTAAGGCTGTCGCCAAGGCATGTGAGGACGTTCCGGAGGCCAACTCTGCATGGCTCGGCGAGAACATTAGGCAGTGAGTGATCTTAAACATTGCAAAGTTGTTCATATGACTGACATTTACATAGGTACCACAAGGTCGACGTCAGCATCGCTGTTGCGACACCTAATGGCCTCATCACGCCCATTGTCAAGGATGTCGGCGCAAAAGGTCTCGCAACCCTCTCCGCCGAAGCCAAGACGCTCGCGAAGAAGGCGCGCGACGGCAAGCTTGCGCCGCAAGAGTACCAGGGTGGCACCTTCACCGTCTCCAACCTGGGCATGTACGACGTCTCACACTTCACCGCCATTATCAACCCGCCGCAGTCGTGCATTCTCGCCGTAGGCTCAGCTCAGCCTACGCTTGTGCCGGCACCCGAGACGGAGCAGGGCTTCAAGACGGTCAACAAGATGAACGTCACGCTCAGCTCGGACCACCGTACGGTCGACGGTGCTCTCGCCGCGCGCTGGCTCGGCGCGTTCAAGGGCTACCTTGAGAATCCGCTCACGTTCATGCTCTAAGCTGGCGAGTCCGGTTTGGTGGCGTGAGCGAGGAGGGTGTGGGATCAGGCGCGCGTGCACAGTACTTACTTCTTCGGGATAAATAGACTTTGCTTTAATGAGATAGATCTCTCTTCATATTCTGCCTGGTACCTACGTGTCTTTCCGCACAGCGTGATACCTTTGTAATGCAGCACGCGAGCTCTTTACTTTTCTCACCGCTCAGATTGCTTGAAGTGTCAGGTTGACTCGAGCCTCGAGTTTAGCTCTGTGCGAAGTCGCCTCGCGTCTTGACAGCTGCAATCACTATCATGCCCGGTCGAGTAAGACGATCTCCGCTGAAGAAGCCCGGTTCGTCCGGTTCTGGAAATACGTCTAGGCTGTAGTTCATGATGTCAACTCAGACCGGCCCTATCTCGCGCTTGGGCTCGAAGGCTCAGCGAACAAATTCGGTGCGGGTATCATCAAGCACGACGTCGATGGCTCGTCTACCGTACTCTCCAATGTACGACACACATACATTACTCCGCCAGGGGAGGGCTTCCAACCGCGCGATACGGCGCTGCATCATCGCGAGTGGGCGATGAAAGTCATCAAGGATGCCGTTGAGAAGAGCGGGGTGTCTATGCACGATCTCGACTGTATCTGCTATACAAAGGGTGCGCTATGATCTCTGCAATGAGTTATTTTACATTCTGACTTTAGGGTTTGATCACAGGCCCTGGCATGGGTGCACCGCTACAGTCTGTATCCCTTGTGGCGCGTACGCTCTCGCTACTCTTCAACAAGCCCCTCGTAGGCGTCAACCACTGCGTCGGCCACATCGAGATGGGTCGCGAGATTACAGGCGCACAGAACCCCGTTGTACTCTACGTCTCGGGCGGAAACACCCAAGTTATAGCATATTCGCGCCAATGCTACCGCATCTTTGGCGAGACGCTCGACATCGCAGTCGGCAACTGCCTCGACCGCTTCGCGCGGGTGATAAACTTGCCCAACGAGCCCGCCCCGGGATACAACATCGAGCAGCTGGCTAAGCAAGGCAAGCGACTATTGTCGCTGCCGTATACCACAAAGGGCATGGACGTGTCGCTGTCCGGCATCTTGACGTCCGTCGAGTCGTTGACGCTCGACAAACGATTCAGAAGCGATGGCAAGCCGAGATCGGAGGACGACACGGACATCTTCACACCGGCCGATTTGTGCTTCACATTACAGGAGACGGTGTTCGCCATGCTCGTCGAGACAACCGAGCGGGCAATGGCGCATATTGGTTCGAAGGAGGTCTTGATTGTGGGCGGTGTAGGCAGCAATGAGCGGTTGCAGCAGATGATGGGCACTATGGCGAAGGAGAGGGGAGGGAGCGTGTTTGCTACTGATGAACGGTACGTACTTCTCTTCTCTTCCTGTCCTGACGCAAAGGAAGCTTGGACTGACGTCTGACATGGAAGGTTCTGCATCGACAATGGCATCATGATCGCTCAGGCTGGTTTGCTGGCGTACCGCATGGGCTATACGACACCCTTGACCAAGAGCACGACGACGCAGCGCTTCAGGACTGACGAGGTGCACGTTGCCTGGAGAGCATAGATAACATAAAATTGCGATTCCGCGCGCGATATGCTTGTACATTATCTGACACTGTAGCTATAGGGTATGACAACGTTCGGAAAGAAGTCTATGCATACAAATAAGGTATCATCGTTCGAAGCCCGCTGTCAGAGCGGCGGCGCCACGTTCTTGAGCACCATCTGCTTCGCCTGAGCGTCCGTCTGATCCAACTCCTCGACCAGCCGCTCGAAGCGATCCCACCACCACTTGTTCATCTCCTCGTACTCCGGTATCGCACCCGACGCCCCAACGCGCGCATGCCACGGCTTATCGTGCAAGATATAATGCAAGCATCGAATCTCCTCGTCCCTCCACAGCGGCGTATGGATGACCCGCAGCGTCTTGAGCGCATTGTAGATCCACGGCAGCGGGCGCCAGCGTCCCGCGAAGAAGGCGGAAAGCAGATCCTGATCAGGGAACGAGAAGGTCGGCACGAGAGGGGACGTATGCACAAAGTTGACGATCTCCGCTTCGAGCTCCGCGCTCGGCCGGAGTACAACGAGCCCCGAATTGAGCAATGTGTGCGGGCGTGGGCTGTCGGCCGTTATCGGCGTCGGAGTCGTGAGCGCGCCGGGGTGTGTGAGCGGGGTGTACGCGCAATTCTCGGGGATCCAGTCCTTTGGGTAGTGTGGCAGCTTGCGCGGGTTGCACGCGCAGACGGGCGCAGCGGCGATGCCGTCGGGCGGGAGCTCGAGGGACATGAGCTCGTCCATGTTGTGCATGACGATCATGTCGCAATCCATGAGGGCGACGCGCTGGGGACCTGTTGAGCCCAGTGGACACGCGCGGTACTTGTTAGGCCTACCTCAAACTCGACCAAACCGAAGGCCCTAAAGGGAAAGGTGTTAGGGGCTTTGACATCGCACGTGCGGAGTCGGGCCGACCGACCTGAGCTTTGTCCAAGTATCCGCGAAGCGCGAATCGTGCGCGTTGAGTACGTGTGTATCTCCAAGCGGTAGCAGGGGGTCAATATTTCGGATCACGACTCCATGTCGGCGTAGGACGTCTCGAGCGTCCTCGGACAGTGTATCTGTGACCATACAGACAAAAGGATATACGGAGCCGACGTCCTTGAAACCCTGCGCGACGACTAGTGCTCCGGGGACATAGGCCTCCTTGGTGAGCAACGTTACCCAGGCGGCGTTCGCTGACATGGTGGTGGTTGGGAGCAAAGGCGATCGATGAGGGCCAGGGGGATGCTCAGGGCAATATATCAGTTTCACGCTTGCGGCAGACTACGCACGCTGATCGTGTATCTACCGCACTGTCGCTCCGGGACGTGCTCGGCGTAACGAGCCAGATTAAAAGTCCGACTGAAAAACACAAGGACACGCAGGCGCCCATAGCGGTTAGCGCCCGGAAGGCCAGTCCATCTTTCGATACCGATTACCGCAGTGCATCCTCGCATTTGATCACGCCATACCCGCTGACAGAGCGGTCACTCGCAGATAAGCATAGGTTTTGGCGCTGGCAGCATGCATGAATATTTTGGGTGGGCATGGCGGTACAACATGTAGAGAGCGGGAAAAGGACGTGGAGACGGACAGGAACAGCAAGAAACCAGACTCTCAACGGAGGCGACTATACGATATATTAGTATATTGCGAAAAATGAATATATTCGAAGACGCACCGAGCCTCACGCTCGGACTCGAGGAGAGCGAGGATGTCCGACTCGCGCACGGGGCCCTTGACGTTGCGGATGATGGAGCGCGAGGTGTCGTCGAGGAACTCCACCCTGACCTGGGTGACGCCTCCACGCGAACCGGTCCTGCCGAGCACCTGCAGAACGCGCACATCAGCCTCTGCACTCCCAGTCGCCGATATCTGCTGGGCGCCACCTTAACAACACGGGCGAGCTTGACGGGGGCTTTTGATGAGTCCTGCCCAGTCCTTCAGCATCACAGCCTATATTCTATTCATTTGCGCAGACTGACCATAGTGACGAGGAGTAACGGTCCGGCGGCGAAGAGGCTTTCCAGGTCGTGCCGCACAATGCCAAAGTTGGCGGCCCGTTCCGCCCCTAACCCTAGACCACCGTGCGAAAGACAAAATGGTCCTGCAACGCGTGGCTTCCCACCTCTCGGGATTTGCCGTACGCATTTCTCCTCCGCACTCAAGCTCCCGCCAGCCCGCGTCCGGTTTACATATGCATGTACTAGTTCCGCTATAGTCAGTGCGACTTTGAACGAATCAGACTATATCGCACATCTACCTCTTTCTACGTTGAGTTCGCCTGGTCGGCAAGGCCGAGCGATCCCGAGTCGCCTCTCACCACCATGGAAGGCAATACCCCCGAATTACCACCCGCACATCGCCTTCCCCCCGAGCTTCTGGCTCGTTTGTTCTTCATATATGCGTCGAATAATGATGCCCTCTACGACCTACGTTGGACCAAATTACTGTTTGTGTGCAAGCGCTGGCATGACGTCGGCTTGCAGACTCAAAACCTCTGGAGTTTCATTGCTTGGAAACCCGTCCCGTCGCCCATCCGTGCCTTTCTGACAGGCTTAGGTCCTCAGGAAGAAGATGTTCAACGCATGAGGCGTATCGATGTTCAACGGCAGCGGGCCGAGCACTCCTTGCTCTCAGTGAAGATCTCTCTTGCGCCACATCTCTCCCCAGCCATATTGGCCTACATACCCACACTCTGGGAACCGTCTACCCTGCGGTATTTGGAAGTTAGAGCTGCTCCTGAATACATGTCGAATGTTCTTGATATTTTGGCCGGTTGCGAGCATCCCGCTCTTACGGACTTCCATATATCCCCCTGGAAGCATCGTCGCGTGCCAGGCTTGCAACCTCCCCCATCTCTCGACGACGTTCTTACGAGCAATTTGCCGAATCTGCGGTCGCTCTCAGTTCTGAGCGTGTCCTTCAACTGGACTCTCGTCAGAAATTTGCGTACACTATCCATCACTTATCTAACTAGCGACACTGTGACATTCAACGTCGTAGATGTCGTCGACGCTCTCATTCGCTGCCCACATCTCCAAGAACTCTCTATGAGACTTCCAACATCACTTGGACCCAACGTTGCCGTTCTTCCGGCCGCCTCATTGACTTGCATCTCTGAGTTGTACATCGCCGGAGATGTTGACACGTGCGATATCCTCATACACGCAATCACAGATATCCCACCCTCTGCGAAGATAACCGTCCTCGGCACTTCCATTTCTCAGTCCCTCCAAACCTCGCCCATCTCCTCGATCGCCTCTTACATGGGCGCTCACGCGTCACAGGAGGGCGCTCAGGCACTTCGCTCACTCGCGATCGGATTTGAAGACCCGTGGATAATAGCAGATGGTCCAGGATCTGCGCGTCGGCTAGTGTGAAGAGCTCAGCGCGACATAACGCGCGAAAAGTCTTGGGCAGATAACGACCATCAGGCGGACGCGTTGATTTGCCTCTCGCTTGGCGTAACAGTTCCAAGCACTGCAACATTGGAGGACAGCGGTATCTCTGATATGCTCAAGCCCTGGCCACTGTCTAACGTGACGCGTCTGGATGTACGATTGCTCGACAGCCTAGAACGCGTTCATTGGCGCACGCTCCTGTCGCAGATGCCCTCGCTTACCACCGCGGTGTTATGTCCCGAGGATAAGAGCGTTGCAGCTCTCATCGAGGTTCTTCGCGGTGATATACGACGAGGCGACACATCCTCGATATCCCGGATCATCCTGGACTCCCGCGATGGAAACCTTCGCGGGGACGATGATGAATCATATGCAGCCGATATAGTATACGCATCACGGTTGAACCTGATGCGGCTGTTATCTTACTGCAGAGAAGCCGCCCTTGCTGGTAAACCCCTCGATCTCATCCAAATGATCGGCCAGCAGGGTGATCCGGACACTCAAGTGCTCGGCGACGAGCTATGGGGTTCAACACCGGCCGGAAGTGATAGTGGACATGAGGATGATGACGTTGATTGGAGCGAGCTATACGCAGACCTGAAGACAGGCTTGGTTTATGACGGGCGCCTCTATAGTGCTAGCACTGGGTTGAGGGGAGTAAAATACAGGCCGATCGTGGACTGACGGGTCGTTCTGTACCTTGTACATAAATGTCATACAAGCTTCGCGTGAGCGACTTTCCTTCTAGGACAAATCCGAAGTGCAGCGAGAATGAGGTTCGGTGAGCGAAGTTCAGAACGAACTTATTGCCTGTATTGCCGTCGTGGAGGAACATGCATTCGGCAAACGCCGGCGAGGCAGGCGAACGCGGTCACCTGTCTTTGCTCTGCTTGTCCCGAACGGTCACCGCTCGAAACCCTCCCATCAGTCGCTGCTGTACCGCCTCGGGTTGTAGAGGCCCTGAGGGCCTACTGCACGCCTTCAAACAACGTTCCGGCGCTTTCTTTCACGTGTCAGGTCGCGCTTGAAACCGATGATATACAATGACGATACATGCATACACAGTCCGGAATTCAACCATGTAGTTGCATATACCACGCTGTGAATGGCATACTCATGCCTCATCTTCCCCCACCATCACTATGGGCCAAGCAGACGTCAGCGACGTTCTCACCTCCCTCGCGGCTGCACTATGCGCTGGACGCATCAACGACTTCCGCCTCCCCAAATCTATCGGTCGCTCAACATGGGATGATATCTGCGCCCCGTGGGTCAAGAAACGGAGCATCTACTGCGAGAGGATGGAGAACGTTGGAGATGGCGTGGCCGGTGCGCTTGTCTCTGCGCTGATCTACGAGAAGTTTCCCGGCGCTGGCGCCGGGGTCATGACCGTGCGTGTCTTTTGGTGACCCTGCAGACGTGCTTCGTGACGCTCATGACCAATGGGCAGGTTATGAAGCAAGCCGCGGTCTCGAATGTGATCTTTGCTCTCATTCTTGAGCTCACGGACCCATCTATAGCCGACGTTAGAACGCGCTACGATGAGCTCTCAGTCCGGGCACGGACATCTGCCCTGTTGTCCTGGGGTACGCGCATCTGCAAGGAAGCATACTGCGAGCCTGCGCGCGCTTCTATCAAAGCGCTTGGGGATCGCTTTGAGGCTCTTCTTGGCTACCTGTACGTCGAGATCGGCTACGAGACTGCACTTCGTTGGATGAACAAGATGTTCGACCCTCTTCTGGATGTTGCATATACTACGGTTCTCGCGCGAGGGTGAGCGCCTGTCTCAGAAAAACACTTGTTCTGTAGCTGACTTGTATCACCAGATATAGAGGCTTCAGTATCCCGAAGCCGCCTCGCGCACCTCGTGCCATGTTGAGATCTTCTCTAGAACGCGGGTCTTCGACTGACACTCTCTCGGAGTATGAGGCTGTGTCTGTGTCCAGTTTCTCTTCGCAGTCACTGTCGTCATCTTCATCGTCGTCGCCGTCACGCCTGTTCTCTGTTCGCAATCTCTCCACGACGACGGTCTCTTCCGCACCATCTTCACCGATCCTCATGAGCTCGCCGTTCTCGATGCGCGTATCGAAGAGGAAGGAACGGGCTGAAGACATTAAGGAGTCTGAGAACCGCGGTGAGATCTACATTACATCTGCCTAATCCCGGAACTGAACTCGTCTTGCGCCAGATCCTAGCAACGCTGACGAGCCACCGATCTCCGGAAGGCTCGATGCCCCTCGACGTAAACGTCGTCGATCAAGAAAGCACTCGATCCCTTTTCAGCGTGCTGATTTCGACGTTCCGTCGGAGAGCGAAGGTGAAACGCGGCAGTTCACATTCACATTCAGCGTGCGCGGCCGATCGGACCCCGACTCCCTTCCGTTACCCTCGTCGTCTTCATCCTTGGCAAGTGCCACCGCATCCGTCTCTCGTCTCTCCGTCGTGCCCCTCATTCGAGATATACCTACGCGCCGCCCGCGCCGTCAGTGAAGCACGAACCAGAATATTTTCTTTGGGTGCCTGTAGTATTCTTTGGGCGTGTCATGACCTTACACTCCTACTGTAAACTCGGCTCAGCACTGTCCTATGATACCACACTTATTCGTTGTATACATTCGTATAGTCATTCAGTCTCACCCTAATCATCCACATACTACTCTTCTCGGTGTTCAATAGAATCGGTGATTGGACTTCGACGTGCAGTGCACGTGACGCAGGCTACATTGATTACGATCGGATTGGATACATCATACAGAGCATACAGTTTTCCAGATGTCCATGATCATAGTCCTTTGTCCACGTGGTGAAAGGTACGAGTCACAATACAGTACAGAGGTACATCAGGAGACGGATAGAGTCTGCGCACTGGCAATGTTCTCTGGAGAGGCGCCGAGCCTCAGTCCCTTGGGTTGTCCGAGCGAGCGCAGGATATCGCGCGCCAGTGTCTTCCTGTTGCAGTCAATGGGCCGGCGCGGTACTACGGGATCTACGAGGCAGTATCATGAGCACTCGCCAAGGTCGATAGGCATTGTCAAAGTACCACGTTTGGGTTTTGCCGTCGTCAGGTAGGCGGCCAAGTTGACTTTGTGGTTCTTCTGTCTAACATTCTTGAGCTTGGTGGCAACAGCCGTGTCCTTCTGCCTGCGTTTGAGCGCGGCGTTGATAGTGTCGGGTGTGGCTGGCTCAGGCTTCTTGGACTTCGCGAGACGTAACTTGTCAACCTTGGTCTTCATTGACTTAGCGAGTGTCCTCAAAGGCGGAGGGGGAGCAGGTTTAGCGGTAACGGGTGTAGCGTCGACTAACAAGCGCGTTTATATGCGCATACATGCACACCAAAAGGAAGGGCCAACTTACCATCAGATCCGGTGAGATCAATTGTAGTGATCGCTTTGTGAGCGTGTGGGGACAAAGACTCTTTGATTCTGGTCGATACCGAGGTCGCGTCCTTTTCTAAGGGTTAGTACGCGCGCACCACCTATTGAGGTATATCTCACCTTGCTAGCGTTCGTTGCTCTAGCATTCTCGCGGCTTATAGTACGCCGAGATGGCCTTGAAGCGATAGGTGCATGGCGTGCAGTGAAGGCGGACGGGATAGCCCAAGCTGGGAGGCCGGCGGGAACACCCCGAGCAACGCGCTGGTCATAGGGCAGGTACGACGTGCCTATATGCGCGTCAGACAGCCATTGAGGGGCATCAAAATAGTATAGGTTCACTGTGAGGTAGCATGGGATCACGACGATGCGATGGGCGAGCCATGTACGCGAGTTAGGCTGTTGTAGGGAGGAGTGGGGAGGAGCTGTGGACGGCGAATGAGACAAAGAGCGTGGCAGTATTGGGACGATGCCATAAACGTCGCCAAGAAGCGCAATCTCTGGCTTAAGACGAGCTGTGCGGGATTGCTGGATGGGAGCAGGAGGCAGGCTGAGCGTTCCTTCGAGCGCTGGTTTTGAGGATGCGAAGGTCAGTGACATCGGCAAAGGCCGCGATCAATCGCGCCACAGCTAAGGCTGAGCTAACGCGCCAGGACAATTTGACGAGTGTGGGTGTTGAACCAAAATATGTACAATTACTAGGAAAGTAACATAGAGTCTATGAAGTAGCGAACGGATGGAACGAGTCTAAGCCGCAAGGCCGACGCCTGTTGCGGCTTCGGCACTGAGCAACTGCTGAGTCTTCTTCTCCGCGCCCTTCCCACGGAGGACGTTCTCGATGAAGTACTCGCCAGCCTGTCGCAGACCGTCAGTGACATGGGAAATTGATCAGTGTTTCGAAGTACGTACCTTGTAACTGCTGCGGACGAGAGGGCCACTCGCCACATACAAGAAGCCCATGTCCTCCGCCACCTGCTTCCATCGCTCGAACTCTGCAGGCTCGACATATCGGTCCACCTTCATATGACGCTTTGTCGGGCGCATATATTGCCCAAAGGTGACGACGTCGACATTGACCTTGCGCAGCTCCCGGAGCGCGTCCATGATCCCCTCTTCTGTCTCTCCGACGCCGAGCATGATACTCGTCTTTGTCACGCGAACTCCCTCCTCCTTCGCACGCTTGAGCACGGCAAGACTCCGCCTGAACGACGAGCGGCGGTCGCGTACGTATGGAGTCATGGCCTCACTTGTCTCGATGTTGTGTGCATAAACGTCAAGACCAGACTTGGCTGCTACAGCAACGTGATCGAGGTTACCGTCCATGTCTCCCGTCAGAGCCTCGACAAGAATATGTGGAGCCCTGAAAATATGAGAGACGATTCCGTAGGCTCAGTGAGGGTACACACTTTTGCTTAATCTTGCGGATAGTCTCGGCCAGGTGATTACAGCCCGAATCAGCGAGGTCTGTCCAAGAGGTGAACTTTACTTTGTACGCGCGACTGTTCCACACGTACCATCGCGATCCACCACGGTGAGCACGATGTATCCCAGATCCCATCGGCTGATGGCCTCGGCTACGTTCTCCGGCTCATGCGGATCCAATGGCGGAGGAGTCTTGGACGTCTTCACAGCACAGAAGCGACACCCTCGAGTGCAGGTATCGCCCATGAGCTATGGGTAGCGGTCAGGTACATGAAGAGGCCCTGGAACGTCTGAGCATACCATGATCGTGGCTGTTGCAGCCCTCTTGCCCTCTTCCTCCGTCGCACCCTCCTTGCCGCCCCAGCAGTCTCCGATATTCGGACACCGTGCCTCCTCGCAAACGGTGTGCAGTCCAAGGCCGCGAAGATCCTTCTTGATCTTTGCAAAGGATTTTCCCTTTGGGATTGATGTCTTGAGGTACGACGGCAGACGCGGGCTGGACCTCGGTCAGGCTGTCTGAAGGCCGAGGCAGGCGATCACGGTACATACGCGCTGGTGTTCCCTAGCACCACTCGGTCTGGAGCAGAGTCTCCTGCGATGAAGTCGTCCAGAGACGGCCCTGCCTCGAGTGTCTCCCGGAAACTCTTTGCCGGGGTGGCCAGACAGCGGACATGTGCCGCGGCGCTGGGGGTGATGCGGGCGGACCGAGTAGCAGCGCGTACGAGAGAAGCCATCCGAGCGTGAAGCCGAGCAAGACCAGCGCGGCCGTGTACTGGGAGGATGATGGTGGTCGACGAGTAAGCCGGACGCTGCGAGTGGTCCGAGTCCGACTCGTCTTGGAAATAAAGCTCCGAGCGGACTCCCGTCGCTCGTGACGCGCCGCGTCGGGCGCAAAGCTGACCGTGACTCTACTATTCGCCACCATGAGCGCCGGAACTCTGTCGCGCAGGGAAGAGGAGCAGCTGCTGAAGAGCACAAAGGCTTACGCACTCAAGGCGTGCGACGACCTCGTCAAAGGTGCGTGCTCATCATTTCAAGCTCCGTACCTCGTTCACTCACACGTGTATGCTAGACTTTGCAGAGTGTGTGGAGGGCCGTACGCTTTCGGTGGCATGGGCATGTAAGGGAAAGTACAAGCTTATACAAGACTGCATGTACCAGTAGTGCGTGCTGTTACTCTCTTATATGATCTATATACCAACCTGCTTTCCGCAAGCACACGCCCAGACAGCATGCAGCTCGTTCGTGACGAGTATATCAAGGTGCGAACGCGCGAGACCGCGGCGAATCGCCCAACATGAGTAACGGACCTTGTGACAACCCTTACATCGCACGCTTCAACTACACATCCCATCGTTACACTCAAAGCAATCCATAATAGCAGTGATGCACAAACAAATATCAACTTCAGATAATAGATTACTTCTTCGCGGAGGTGATGCTTCCCCATTGAGCCTGCAGTGCCAAAAGAGAGGTGGCGAGACTGCATGGGCGTTAGCAACCGTGTCTCTCCAACTGCAGAGGATGTACGTACCCGCATAGTCCCAGGAAACCATCGTTGAAGTGCACAAGCTCGAGATTGGCAGCAGGAATCCAGAAGTCCAGGACATCCATGAGTAATTGGCGCCGTGTCGCATTCCGTACTCTGTGGCGGAGTTAGAGGTGTAGCACGACAAAGTGAGACGCCACGACGTACGCATTAAGTCCGTATAACCTCGTCTGGCGAACATTGTCGCCGCCGATGTCTTTTTCATCTGCAAAGCGGAGGGCTTGTGCCTCGGAGGTAAGGCGTGCGGTCTATCCTAGCATGAGGCTGCCGCACTTCGGAGGGGTGGTGTGCCCGCACCTTGAATATGCAATGCAAGATGCTGAATGTTATACCAGCCAGCCAGAACCTATTAGAAGTCTTGTTGACAGCCTTAGCCGTGTCAGGCTTAAGAGTGATGAATCGAATGGCGTTCGCCCAGACGAGCGCATCGTATGCCAGGAAGCCGAAGTAACCGAGCTGGCGACCGATCATCGTGACCTGCTCCTTAATCTCGCCGGTGGTCTGTGCGGTACGTAGTGCAGCTTGTAGATGCTCTACGGGTTTACCGAGGCGGAGAACTACGATCGCGTATGAGAGGGGTAGGTATCTGATCCCGACTAGTTGACGCACGCTTCCTCGCGGTACCCAGATGATTCTTCAATGCATTCCACCGTGCCGCCTCCAGCGACTGTCCTCGAGAGATCAAGTACCAAGCAAGGAAGCGTGCAAAGAATTGGATTGCACGGTAGACCTGCCTCGCAACATTAGCACACGGTTACCCTGCGTAGGCATGTTGCCCTGGCGCACCTTGTCGCGACCAAGGGTCGTGCTCAAGACCTTCAAGCCATCCGACACAGTAGGATGCAAGATAACCTGAGCAGCAAGCATAGACATGGCCAGTGAGTAGCGTGGATACGTCGAGGATGGAGGCACAAGACAAGAAGTTCCTGTGGCGTGTCGGTGATGTCGTCAATCACATGCAGGACATTTACCCCGGACTCTGTGAGCCTTGTGCTCGGATGTTGCATTGACAGCTTCGACGGCTAGAAGAGCTCGAGGGGACATAGTTCAGGCAGACGGCGGGAAATGCTGTAGGATATTCGTCCCGCGCGGCAGACGTCATGGCGGGCCACACCCAAGCGAGAGAACCATCGCCCACGCACCGCGTTAATGTTCGGCGATGACCGGGAGAACCCGGAGCGCACGACGCTTGGCTTCGGGCAGAGCCACGCTTCGTGTTCAGCATCTTGCTCACCATCCAACTCGTTGCCAAAAAGGTATCGCGCCCGCCATGAGCAGCACTCTCCGGCTCCGTTACGCGGTAAGAAACAGCTGTTTCTGGACATACGGACCGGTTCTTACATGTGATCCTGTCCTGTGCGCGCGTCATCGGATTTCAATAGCCCTCCGTCGCTGCCCGCTATGCTCGCTCTACACCAAACCGCCTCTTCTCAACAAGTCTGCGCGCAATGGTACGTGGATGTGACTCCGATGTTTATGTGTTAATGCTGAATGGTTCTGACAGTCTGAATTCCGTACCGAGTCCGATACCTTCGGCGAGCTTCAGGTGCCTGCTGAGCGTTACTGGGGCGCACAGACACAACGGTGCGTACTCTACGTCTTGGCGATGTGGGGGACTCGACGCTTATCTACTTGGCAGCTCTCTGCAGAACTTCGACATTGGTGGACCCACAGAGCGCCTTCCCCCGCCTTTGATCAAAGCATTCGGCACCCTCAAGAAGGCCGCCTCGATCGTGAACTCGACCTACGGCCTTGACCCCAAGGTTGCAAAGGCGATCCAGGAGGCCGCAGATGATGTGCGTATACCGAGTGCATCCGTGTGGCGCATATACTCACCAGATGATATAGGTCATTTCGGGGAAGCTCATCGAAGAGTTCCCGCTCGTTGTTTTCCAGACTGGTTCCGGAACTCAGAGCAACATGAACGTCAACGAGGTCATCTCCAACCGTGCCATTGAGATTCTCGGAGGTCAACGCGGCTCCAAGAAGCCCGTCCACCCCAACGACCATGTTAACATGAGCCAGAGCTCTAACGACACGTAAGTCTAAACCCCACGCAGTACCATTCTTTGACTTAACTGAAATCATCGACAGTTTCCCCACTGCGATGCACGTTGCTGCTGTGACGGAGATTGTGAACACGTTGATCCCCGCGTTGGAGGAGCTTCACGCCGCTCTTGACGAGAAGGCGAAGAAGTTCGATAAGATCATCAAGATTGGCCGCACGCACTTGCAGGACGCGACTCCGCTCACTCTCGGCCAGGAGTTCAGCGGCTATGTGACCCAAGTCGCCAACGGCATCGCCCGTGTCAAGGATGTCCTTCCCCGCTTGAGCCTCCTTGCGCAGGGCGGTACTGCTGTCGGGACGGTACGTTCTTTCGTTCGCCTGTGTTGTGAATGCAGACTGAGTTGTAATCATCAGGGTCTGAACACGAAACGCGGATTCGACGTGAAGGTCGCTGAGGAGATCTCGAAGCTCACTGGCATTGAGTTCAAGACAGCGCCCAACAAGTTCGAGGCACTCGCCGCCCATGACGCCCTTGTCGAGGCACATGGTGCTCTCAACGTCGTCGCCGTCTCCTTCATGAAGATCGCCAACGACATACGCTTCCTCGGCTCCGGTCCGCGCTGTGGTCTCGGCGAGCTGAGCCTGCCGGAGAACGAGCCGGGAAGCAGTATCATGCCCGGCAAGGTCAACCCGACACAGTGTGAGGCGCTCACGATGGTCGCCGCCCAGGTCATGGGCAACAATACCACCGTCAGCGTTGCGGGCTCGAACGGTCACTTCGAGTTGAACGTGTTCAAACCCGTCATCATCAAGAATGTGCTCCAGAGCATTCGTTTGCTTTCGGACGGTGCTCGCTCGTTCACGAAGAACTGTGTTGTTGGCATTGAAGCGAACGAGGCACGCATCAACACCATCTTGAACGAGTCGCTCATGCTTGCCACCATTCTCAACAGCCATCTTGGCTACGATAGTGCGTCATGTTCACTTGGTACTTGTGCGATGACTAACAGACCGGTGCAGATGTCGCCAAGTGCGCGAAGAAGGCGCACAAGGAGGGTACCACGCTCAAGGAGGCCACGGTGGCGCTTGGCTTCCTCACGCCGGAGGAGTTCGACCAGAAGGTCCGCCCCGAGCTCATGCTCTACCCTGACGAGCCTTAGATACAGGTTCTCTTTCCACATGTTATCTATATATCGGGCTATGATACTTGCTTTCGTGCTGTCTCGTTTGTGTGCATACATCGATGCTCTGGATGGTCGACTGAATAGGCTAGATGGCCCGTCTGTGAAAGCGGCAAGATAGCAAGGATCTCGGCTTGTAGAGCCGCGTGATCCTATACATCCGGAACTGTCTTCTCTGTGGCTGTACTGTTGGATGCCCCAGTGGCTCACACGCGATGGTGAAAGAGGTATCGCTTCTAACTCTGTGAACTCGGAGGGGCTCTAGTATGATTTGGGGTCTGCACAGAACAAAGGAGCCACAGGTGGGAGAAGCCGGTAGCGAATGACCGCATGTACCTACGGTCGTAGAACCGAGTCTCGATTGCCCTGCCTGATGTGGAAGAGGATGCTCGAGGCCCGAAGCTCGAAGAGGTTAACAAAAACGGTATCAAGGGTCCTGGACGGCCCACGCTGGCGCGGCTCACAGGGTGGGACAACCGCACGCTCACATATAGCATGGATTATCGCCGCTGCTTTTGCCTCAACCAATGCCTCAACCAATAACATCGACAAGCCGTAGTCTGTACAGGTGCTATCGTCACAACACTTGCGATGACTCGAATGCAGGTCCCAGGTCATTCACACTGCACATCCCGACACCAACCGCAATAGTCTGTTCTGACTCAAGACTATGTGTGTGAATGGGCCAGACTCTGAGGTACGCCTCAAAGCGACCAGGTCGCGAAGGAGCTACAGTTTCTGCGCACGATGCGCGGAGAATGGAAGGTCCTCGCGGGACAAAGCAAGCTTTCGCCTGGGCCGAGGGTACTATCAGTGGCTCGCCCGCACTACGCGCGGTGCTCCGATCGTATATATACCGCGTCTGCTACAGTGGATGGTCGAAGATCCTTCACCCATGCTGGTGATCTGGTACAGCAGATGCCCTACGCCGGGCGACGATGAATGAAGATAAGAGGGTAGAGTAGGTAAAGTAGTAAACGGATGAAAGGAAGGTATAGAAAGGAACTAGCAATATGTAGCAATCCAATAGACCAGATGAAACGAAAGCGATGCGAGTTGATACTACGCGGGGTCCAGCACAATACCCAGAGGGAAGAGTCTTGCGAAGCGCGGGATGTACGGTAGTGATGGCAGGATATGATGGTGGAGGGAGATCGTGCGAGAGGGATAGATAGATATCGGATGATAAAATCACTGTCGAGTCGGAAGAAGACGTGATAATGGCGACTAGGGTGAAATTGTCATCGTGGAAGAGAGCAGGCGATTGCGATGAGTCGAAAACGATGCAGACAGACAGAAGTGAGGGGAATGCAGTAGTGTGGCGACGGGCGCGTCTAAAGAGCATGCGGAAAGGGAGGCTATAATGAAGCACATGAGGTACGAATGTGGAAGCAGCCCAAGTTCACAAAGGGTCCAGCAAAGCGATAGCGTCTGGTGAGAGACCACGGAAGCGATGAATTTTGTTGATCATTTTGTGCGAACCTGTCGGCAGCGTGAGCCACGGATCGTCCGCAGGCAGAATGATCGCACGCACGGGTTTTCGCATCATGAGAGGCGCGCCGCCGGGTGTGGGCGGCGGAGAAGGCGCCTATCGAAGCGGGAGATTAAGACGCGCTCGGTCAGAAGCGGAGATTCACTGACCGCGGGATGTGTGGCGTATTGTGTGCCCGAACTGTTGGATGTATGCGCAAGCGCCTTGCGAAGCTGGTCAAACGGGTCTCAGTACGGTCTTGTGACGCAGCATGGCGTCAGCCGTGCAGGGAAGCGCACCTTGGCTTCACTGGTGGCAGCGTGTTGGGCAGACAGTGGGGAAGTGTACAAGGGAAGATTGGCCATACTCTTCGCCTGCGGAAGCGAAGAGAGCTGGCTCGAAAGAGAGGGCAGCGACACGATCTGCGCGCGCGGGTTGGACGCGTCGGGCATCGTCGGGATGTGCCAGAGAAAGAGAAATAGAGTGGTCTAGGGAGAGGAAACGCGTTCGCGGACGCGCGCTTCGCGTCGGCGCAGCCGTCTATCGCGCACACAACGAGCTGTGGCGGGGAGGGTGAACTGGAAGAGACTCGGACGCGTCGCCAACTTTCATAACTTATATAACGTTCATCCGCGTTGAGCCGACGGGCCGAGACCTCGATGCAGCCAGCTATTGGCTCTCCTGAAGTCCCTGTGCTGAGACGCGTTGATATCATTGCGTCGTCCATTCTGAGTCGTGCCCCGTTTCTCATGTTTTCTGCTCGAAGAGAGCGTGAAGTACTATTGTAGCGCTCGCGTTGGTCTAGAACGCGTCGAAGGTAGACGTCCGCAGCGAAGCCGCGCCGGAGTCGGACGCAATATCCAAAGCCTTTAGGTAATCATCAGTGTGGACGGATGTGGATCCAGGTACACTAGATCTCATGTTACGATATCCGGAAATATCTCTGACGGTGCGATGCGAACCGGTGCCAGTCTGCCAGAAATCGTGGAGGCTACTGCGCAGTGTCTGTCTATGTACGTTGGTGAACTATCCAACAGGTCGATGAGGTGCGTGCGCCCACGGATGCCGAACTACCTACGACACATGCAGGCACGACCGACTTCAATAACCACAATCCGCTCTTCCATGAATGGTCAGCGCGATGTGCGCTTCCGACCTCCATTCCACAAAACTCATGATGCGCAGAAAGTTCACCCGCGAGACGCCACGTCACAATCAACGAGATGCTTGTAGAAACAGTAGCGATGTCGTGGGGGTGAATAGAGAAGGGACGAAGTAAGTAGCTTGAACGACTCCCCGCGTCTCGCGGCATTGCATCAAAGATTCAGCGTCCAAAACGGGACGAATGGCGCCAACTTGCCGGACGCCACGGTGCTGTGAACACTCACTCGTAGACGTCAGAATCGTTTCATTCCACCAAACACTATCGTTTTCTCAATGCAATTCGCCCGGGGATGATGGGCATGATAGAGCCACAAGGCGAGGGGAGGGGGAGAGCGGGGTCGAAGAGCGGGGATATACTTGAATGGGCAGTGCGAAGAGGATCTCAATACGAACGGTTTGACCAGGCTGAGCGCCGGACGCGACTCGAGCTTCCGCGCATGTCCGTTGATTCGATCCAGCTTGTCTTTTCCCGTCATTTCCTCGTCCGCTACGACTCGTCGTTGTCCAAAGTAGTCGTCCACTCTCCGAATACAGTCGCGTCAACATCGACCCGTGACTGCCACTGCCGACCCCGGAGTTGGCGTATAGCTCAAAGTCGGGTTGCTTGCGTAATATAGACGCTCGGCATTCGCTGGCAGCGATTATTGTCTCTGAACATTCCAGCAGTCCTATAACTTGCGAGTTTAGGTAGCCATGTCGCTGCTGAAGATACTGAACGACGACCCTGTGCCTCCTCTGAGCCACAACTCGATTCCCGCGCCTGCGCTCGCACCTCCACCTGCCCCGCACCACTTGCCTCATGGCGGACCCAGTACCGCGAACGACACTCTCAGGCCGCCTCTGTCGCCTTCGCCGTTTCCCGTGACATCGCTCAGGCAAGGCGGCGTTCACGGCGTCGAGAGCGGCGGACCAATGCACCCCGATGTTGAGGTACACGCGCACAGACAAGGACCAGGTGCGTGCTCGGTGTCGTTTCTCACGGATGGCTATTGAGTGCTTTCCAGAAATAATGCACCCCAATCATGAACCTGTGGACGAAGAGGGCAGTCGGTCCGCTGCGCCGCCGGAGCAGGCCCAGACGCCCTCGAAGAGACGGAAGAAGCAGGCCGTGGACAACGACTATCAGCCGGGAACGCGTCGGGTACGTATGCAGGTCAATCGTTGTCGCACTCGAGACTGACTGGTAACTAGTCTACACGACGCACATCCGCTCGCCACAAACGCCCTCGCACAGATTCTCCTGCAGTTCACGACGAAGCTGGTGAACAGGATAATGGACACCAAAATGAGCACGCAGAAGATGATCGCCGCCTGGTATCTTCAGATCTGGATGACTGTCCAGAGATCACACAAGTTGTAGAGACTTTGTATGCGAAAGAGGCGCAGAAGCGCCGCAAGATCAACGAACAACTGGTTGAGCGCTCGAATACAGTAGGCATCACATCCCGTTTCCTGTGTCCGCGTGACTAATCACCGTGATAGGATAAGAACATGGGGCGAATGTACCGCTACACGACATTGTACGCCGATGTGGCTGACCGCATCCCGCTGCCTCCCCGACCAAGCCGGGAACGCCGTCCACTGGAACATAACATTCACGTCCCTGCGCCCCCACCACCTCCAGGCCCTGACTACGATGACTATGACGAACCGCTTATGCCTCACGACTATCAACAACATCCCATGGGCAACGGCTCAGCTCTCCCTAAGCGCCCCGCGTCCCGGCCAGCGTCGGCAGGAGATATGAGTGACGATAACGTGTCCATGGCGTCCGTTTCGCGTCCACATAAGAAGCGCAGGGTTGATGACTTTGACGACGGACAGTCCGTTGCATCTGCAGCTATGACGCCGACACGAAAGGGCAAGCATATTGACCAGGGCGAGGGTGTCGGAAGCCCTAATGGAACGCCTCGCGGGCCGAAGAAAGCTGCTGGGAAGCGCAAGTTCATTGAGACGTTGGGGCCAGGAGCCGCAGAGCACCTCGGCGTGGAGTCAGCGGCTCCCTCAGTCGCCGGCGACGTCTCTCCGTCGGGCTCGCGGGCAGAGTCGCCAGTACCTCAGGTCGGACCCGGTATCATTTTTGAGATCGGAGAGGTTCCACCAGAATTGAAGAAGGCGAAGAAGATGGACGATCAGGCAATGCTCAAGCGTGTTCGTCAATTAGAGGATGCGCAGGCTAAAGTTTGGAAGAACATCGTTCGCAAGGAGATCCCAAAGGTGGGCTATGGATGTCAGTTATACCATCTACTCTGATTGAAGATTTGACAGGCATATCGACATTACAACATCGGCTCCGCCATTCGTACTCAGTCGCAGAAACGCATCGCAACTCTAGCGTCAACGCAAGCCCGCAAACCATATCAGCGCACGCCTAAGATCATCAAGGAGGCGCAGGCAAAGGGGAAGAAGCTCGCTCGAGACATGTCCGCCTTCTGGAAGAAGAATGACAAGGAGGAACGCGAATTGCGGCGGAAGGAGCAGAAGGAGGCACTTGAGCGCTTACGGATCGAGGAAGAGAAGCGCGAGGCGTCAAGACAAGCGAGGAAGCTCGAGTTCCTTATCAGCCAAACGGAGTTGTACAGTCATTTCGTAGGCAATAAGCTCAAGAGTGCGTTGCGCGATAGTGCTTTGTGCGCCTATGAGGAACTAACCCACATCATTAGCTGCCGAGATCGAGGGAGAAGCGGCACCTACTGAACTTCCCAAAGGCGCTGAGCTCGAGGATGATCCCGACGCTCCTTTAGCAGATATCGACTTTAATGATGGTGAGCTGAGTATTATCGCCAGGAGCGTGCCGTATCGCTTAAACCCATGTTTAGAGGACCACACGAATCTGCATAGGCATGCTCGGCGCATCGCACAGGAGAACGTCGCTCAGGCTCGCGCAAGGGCGCAACAGTTCGACCAGGAGTCAGCTCTCGAACGCAAGACGAAGGACGCCATGCGGTTCGCGAAGGCTCAGTCTCATCTGCACGACGAACCGGAGACTCAGGAGGGCGATGGCTCAAGCACCGGGAAGCCTATAGTAGATCGTACGTTAGGCTTCGCTCACACCGCTAACTGTATATTGATTGCATTTTACAGTGGACTCGGACGAGCTCAACTTCCAAAATCCTGACGCACTCAAGGGTCCTCTGAAGATAGGGCAGCCACGCATGCTTATGGCGACGTTGAAGGAATACCAACTGAAGGGTTTGAACTGGTTGGGCACGTTGTACGACCAGGGCATCAATGGTATTCTGGCCGACGAGATGGGTCTAGGCAAGGTGCGCACCCCAATGCTGTGCTCGACGCATATGCTTACCAAAGATGCAGACTATTCAGTCTATATCGCTCATGGCATACCTTGCCGAGGTGCACAATATCTGGGGTCCGTTTCTCGTGGTTGCACCCGCTTCTACGCTACACAACTGGCAGCAGGAGATATCGCGCTTCGTACCTAATTTGAAGGTTCTTCCTTATTGGGGTAGCGTCAAGGACCGCACGACGCTGCGCAAGTTCTGGGCAAAGAAGGATATCACGTACACCAAGGAGTCGGACTTCCATGTCATCGTCACCTCCTATCAGCTCGTCACGCAGGATCAACAGTACTTCCAGAAAGTCACTTGGCAGTATATGATCCTCGACGAGGCGCAGAACATCAAGAACTCGGCAAGTGCGCGATGGAAAACGTTGTTAGAGTTCAAGTGCCGCAATCGCCTTCTGCTCACCGGTACACCCATTCAGAACTCCATGCAAGGTATGAAGTGCATTTCACTCATCACCTAGCAATCGGCTGACACCCACTGACAGAACTCTGGTCGTTATTGCACTTCATCATGCCCACCCTATTCGACTCCCATGACGAGTTCAACGAGTGGTTCTCGAAGGATATTGAGAATGCGGCAGATAGCAAGGGACGGGGGCTCAGCGAACACCAGCTCCGCCGGCTACATATGATTTTGAAGCCGTTCATGCTGCGTCGTGTGAAGAAGCACGTTCAGAATGAGCTCAGCGACAAGGTCAGCTCCGAAGAAACTTCAAACTGCCGCTTCGCAAGACTGACAAGGTCCTAGATCGAGATCGACGTTCTGGTCGAGCTGAGCGCTCGTCAACGACAGATGTACCGAACGCTGCTCCAGAATATTTCCATCGCAGATCTCGTTGCACAAGGCCCGACGATCAACGAAGCCGAGTACAAGCGCACGCTCACGAACCTCATTATGCAGTTCCGCAAGGTCTGCAATCATCCTGAGCTCTTCGATCGTGCCGATGTGGTCGCGCCGTTCTCATTCGCCAAGTTCGGGCGGTCCGGTCCGTTAAACCGTGAAGGAGACTTCGTGGTGCAAGCCTACTCGACCCATAACCCCATTGAGTACAACATCCCCCGCGCCTTCTACCTCGACGGTGGTCTGCTCGACGTACCGCGTGAGGATAACGTCTCGCCCTTCCAGCCCGAGAATAGTGTCTTGCACAAGCTCATGAACATATGGACGCCCGAACACATCCTAAAGTCCTTCCAAGACGCATCGTCGTCGTCGTACTCATTCCTTCGCTTTGCGAACTCTTCGCCTCAAGACGCGCATAATATCTTCCTTGCCCCACCTTTCCGACGGCGACTTCTTGCCCTGAAAACAGAAGGTACCCAGCGAGAACAGGATGCTTACCAGTGAGTTCTCCGCTGACTACTCATGTCCTACACGACGCTGACCTTATTATAGTGGATGCGGATTCGGCCCCATACGCGACTATTATCGGATACCAGACGTTCACATTCCGCTCGACTCCCTTGTAGACGGTTTGCCTGGTCTCAACACCATTACCCAGTCGGCGTGGACCGACTCATGTCTCTCAAGACCCATTGTGCAATGTCGCATCCCGAGCGCACTCGCACCGCCTATCGCTCTCTACGCCCCTGACCGCAATTTCGTCGAGAAGCAGGAGCGCTTACTTCAGGCGCCTATTGAATCGCTCGCACTGTATGGCGCTCCTCTATCTGTACGCGACGCGCCCTTGGCCGAAGCTCGCTTCGACGCCCTCGCCCCTGGTGTTCCGCTGGACGGAATCTTCGCGCATTCCACGCGTGATCAACTTCCGATATCGACTATGCATATGCCAGAGGCTAAGAGCCTCATTCTTGACTCCGGCAAGCTCGCGCGGATGGACGCTTTGCTGCAAGATCTCAAGTCTCAGGACCATCGCGTTCTTATCTACTTCCAGATGACGCGTATGATGGATCTCATGGAGGAGTACCTCATTCACCGACAGTACAAGTACTTACGCCTCGACGGTTCGACAAAGATCGAGGATCGTAGGGACATGGTTACTGATTGGCAAACTCGGTACGTGTCTTCGTTCTTCTCGCCACCAGTTGCTGTTCTGACCACATCATAGTGAGGATATCTTCATCTTCATCTTGAGCACGAAGGCCGGCGGTCTTGGTATCAACTTGACAGCCGCGGACACCGTAATCTTCTATGATCATGATTGGAATCCGTCGAATGACGCTCAGGCCATGGATCGTGCTCATCGTCTTGGTCAAACGCGTCAAGTCACCGTTTACCGTTTGATCTGCAGAGGCTCCATCGACGAGCGAATCGTTCAACTCGCCCGCCGGAAGAAGGACGTTCAGGACATGGTCGTTGGCAACAAGAGTTTCAGCGAGATGAACCAGACGAACGAGATGGTGCAGCTACTACTCACAGACGAGCAAATCGCCGCGGCGGCCAATGCGCCGGTACCCGAGCGCCCGGTCGGTCAGTTTGGCGGCGCCGGGATGGCCGGACTCAGAGACTTGTGGGTGGAAGAGGGTGATGAGTTCTTCGGTGCGAGCAATATGCAGCCCATGGTCGATGACGAAGGTACGCCGGCACCGACCACGGGTAGAGGGCGGGGCCGCGGCAGGCCACGCGGCTCCGGTGAAGGTCGCGGGCGTGGTCGTGGGCGTGGTCGCGGAAGGGGAAAGAAGGTTGACTGAGACTTATATTTCTCTTGGTTGTTATATACAGTCGTTTTTTGCTTTGAATATGCTTCCCGTGGATATCTGTATCATGCACATGTCTTACTGTACGCTATCGCTATGATTTGTTTTCGTGTTGCAGTTGATGTCCGCGCGGGATCGTGAGACGGCAACGCGGCTCGGACGCGCGGTAGAAACGCGAGTCAGCGTGAGCCTCCAACTCGTTTTTCCGCCCAGCTCTCATGCACCTGTTTTTGCACCCAAACGCTGTCAATACTGTTCCCCAGTCGACAAATCTTATTCGCTGAGCACACGAAGAACGACAGCGCGCGTATTTCTTGCCCTGCTCGCAGCTTGCGACGGAGCGCACGGCTCGTTCGTGCCACAACTATACATCGCATCTACATTAGCCCCGCCGCCAACCCTAGTGCTCTGAGAGGCATCTAATACATTTTACTCGTGAAACCCTTTGGTCTGGATGGCCAAGAAGAAGAAGACGCAGCTCAAGCCGATCGCTCGCGGCTTTGCGACGACCTCCCAGCCCAAGAAGGTCGTCCCTGTGCAGGAGGATGACGTCCCGGCTACTCCCGAGCAGAACATTACTACCTTGAAGGAGAACGAGGCAACCTCTGCCTCTACTCCCGAACAGGACGCTGTCGAGGCTGCTCCCGCGACAGCCGTGCCAGAGTCCAAGGAGTTCGATCCTGAGCAGGCGGACGAGCAGTCTTTGCAGAATTTGGTGGACAAGCTTCAGGAGAAGGTCGAGAAGGACATTAGGCGATCCGTCAAGGTAGTCTGTCTTCAACGCACATGTGAGCGTTCGCTAACATTGCATATAGGGTATTCAACAGGACAGGCGCTTCGCGGAAACGCTGCCTTCTCTTGACCTGGACTTGCGTCTCGTCGACCGAATTTTGGCACTGGTCCGCGAAGGTCAAGCAGAGCCGTTGCATGAAGGTACGATTCGCACGCATTATTGATTATGCTCGTCTCATCTCCGCGTTAGTTCATCGACCTGTCAATGATACTGAAGAGAAGGCGACCACGCGTCTCGCCCTGACGTATGGCATTCTTCGACGCCTTGGCTTCACAGAAGATCGTGTTATGGAGTGCTTCAACTCTATCTCGGGCTATGACATTGACGAAGCTTACGATTGGGTACGTATGTTCATGCGTGACGGTATCCGGATATTGAATCGTCATATAGCTGTGCTTGCATTGTACGGATGATGAATTGGACACCACAAGAGGCGACGCTACGGGAAAGGACAGGCTGTTACCACCTTCTACGCCTCGGACCCCCAAGACGACCACATTCGCCAATGAGATACCTCCCTTACCGACGTCCCCTTTGCCCACCTCGAAGTCAAAGCTCGATGCTTCCGCTCCTGCATTTGTGCCCTCGCGAATAGCGGCGTCGCTGGCCGACGGCAGCGGTACCGCGACACCGTCCGAAGCAGACTCCCTCGATGATGATCCGAACTCAGAGTACATCCGCCTACGCCTGAAGCTTGACGACCTGACGCGTGTCAAGCCGGGGACGTCTACCGCTGAAGACGACGCTTTCATATCTCAACTACATGCTCGTCTCACCGCTGTCAAGTCCCACTACTTCTTCGACCAGAAGAACGCCGACAAGGCTTACAGGGAAGAGCGGAAGCGGGTGGACCACGATAAGCAGCAGGCACGACTTCGCAAGAACCAGCGACCAGAGCGTCCCCTCAAGCTGGCTACCCCGCCGACTGCTACACCTCCACCAGAGACCGCATCAGTATCTGAGAAATCAGATGTTTTTGATGGTGGTGAAGATGATGGTCCCATGTTCGAGATCTTGGACGAGATGCCTACGGAGACAACTGCGCCCTCTGGTACCACCATCCGCGTCCGCAATATGCCCTTGCCGAAATCATCCTCGGCTCGTGTGCCCAAGAAGATATTACAGGAAAACGTTCTTAAGCAGGACGCCTACGCTACGATCACCTACAGGGATATTTCCGGATCAACCCGCGTCAAGAGAGCGAGCGTGGCACTTCGATGGAGTGGTGGGAAAGCTGACGAGTTTAGTATGGATGACGTCGCCTGTCATGATCTCGCGCAGGCGGAACAGTATATCGCCACCATTGCTCTACACGCTCTCACATACCGTGTCTCCGAAGGGTTCGCCGGCGGCGGAGCTCCAGCACAGAGCCCAACGTTCTTCAGGTTGTTGCCTCCCGCTTACAGAGAACTCTGGGACGAGCTTGAGGAGCAGCGAAAGATTGCAGACGATGCTGTTAATCGGGACGTCTGGGCCAAATTGCGTGCTATCGTTGAACAGAAGATGGCCCACCAGGACACGGTTAGTCATTGTACGATGAGTATACGAATCTTAGACTCATGGTATTCCAGCTCCCCGTTAAGGTCGAGAAGCCCATCGCCGAGAACCGGAGGAACGGGTTCCGCCGCGGCTACGCGACCGCCCAGGGTCAGGATCCTGAGCAGCTCAAAGAGGCCTTCCTCGAGAGACAGGCATCACCTGCCTATCAGGAGATGCTGGTGAGTTTCATGCCCGACCTCTAGCATCGACAATGCTAAAAATGACACACAGGAGCAACGTAATAGGCTACCCATTGCGCAGTACCGTCAGCATATCATCGAATCCCTTGAACAATCTCAGGTGCTCGTACTGAGCGGAGAAACTGGATGGTGAGGAAGACCAGTCAAATTTGCCTTGCGCAGCCGCCATAATGACTGTATCTGTAGCGGGAAGTCCACCCAACTCCCAGCCTTCATCCTCGAGGATCATCTCATGCGTGGACAATACGCGAAGATCTTCTGTACCGAGCCGCGCAGGATCTCGGCACTGTCATTAGCCCAGCGAGTGTCGCGTGAACTCGGCGATGCGCCTGGCGTTGTTGGAACAGCCAATTCATTGGTCGGGTACTCGATTCGTCTAGAGAGCAAGATCCACCGAAACACTATGCTTGCCTACGTGACCAACGGTATCGCGCTCAGGATGTTCGAAGGAGGTAGCGAGGGAGGTTTTGATGAAGTAACTGTACGTCTACCTGTTTCTTGTCTCCCGGTCATCGTCACTAATATCGCTCGCAGCACATCATCGTAGACGAAGTGCATGAACGTGGCATCGAGTCTGACTTCCTATTGCTCGGTTTGAAGTCCCTGCTGGTCCAGCGGCCCGACTTGAAGTGAGCTCCTCGTGACGTCCAAACTGTTCTACGATTCTAATCATGTTTCTACGCAGAGTTGTTCTGATGTCCGCGACGTTAGACGCTGAGAAGATATCTGCCTACTTTGGCGGCTGCCCTGTTCTTCAAGTTCCAGGCCGAACTTTCCCTGTCGATGTTAAGTATCTTGAGGATGCTGTCGAGCTCACTGGATGGTCTATCGACGAGAACTCGCAATATGCGATACGTGGTATGCGCTTATTTATGCGTTATATCTTCACAGCTCACACTGATCTATAGGTAACGACAAGTTTCACAAGGGCAAGAAGAACATCGACTGGTCCGAAGAGGCCTCGCCGGATGACGAAGACGAGGATTCGAATGGCCCTACACCCGGTGCGCCAACCCTCGAGAAGCGATACTCTCAACGAACCAAGACGACCATTACCCTTTACGACGAGCGCCTGCTGCCATACGACCTCATCGTCAAGCTCCTCGAGTACATCTGCTACCAGGGCCCTTATGATGAAATGTCTGGGGCAATCCTCATCTTCATGCCTGGTTTGGGCGAGATCCGCAAATTGAACGACATTCTCACGGACCATCCCCACTTTGGATCTGAGCACGAGTTCATCATTCACCCTCTGCACTCGACTACGTCAAGCGATCAACAAGGTGCTGTGTTCAACGTTCCACCTCCAGGTATTCGCAAGATCGTAATCGGTGAGCGTTCTTGGCTTTATCATCAAGTGCAAAGTTCTGATATTGCTGCGCAGCGACCAATATCGCGGAGACAGGTATCACCATCCCTGATATCACTTGTGTTATCGACACCGGCAAGCATCGCGAGATGCGCTTCGACGAGAAGCGGCAGCTAAGCAAGCTCGTGGAAACCTTTGTGGCGAAGAGTAATGCTGCTCAGCGGCGCGGTCGTGCTGGACGTGTTCAGCGCGGTTTATGCTTCCATCTATTCACGAAGTACCGTCACGATACGAGGGTGCGCCTACCTCATCATACGCCTGTATCATTCACGTGATACTGAAACTCGTTCATAGATGGCCGAACATCCTGAGCCTGAGATTCTGCGCCTTAGTCTCGCGGACCTCGCTCTGCGAACGAAGACAATGAAGGTCAACCTAGGCACCTCCGTCGAGGACATCTTGACCAAGGCTCTCGATCCGCCATCTCCCGTCAACATACAACGCGCAGTGTCCGTCTTGGTCGAGGTCCGCGCACTCACACCGGATGAGGAGATCACACATCTCGGTCGCCTTCTCATGCGCCTCAGCCTGGACGTGCACCTGGGCAAGTTCTTGATCATGGCTTGCCTCTTGCAATGCCTTGATCCGGCCCTCACCATTGCGGCGGCATTGAGCGCGAAATCGCCTTTTGTAACGCCATTCGGGCATGAAGTGCAGGCCGACCTGGCCAAGAATTCGTTCCGCGTCGGTATGTTGTCTGCATTGTTCGGTATCTGCCGCTTGCTCATAAGGTAACAGAGAACTCGGACTTCCTCACATTGCACCAAGCGTTCTCTGCCTGGCGTAACGCCTCGGCGAACAAGGGTGCCAGTTTTGCCCGGGAGTTCTGCCGCAAGAACTATCTCAGTCACCAGAACTTGCTGCAGATCAAAGAGCTCCGCGAGCAGTTCTTGAGGTACGAAGACACCCTCTTCCTATCAGAAAAGCTAGCTAATAACTCGTAGCTATCTGCTGGACTCAGGGCTCATTCAGGTCGACAACACGTTCGTCAGGGAGCTACAGAAGTATGTCGTTCAGGATGAGAAATGTGTATATGCTAACAAATGCCCTCTGTAGGACGCGCTACGGCCGTACACGCGCAACTAAATTCATCAATATTCCCACGGACCTTGATTGCAATTCATATAACGTGCATATCGTAAACGCTGCTCTAGGCTCCGGGTTGTATCCAAAGCTACTACACGTCAATCCTTCGACTGGCCAGCTCACTACGATCTCCAACAATCAAAGCGTCGCCTTTCATCCTTCGTCCGTCAACTTCAAGAGGAAACCAGCTGATTTCGGCGTCAACCATCTCACGTACTTCACACTCATGTGCGTGATCCAGGTCGTATCCCCCATTTCCTCTACTCATTCATATACGTAGGCACTCGAAGAAGCTGTATGCTTGGGAGACTGGTCCAGTAGAAGATATCGCCATCCTGTTGCTTTGCGGAGATAGCGAGTTCAAGGTGCGCGTCTTACGTAGGAAAATCAGTAGATTCTCGCGCTGACATGCAGTTCAGTTGGCCTCCGATTGGGCCAATGTCGATCGGAAGGTGAGGCTCCGCGTCGCGTCGCCTAAAGTCAACCTCGCTTTGAAGCATCTACGCGCTCAAATCGCTTCCCTGCATGTTGCACAACTCCGTTCCTCCCCTTTGACGGAGACGCAGGCCCAATGGAAGGAGCTCGCAGTCATGATCTTGGGCAAGTTACGTATCATCGACCCCGACGAGGGAAGAATTGGCATTCGTTAAATAGCACCGCACCCTCTTTATCTTCATCACTCTTATCAGCTTTTAATGACGTCTCATTTGCCTTCGTACGCATCCAAGATTGCACCGACTACCCACGCGTTACCTGCCACATAGACTACACCGCACGCCCACAGATTGTAGTACACCCCCTCTCCTAGGAACTCTAGCTTGTAGGCTTGACTGAGCCATAGGGCTTGCGTGCCGAACCAAACGACCGCGCAGATGATGGCCTTGCGTGAGGATATCCGCAAGTGTGGGGCGAGCAAGGGTAGAAAGAGCAAGTACCAAAGGAAGTACTATAAATCAGTTAGCAAGGTGCCAGCCGAAATGATCGCGACAGTGTGCACTTGCCTGCGAGGTGCAGACCTTGTTGAACAGCACGAATACAAAGGTCTGGACGAACCATGCAAGTATGAGGTCTTGACGGCGTCGTGCGAGGAGCACACCTGCTGCTACGGCGAGAAGCATCTGTGGGCCAAAACTTGCCAGCGGAGAGCGAGCGAGAGTTCTCCATAAAGGCACAGCGCCATCATCATGGATGCCCGAGTACGTCAAATACGTTGGGTAGAAGTGCGGCGCAAAGTTGTGGCGATGATCGCGTCGGTGAATATGGTACAGATACGTCTCTTCTAGGAACGGCTGACCCCAACTTGATAGAGGTATTCAGTTGCTATCATCATCGGTGATCCTGTCGCGCTTACATTGCATACATAGACAGCCCGAGCGCCACGAACGTGCCAGCGCTCACCGCGGTAAACTTTACAACGTCAACGACAGCGCGTCGTAAATGCAGTGTCGCACGTCCTTTCGCAAGTTGCTCGCCAGCCAAGGCGGTAACGCAGGAGATGCCATAGACAACAGGGTATATCTTCCAGTGAGCAGACAAGCCTAGAAGTGCTGCAGCCATCGTCCACTGGCCGCGAAGGGCGCATGATAGGGTGCCAAGTACGAAGAGCAATAGTACGGACTCCGAAGAGCCGCGGGTGGATATGCTAAACACGAAGGGGCTCAGAAGATGCGCAGCTGCACAAAGTGCTGCCTTAGCATCTTTTGATGGCTGAACAGTGTCTGTCTGAGTTTGTGCAGCTGTCGTATCGGATGCCTTTGTGTTTGAAGGACCAGAAATATCTCGAGTAGGCGTGGTCCGTGCAACTAAGCGGTAGATGAGAATGCCTGCTACGATATCACACGCGGCAAACAGATATTTCCCAAAGGAGGGGAGGAACCATTCGTTTGGAGCAAGCAAGACGGCCAGCAATGGGGTATATCGATAGGTAGCACGTGTGTAAGGACTGAGTGAGATGTAAGCATCCGATTCCATAGCCATGAACTGAATCGTAGGATCTCTCACTTTCCTATAGCGTGATTTCCTAGCGAGCCATCGGCGAAGTTGTCCGGACCAGGGTGCAAAAGGAAGTGTGTCGCATCACTGAACACTCGATAGTCTACGTCCGTGTATTTCACGACTGACCGCGCGTCATGCCATTCGCTATAGACGATGAGGCCCACGCGCAGGATGATGGAGACGGCTAAGATGTGACTGAAAGACACTCTTTCGCGGAGGTAAGAGAGGCTGTTCGTCATCTCCCACGACCTTGGGGCCTCTATCGTTCGAGCGGCAGCACCTTTTTGGTGTGACAGGTAACGTCGTGGACGGCAAGAGGAAGGTGCGGCGCCGCTTGACACGCGATGGCTTTGTGGCTCGATGGCAACACGGGGTTTGCCGTCCAGGTTTCCACGCGCTTTCTTCCTTCTTTCGAACACTCATCGTATCCCCGTGAGGCGAGCCTGCCCATATCATTAAGACCCTAACGAAACTTTACCTTTGTGGATCTGTACACGATTCGCTTTACTCACAAAATGAAATTTGCCATGAGGTTGACTGCCTCGTCTTCCTCGTCCGATGTCGCAACAAGAACGGCCACAGGCTGACCCAGGGCTTCCTGTGGCCAAGAGCCACTCGACCTTCTTCTACGCGCATGAGACTCAGTCGCCGGATGAGCTCATGGGCGAGCTAGAACTAGACCCACGTCAGGTTCGCCTGGAAAGGTAAGCCGAGTCCCCTCGAAATGCACCGGTCTCGGAGCGTGACACTTTACTAGTATCCAATCTCGCCTCAGGGCTTCCGGGTGCTCCGAGGAAGACTTGACGGACGAAAGATTTCTCTGTCATCCTTATGTGGACACAGCCAAGCCCTTGACTGACGAAGGTGAGCCCGTTCGCCTATCATGGCAGCGTAAGCTTGCTAAGGCGACAACCCAGAATGGAGACTCCTCGCCCCAATTCTAGCCGAAGACATACAACACATCCGTGCTTGGAGGCAATACCATCGCAACGAACTGTATAATCTCTTCGTTCAAACGTACACTTCGGTGATCTTGGAGCGCATCCCAGTGCACTTGCAGCCTTTCGCGCCTTCTGCCCACACTGTCTGGTTTCACCGGTCCCAAACGCTGAGCGCGACTTTGTTCGAAGAGGCCGGAAATGTCCAAATCCAGGATTCACTGGTGAATGCTATCCATGAGTGCATACCCATGCTCACGCCCTGGTTCACTCGTCGCGCATCGCAGTTTGCGACGCTCATCCCAACCGCATGGCTGACCCCGTACGATCAATGGGTTCCCTTGCCGGATGGGATCAATGGTCCCGGAAGCTTTTTAGACGCGTTCACCGCTGCGGCCGTTCGATATGACTTTGCGTCCTATGTCTTCAGATGCCGCGGTGTCTCTACCGACCCAGGCTCGGAGGGAACGTGGCATTTCGGACTCGACCCTCTAGCGTGCGACCATTGCAACATCAAAGACCCCGACACCGGCGCTGTCATCGGTCTCCACGATATACAGCCAGACCACGAAGGCCATGAGATCGTGACGAACCTCGTCCAGAGATTGGTCGTACCAAATCTCGACAAGCTAGACCTTCCACCTTACTGCAATCAGACAACCCCGGCGTTCTTAGACAGTCTTGGGATCACATTCTTCTGCGAGACCTGTACTTGGGCTGACTACGGATGGGCCATGGCGCAGGACCTCATCCCACTTGATGCAAAGGTAATGGGTATAGCAAGGGACTGGCGGGCAATGGTATGTCGCCTGTCACTGTTTCACTGGTACAGCTTGTACTCACAGGCTCGCGAGAAATAGGTTGAGCACATACGACACACGAATCATTGCTTGGGATGGGCCCAGTTCTGCAATATTCGTTGGGCGACGAGACTTGAAAACCACTACGTCGACGCGCAGCTCATGCGCAAACGAGCCTTTTCGAAGCATGTCCCATATTCCGGTGCCGATGAAAAGGATCGCCATTGGGGATGTTATCGTTGCGACAGGGGTAGCGTTGACATCGCAGGCGCAGTCAGCGATAGATGGCACAAGAGACCGTGGTACACCCTCGAAGAGGTCGAACTACACATTCGTCGAGTGTAAGGACCGGTGTATTATCGCATGAGCATAGAGTTGACGAGTATCCTCTATAGGCATAAGTTGGGAGAACCGAGAGAAGGCTACGACTATGTATGGGACCGAAGGGTAGAGCACGAGGGGAGAATCGCACATGATGTGCCTATCGAGAACCAGGGCGTGTCTGGGGATTTAGAACAGCCGAGCGGCAGGGTTATTCTGTGGGCAAACATTCGCAGGCTGCAGATGGAGGCGCTACAAGCTCTGGATATGACTTAGGTGATAGCTATACGGACTACCAGAGCTTGCATGTAGCTCTACTTGTGCACATGTATCCGGCTCAATCAATCATGCAATCTTCTAATATCGGCAAAGGTATCTGGTACAAACATCATCTCAACACGATAACACGCCGTGGTTACCTCGTAAACGTCTCCTCAACCACATCTACCCTGACCTGCGGCGTTACCGACCCACTCCTACGTATCTCGGCACTCAGTCTACTGGGCTCAAAGTCCGAGTCAACGTCCTGCACCACGACGACAGCCTCGCGTTCCTTCTCCTTGTCTTCCGCAACACCGATGACTCCAAACGCGGCTAGTACCAGTGCAGCTCCCAGTACGACCTGAGCGCGTGCAGCGCGGCCTAGGAGCATGTCGCCAATCACAGCGAGTGGCATTGTCAAGCTTAGCCCGATGGTCACGACCAAAGGCGAAGTCTTGAGCATAGCGAGCACGTAGATGAAGTCGGAGGAGAGTGTAATAGCCATCTGAGCCAGATGTCAGCCTTCTAAAGCGAGACATAAGGGCAGAAAGCACTCACATTGATCAGCAGTCCTCCCACAGCGCGCGAGTTCTGCGGCAACTCGAACGGCTCAACGCCCGTCAGATGCAGGATGACGCCGAGCGGCCATACAGCGACGATATTGAACGCGCCGACGAAGCCAAAGAAGAGCTGCATATCGACGCGGCTCTCGCTTCGTATGCGGACCTTCAGTAAGATCACATACAACGCATACAACAGCGAGCTGAGCAGCGCGAGTGCGTCTCCCAGGATATACTTCCTACTCGGCCCTCCCGTCTCCACACCATCTTGGACCGTACTCGTAGCCGGTGTCGAACCATCGCTCAGCGAAACAAGCACGACGCCGGTGAATGACATCGCCACCGCAACGAGCTTGGCGAGCGAGACGCGGTCGACGCCGGCGATAGTGCCGAGGATGAGCGTAAAGAAGCCGGACATGCTGCTGAGGATTGTGGCACTCGCTACAGAGGTATAGACGAGGCCGACATTCAAACTCCAGTTGGCGAGGAACCAGGGAGCGCAGAATGCGATGGCGAGTTTGCCGGTTTCGGCGGTTGTGAGGGGCGGGAGGTGTAGTTCATGTGGCGCGTGAACTGTCTGCTCGTATGGGCTCTGTGAGGAACGAGTGAGTGAGTAGTTGTGGCACAGGCGTATGGCGGAAGACGTACGGCGGGTCGGTCCTCCGGATCTTCAGTCACCAATGGCTCGTACTCCGTCTGTGAGCTGAGGGAACCATCAATCCATGTTCGGGAGCGTGATAGTTGGGCAACGTACCCATCCCTTACGCCATTGCGCGCGCCACTGTGTTTCCTCCACAATCTTCGTAGGCCGAACACAACAAGGTATACAGAGAAGGAGCTCGTCGTCAGATATGTGACGCTGTTCAATTATCAGTCATCATTGGGCCGGACATGTACGGTGGGAACGTACAGATATGGCTTGTCGTATCCGCCGTCGAACAAGTCCTGTATTCAATGTCAGTCCGCCTGCACTATAGCTATAGACTAGATAGTATACGCACTTGTGTAACGAAGTTCGACCCCGTCCACAAGAACACCACACAAAGCAACAGCCCAATCCCCGCAATAAACTCCTTGCGCGCAACAGCCCTCGCAGGCGACTTTCCCCTTGTCCTCGACCTCGACGCGGACGCGACGCGTGCATGGGTAGGAGCGGGCGAGGACTCGTAGTCCATCTCGCCTGAGGCGGTGGTGGGAAGAGCGGAACCGGATGCCTCTGCTATCGAGCTCGACGGCCGGTGCCTCATATCGCTCGTGCTCGCGTGCTTTGATCGGGGCGGTAGGTGGCGATTTATTGATTGACTCGCCCCGCCGGGACCGATAAGCAGTATATGTACGGGATGGAAGTTCGGGTTGAACGTGTGCTTTATTGGAGAACAGGCATAGCCATTCGTACTTCTTTAGGCGCTCGGGGCTTGCGCGTATCATTCCCTGTATGGTGTGCTCTAGCGTTGTAGGCTTCCATCACTCTCACGTTTCTTGAGCGCGTGCGGGGCAGATGTCGAGATACACAGAAGACAGTGATTTGTTTGTTTGTATGCTGCGTGTATAGAATCTACACGGAAGAGAAGGGCGCATATATGGCGAGCCGGAGTAGCGTGGGCAGGGGTGGCTCGGGTCACGGATGTACGACGACAATCAGACGATGCGGACTGTCCGGGCGGCGAATGGGGATAACGAGCAGAAGGTGATAAGCGAGACCGTGAATCTATTGGTACAAATGCTGATCAATGCGAGGCTGGGGACGGGGGTCAAGTCGAGTCAAGTGAGAGTCAAATGGGTTGGACGGAGAATAGGGGGGTTAAGAATGGACGTCGGAAAAGCTGTACCCTATAACTGATGTAGATAATATATACTGCGAGGGTGAATGGTGAATAAAACGAGCGTGCCCGGTATGTATCGTCGAGTTGGCCGACGTCTGTACAGTATGGCACAGAGTATATGCATATAGAGGATGGTGGGGAGAGGCGGGAGAGCTATGGCAGGTGTGCGCCGACGCGACTCCATGTCGAGCTCCATCCGCCTCCCCATCCGGTCGAGAAGTGACTGGCGTTGTGCACCTTGACCTTCTCGAAGATGCGGAAGAGGGAGATGATGAGGTTGAAACAGTACATGCCGAGTCCGATGGCGACCAGACACGTGAGGATGAGTTGATGTCCGCACGGTACGTGCTTCGAGGCGTCCTTCTCCAGTGAGGATTGGGCTGTACATGGAATGAAGTAGAGAAAGTAGTCGTTCAAGCATAGCGCCAGGGAACCCGACCACAGACAGATGAAGACGACTTCCACGAGTGTATGCGCGAGTTTGGCGGACGTTCGCCATAGGCCGAGCGGTCGGCCGAGATACTCGAGCTGTATATCAAAAGATGTTCAATCACATAGCGACCAACATGCGATCTGGAAGAGCGACGCACGTATATGGCAATCATAACGTGCACGAGCGTTAGCGGGGCGAAGATCACGACGAGGGTGCTGGGCGGGGATGCTGTCAATCAAAACGACGCTTCTAAACCGTCGATCAAATGACCACTCACGGAGACGCGCCCAAAACACCGACGGTGGTATCTCGCTCCTCAATTATGCGTAGTCGTATGGCGATACCCAGGGCGGCGGTGGTCAGGCCAATGTTGACGATACGAAACAGCTGCGAAAGAGACGCCGTGAGCAGACGAGCGGAGTTAGGGGCTTGGCCGAGCTGCGGCCGAGCCATGAACAAAGGACAGCTGTACGCACGAGCGGAACGTAGACGTTATTCAACAAGAACCTCCTCGTCCGTTTCTTGAATGCTGCCCAGCCAGTGAGATCCTCGGCCTTGACCTCGTTGCCGGTGTTGACCGAGGGTCCTGTGCCGGCGCCGGTACCGGGCATACCACTCTCGTCGAGCGGCTTTGCCATCCAGGGACTGTCCCATCCGGGCGTCTTAGATTGAGCCATTGTGCTAGGCGCCGGCTGCGGCATGTTGAGATGCAGACCCCAAGAGCGTAATCGGCCTCCGGGCGGCTGACGCTCTGTGGGGCTGTTCGCGGCCGCAGGCGAGTTGCCCGTTTCGACCAACGGCGCCAGCGTCCCTCGGCCCGTCGAGCTCGACTCGCGCGTCTCTCGCGGGTGGGACGGGCCGGCATCTGCGGTGGTGGAGAGGGAGGAGGAATGGGGGCGGAGGAGGCCGTCGTTTCGCCGTCGCGTGAATGGGAACCAGCGGTGTTCGCCGTCGGGTCTGCTGGACGAGGCCATCGAGAGCATGTCCACGCTCGACGCCGGGCGGGAGTGGGAGTCATGGTGTTGGAGCTGGTGGACAGAGTTGGTGGGCGAGTCGGGCTCGTCTCTGGCCCATGCTATGTCGTGTGTGTTATTATCGCCATGACGCGCACGACCGCATAAACGAACATACGGGGCTCGGTGATCACCGTCTTTATCGTCGCCGGCACGCCTGTCCTCGATCGCGTCGGCGACACCGACTTTGCTGTGATGGACGAGAGCCGCGACGGCCCGCCGACCTGCTCCATGCAGTCAGACGAATAGTGAGGATGGAAGTCAGAGCCAGGCTTCGGCCCGATGAGCTGCTGCCCCGCAGATCCCGAACCATCATTTCACGCGCGCTTCTCTTTCGCCACTTTGACCGCGACCGCCAACTCGCCTTCTGATGGCGGATTCAGTCAACCTCAGCTCTGGTCAGGTCGGCTCCAGGTTCGTCACTCAGAATGAGCTCGACGATGCCCGTGAACGGCGAGAGGAGCAGTGGAGGCAGGCCTACGCTAGGTCAGTTTCGGCGCATCTCCGGCCTCCTTGTGTCAGTAAGCTTCGCGTAACTTAACCGCCCATGTCGTCAGACTGGGCCAAGAGCCGCCGCCCAAGCCGACCGAAGACGCGTACGACGGTCGATCGTTGGCAGAGGTCCGTATCATCTCTGACACTTCATACCAGTATAGCAGATGGCTTACTCGGATCCATGCTCCCGCTTCATTCCACTAGAAATTGGCCGCGAACAGAGTGCGCAGTGTGTGACCTAAGGCGCCTCGCTCAAACCAACGTGTTCTTTCTTTTCTATCCCTAGGCGGCCAAGCAGGAAGAATGGGAGGAGAAAAACAAGCTCGCAAACCAGTTCCGCGCACTCGAGGAGGACGAAATCATGTTTCTCGATTCGGTACGCGAAAAGCAGGAGGCTGCCGAGCGTGAACGCAAGGAACGCGACGGCGAGGAGGTCAAGTCATTCAGGGAGTGCGTCTTGCTTCCTTTTCATTCATGCACAGGAACTATATTTACACATGTTCTCGCAGAGCCGTGGCCTCGAAGGTAATCGTCAAATCACCGCCTCCTGCGCCCGCGCCCGCTCCGGCTGCGCCTAAAACTACAGCATCGGCCCCACCGGCGAAGAAGCCCGGCAAGACACTCAAAGGCGTCGTGGTCAAGAAGAAGGCAATTAAGCCTGCAGCCACCGCCTCCGCTTCAGCTCCAACCGCCGGAAGCCCAAGTAAAGACGAAGATGCACCGCCAGATGCCAAGCGGCGTAAGATTGCGTAGGCTGTGGGTAGGTTGTACTATTCTCATCCAAATGTACATATTGCTTCTTCGTGGTCTTCATACTGTGCTCCATCTCCGAATAGTCACCTCATCTCGAGCAGAGACGTGCTTGAACTGCAAGGCGTGTGATCCCATCACCGTCCAGGTGTCGGAGTCCAGCGAACACGACTCAGATCCTTCTCTTTCGCACTCTTGCCTTCCCATCCAGCCATGCGTCCCATAGCTTCCGCTCTCCTGGATGCAGCCGTTCCCATCGTCGTCCGATCCAACAGCCGCTTGGCCGCAGGTGTCAGCCCACCGGGTGCATCTGCCCTGCGTGGTGTCATGCCCCCAGTAGGCGGACCCATGTCACTCTTCCGCTTCACACCATTCATCATGTTCGCTTTGGTGCGGAGACTGCGTGAGGCGGTTGATGATAGACGGTTCGAAAGTTGTTCGCGTGCCGTCGGCGCTGCAATGCGGAATGGTGTATCTGGTTCGATCGCTGGGTCGTCGCTTTGAGAAAGTACACGTGGGGTTCCGAGAAGCGTGCCCATCGTCATAAGTTGCTTTACGCGTGTCGGACCAAGTTCTGCGGGCGAAGGTGAAGGCATGGCGGGTACATATGAGAAGTTGTTGACACCTGGTGAACGAGGGCGATCTGAAAATATAACATAAGTTGCAATATTCGCGAGCATGAATATGAATGCGACACTTACAAGGTGTACCGGCGATTGCTGCATCAATCCGACTCCTCGTCGGACTGGGTGGCGCAGAAGAACTCCGCATAAGCTCTCCATCCTCGTCGAGGTCTGGCATACGCGTATTCACAGCTCTGACCTCACGAGGATCCGGCTTGGACGGCGCAGTGACAGCATATGGAGACACATCCGCGTCTGGCGGGAACATGAGCCCATTGCGAGCGCGGAAGTTCCAGCCGTCGACGCCTGCCTCGCGTGTATCCTTCTTCGGCGCCATCACATCCACCTCTTCATTCTCTTCATCATCCTTCTTCTTGGCCACAACCGCCACCTCCTTTCCTTTCCCTTTATCATCATGTCCTTCCTCGCCCTGGGTGATCAGTCCCTTAGGCACGGGCGCCTCGATCAACACCTTCTCCCTGACACCAGGCGCGGCAGGCGCCTCGATCAACGCCCTCTCCCTCCCTTCCAGCATCTTGCCCCTCATAGCCTCAACCCTCTTCTGCGCGTCCCACGCCCATCCATACCTCTCCTTCCTTCGATCATTCTCCGCCTCCAGAATCTCCAAAAAGCTCGAGTTATCCTCAGACGTATATTTGGCTTGGAAGGCGTCGAGAGAAAGGGATGTGTCGAGTTTCGCGCGTTTGCGCGGCGGTTCGCTCGTCGATGAGGATGGCCCGGCGCGTGGGGTCTCTGAAGGTCCGGCGGCATAGGGTGTTGGCGCGTCCCATGCGCGAGCGGGTGTTTGCAGTTGCTCCAGTCTGCGCACACTGGCAGCAATAGCAGCAGGATCATTATTTGATTCTGCTTCGAGATATGCATTTGTGGCGTCCAGATGTACAAGCGAGGGAAAGAAGTCTCGCGCGATGATGTGCGAGAGCGCGGCGGTGTACTCGTCTTCTTCGAGTACCTGTTGCCGCAACAGAGAGCGGGTAGGTGCACTTGACGCGCCAGTCGTAGTTATTGTGAGCGCTCGAGAACGCGGTGTAGCGGTGGGCGTGGATGCCATGGCGCGAGTCGTGGTGGTGGCGGTTGATTGAAGCGGAGTCGGCGTTCGAGCGTCCGCCTGCGTCCGCGGCACCGATGCGCCACGCTCGGGACGCGGTCACGGGGCTTGCGATGATACGCGACACCTGTTTCAGCGCGCGCTGTCTGGAGAGACGAAACAGGTTATCGTAGTAGAAGCAAATTCGTAGTAACATCATAACATGTTAATTTTGTACTATGCTACAATACATCTACATATCCGACGTCATACGCAGTTCATTTCTCAGCGGAGACGCCCTGAACGTTGGGCTCGACTAAACCGCCAACGGCGTCAAAAATTAACGACGCTCACCAGGGAATTCAGAAGGTGGGAGCACTCACCCCGAAGCTTTCTTTAAAAGCAAAGGCATAGCGCATTCCCGGCTGCTTCTCTGATTCCGGACAGAACGTTTCGGCTGAAGGAGGGTAGAGGTGCCGTTCTACAAGCACTCTCGCTGCTGCGTTTAAATCAGTGACGATGGGCAGCTGATCTTTGTATTCAAGCTATCACCTTCTGCGTGAGTGATAGTATTACCAATGACATGCTCCCACTCACTCTTCGACGCTTGAGAGGTGGAATGTCATATTCACCGAGATTGCGCTGGTTCTCCTGCCTCTCATTCAGGTCCATGGGCTGGTAGAGTATTTCTTGAAACAGAGTGCCTATGACAGCTTGATAAGTCGGCCGCTTCTTCTTATCTCAGCGAGTAACGCACGTCCTGACGTGTAGCGTATATTCAGTGTGGCGAGGGGCTCCACATCAAATCGACCTGAGCGATCCGTCGTCGCATTTCGTGAGCTGATAGGTGACAGCAAGCGACTCCTCCTATTGCGATCGTGTCAGCGCATCATAAATTTGCGCCACTCGTTATGGAAGCGAGATACGTATACGCACCACACTACGAAATCCCGACTCCGATGGGTGGTAGGAGACATGACTGGGAAGGCCTTGCGACGATAGTGCGGGCTCGGCGGCAGAGGTTCGCGGAATACTATGGATATCATACCGAATTTGTCCTGCGGGCCAAGCACAGATCTTTCTTCGGCTAGCATAAGGTACAGTGAAAGCGCCTTAGTCAGATCGAAGAGTAACACGCACGAGTTCGTCTCCGAAAGAAGAGTGGATAGACTCTCGAGCCTCGTTCTTCATATGCACCCTTGACCACCACCGTCTGTTTCGTTCCTGGCAGATATGTCCTAAACACTTCCTTTCCATCCACGAAAACATATGCAATTGAAGAGATGCCACCTGTCGTGTCAGTGATGACCAGTTCGAATGTCTAGAGCGTATCACGAATGAGTATGTCATAGATGCAATCGATGTGAACTATGCGAACGCATTTGTCCCATACAATCACATATCCGTGCGCGTCTGAGCCTCGTTTTATTCTCTGCCTGAAGGAGCCGTATACTGGTAAAGGCTCCGCTTCTCTGCCTGTCCAGCGAGCGGGTCGAATGGAAACTGAGAAACCACGCGCCTGGATAGAGTGTTGTACGGCCACCATAGTGACTATCTGAGTTCATCGGAGTGAGCATAGTGGGGACAATATCCTAAAACATGTCCTGGACTTACTGCACCAGGTCCGCCGAGCGCGAGGAACCGAGGTAGAAGGAGCTCTATGAAGGGCATAGCGATGCGGGTTGCCCACATGGAGAGCACATACAGATATCTATTCATTCATGTTCCACAAAATACAGATTACAATGAAGTATGAGTCTGGAGAGGCAAAGCTCAAGGTAGCGGTCGCTCAACACCGACCCACAAAGGCAAGCCTGACTGCTTGGGCCAGCAATCGAAGCTCTCACGCGCAGCTATCCACCACCTATACATCTCAATTATCGCGGCATGTGCTTTGTAGAGGTCTGTGGGCAATATAGTGGATGATGCAGTGGGGATGATGAACGCAGGAAGCAAGACGCGACGCGCGCTGACGCGCGAAGCTCCAAAAACTTGCCTCGGACTCTCATCTCGTTTCTGTATTATTCCCAACCATTGTACATTAGTCCACATGGTGCGCCGAAACTCATCGCCTGCTTCACTGTGCTCATATGCACTAGCCAAAAGATCGCAGTGGAAAGCGTCGTTCCCTCGGTCACGAACCTTCTGCGAAAGCGGGCAGTCGCGCATTCGCGGTGCAGGATAACGCCGTGAAGCATGTAGAAATAGGAGAGATGGAGGATGCATCGGTACGTATGTGATGTAATTGAGCGAAGACTTGTGGCTGAATACGTTGTAGGGCAATGAGATTTTGCGCGCCATGGAGGCGGAGCAGGAGGCAGAGGCCGGCCCGTCGCTCAAGAAAAAGGAGAAGCGTCAATTGAAGCACGAACTCTTCATACAAAGTACGTGGCGCGCCACTGCGCTCACGCTCATCGCTCATGTGCGAATAGGGCTAGAAGAAACCCGTGCGCCGTATAGCAAGTCGCATAACCGCCGAATAAAACGGAAGGAGCGCGATGAGATCGCCGGCGGCGCGTTGAAGGGTCTTTCATCGGTTCTGTCACAACTCGATGATGCACCGGCGGCGGCTGCAGCCGATTCCGGTGCAGAAATTGAGGCTGCGCCACAACGAGCTCGGCCGCGACCAGGACAGATCGGGGAAGGCAAGAGTGCGCCGCTGTCCAAGGCACAACGGAAGAAAGCATTGTGCGTGCCACTAGTTTTTGTGCATTGCTCTGTGGCTGAGCCCGCTCCGCGTCTAGGAAAACGGAGAAGTTTAGGCTTCCTCTTATCATGCAGAATCCCGAATTCAAGGCTAATCCATTCGCAACTATCCGAACTCATGCGCAAAATACGTTGATACAACATCAACCGCCTAGTGGCACAGCCTAATTCGGTCTCCGCCTTCATTCCCCGTACAGTCCTCGGTCCACCTGCTATCGTTACATGCTCTGCTAGCACCTTCTTGCACCTCATTGAAATGCCACAATCTACTCGTCCGCCACCTTGATGAGGAGTTTGCCCGTCGTTTTTCCGCCCACTAGATCTTTCTGCGCCGCTTTGACACCTTCGGCCGTGAATGGGTATTCGCCGTGAATATTGATTCTGAGTTGATCGCTTGTCACTAAGTCAAGCAGCTCTTTGCTGAGGGTGTCTTTCTCTTCGACTGTGTACACCTGCTCAGCGGTCAGAATCAACATTCATGAGGCCTCAAGGACTCGCTTACATAGTTGAAGACGCTGAGATACACAACGCGACGGGTTAGATTGTGCCGCGCGCGGAGGTTGAATTCACCTACGTAGGGCGGAGGACGGTGATGTTCTTCGGGGTGAGCTTCATCAGGGGGAATGGTGGCACAGCGCCACTGGCATTTCCGAAGGAGCACAGTGTCCCTTTGCGCCTTAACATCTGAAGACTAGCTTCGAACCTGCAACAACCGTGAGCTCAGGTCAAGATGTCAGGTCTTCCTTGTTCGCGTACGTGTCCTTCCCAACGCCATCATATACAACATGAGCACCTTCCCCGCCGGTTAGCTCAAGGACGCGCTCGACGACGTTTTCGTTTTTGTATAGAATGACATGGTCTGCACCATGTGCCTTCGCGAGCTGAGCCTTCTCTGGCGTAGAAGTCGTCCCAATCACAGTTGCGCCCTTCAGCTTTGCATACTGGGCATGCAGAAGGCCCACGCCACCGGCTATCGTGTGTATCATGACGATATCGCCTTTCTTCACTTCATAGCTCTCCGTCAGCTGGGCGATCGTCGTGATTCCCTGTTGTGTGGCTCGTCAGGCAAAGCTTCCCTCTTTTTATACGTATGATACATACCTGGATGAATGCCGCGGCCGCTACGCGTGTTGGAAACTCGTCGGGCACGGGCACAACCAACTCATCCCTGAGACGGTACATCTCAATATAACGTCGTAGTGAGCATCATTTCAGAAGCATACCACGGAACAGAGACGTATTCCTTGAGTGAGCCGCGGTAGCTCTACAATGTCAGTGGTCAGATCGGTACTTCATCAAGTCAGGAAGAACTGTACCAGTGCGACTCTACCTCCCTTCTTGAACCCGCGTTTCTTGTAAGTCTCGTTCTGAAGCAGAGCTTCATCAGTAGGCAGTTCTGCGATGATCCCAGCTGCTTCTCCCGCGATAGGGAAAGGCAGGAAGGGTGTTTTGTACAGTCCCGATCTGCCAAACGTTCATGTAAGGTTCGCACAAAGATCGTGATCCTTGCCTACCTGAAGTAGGTGTCGATGAAGTTCACGCCGGCATATTGGACCTTGTGGATCCCGTGAGCCCATCCGCGTACGATCCCAACCAGTTCATGGGTGCCACCTTGATCAGCAGATCGGTCGGCTTGACCTCAGGGAAGGGAAGCTCGAGGTCTTGGATTGCATCGTAGTCGCCCGTCTCCTTGATACCGACGGCCTTGACAGTAGAGGGATAGGACATGGTCGTGACGGTACGATACTCCGAGGAAGCTACTCCTAGGGTCAGGGTGGTAGGAGATGATGTGCGCGATATGAGCGGTCGCTTGGGTTATAAGCCCTTCGGGGTCGAGATCTCTCAGGCTAGAGCTGGCACCAGTGTTCCCAGCGGATGTATCAAAGATCGTGCAATTGAGTCGCACGTCGCCGAACAGACCCTAAAGAATCGAAGAGGTTCGTGTCGTGATTATCTACGTGATGCGCCAATGTTGCAGTATGGCGGGGTAAAATATGTACAGGTAAATGCGAGGGTATGAACAGAGATATGAGATGCAAAAGGGGATAGGTGTGCATAATCCGAGGCAGATACAGGCAGATCTACGCTGTGCGTGGTATACATCAGTAACAAAGGGTAGCGTTATCGTTCGTCGCTGGTGAGAATTCCAAGTTATCGTCAATGATTAGTGATTGCTTGCGCGCATTCACTCGTCGCCGTGCTCCCCTTGGTGGCTCATCCCTGCGCTCCACACCGTGCTGCCGCTGCCGCTTCCGCCGCCACTGGCACGTCCACGGCGTGACTTGCGCTGGATCTCGGTGAAGCCACTGCTGCCGCCCTTGGCGAGCTCTACACTCAATTGGCGCTCATGCACGTCGAGAGCAGCCAGAGCACTTTCGGCCTCCGATTGGACGAGGGCGTCATGTGTGAGTACTACAGGTTCGTCCGATGTCGACGGCGTAGAGCGGATGGATGAGGTCTCAGAAGTGACGGCGGGTCGACGGAAGAACGAGAAGCGTGATGGTGGGCTTGAAACCGTGGAGCTCGGGTCGGTGGGCGTTGCCGGTGTGATGTTCGTCGAATCCGGTGCGGTATGCGACTTCACCATAGGTGGAGGCATGGGCTTATCGATACCCATAAGCTTCATCGTCGCATGGAGACGCTCCCGCTCTTTGCGATCCTCCTCGTCTTCTTCGGTATCCAGTTTGCGGGCCGTTGATGGACCAGAAACATTCCGGACATTGGTATTAAGCGCCGGCGAACGAGATGGTGGGCCACCCTCAGGCTTTTTGTCGCCGCCAAACAGCGAGAAGCCCCGCCAGTCGAACGAGAGTGACCGACGTTTGTTAGCTGGTGCAGTCGTGGGCGGCGGCATCGGCTTGGGAGACATGATGGACTCGAAGGTGGTGAGCCTCTCGGGCTGAGGTGAGGTCGGCATCTGGGAGTTCGACGAGCCAGCAAACATAGTAGCGCGGCGCCTGTGCTTCTCCTCCTTGGAAGGTGGCGGAGGTGCGAAAGCTGGCGTGCCCGGCGACTTGTTTGCCTCGTAATCGACGGCAAGGACGTGCTCGAACCCTTCCTGCGCGATGATACGGTCGATGATCTTGGACGCGTATAGAGACAACGCCTTGTTCGCATCTTCGAGCATCTTGACCCTGGAGCGCATAGCATGGATATCGTTTGCCGAATCGCTGGGTTCCATACCCCCGCGTCCCTCTCCAGTGCTCTTCCTGCCCTTCTTCTGGCGAGCAGAGGGCGGAGGATCGATAGGGTTCTCGAGCACATCCTTGTTCTCCGCGCGACCGAGCTCAGCGGCAAGATCGAGACCGGGGCCACTGATGGGCAAATTGGCCAGTGATTCGCCGCGTTGCTTCGGCGAGTGCGTAGAGCTGACGGGCCGCCGACTGTGCCGCGTACGAGAGCCTCCGAGAGCAGACTCCGAACCCTCTGCCTCGCCCAAACGCTCACCATCCTCGCTGAGCTGGTTGTCGTAGTCCGGATCGAGGGTCTCGTCCCTCTCGTCGGGATGTTCGCTGACGGTGCCGAGGTAGCTCCGGGAACCACTGCGCATGCTTGATCGGTCGCCATCCTCGTCGCGTTCCTCTGTGTCGAGGTCGCTCGAGCTCTCGCTGTCTTCGGACGCATTGCCCATGCGCATGACATTGAACTGTCCGCTCAGTGTCTTCTCGCGGAGCAAGATCATGTAGCTCTCGTTATCCTCTTGCAACGTCCTGTTGACGCGCTTAAGATCACTGAGCTGATGCTGGAGGAGCGACACGGTATTTTGCATGGAAGCGTAAGAACTCTCAAGGGTGGAGAGTTCCATACGTAGAGACGTCATCTCCGCAGGTTCCGAGTCTTCGTCCTCTTTCGCCGCGGCGGAAGTCACTTCGGGAGCCTGCTGCTCCTCGTCGGCCTCGTCCTCGGTATCGGTGACATCTACCAGTGAAGGCGAAGTTGGTGTGGGTGGTGGCTGGTTCTTCCGAGCCTGCATAAGAGACTGTATACGCGACTTGAGATGTGTCTCGTTATCGTAAAACGTCTGGCGCTCGGCCTCGAATGTGGAGGTCTGTGAACCGCATAGCATTGAGCGTGAGAAGCGTAAGGCGCAGGCCGAGCCACACACATACCTGCTCGTTATACCGCCGTGTGAGATCGCGTTTCTCCTTCTCAAGTTCCCGGACTTGCTGACGAAGCTTCTCGGCGACCTCGATGCGTGCAGACATTTCCTCTTCCATCCGGTTCTGCTCTGCGTAAAGCTCGGATAGACGGGACTCGGCCGCATTGAGCGCAGAGGACATGTGGTCGTTCTCCTGAGTGAGAGACGTGATTATCTGCTCCTTATCCTGCAACTGGACCAAAAGCTGCATAGCGACGGGCAAACATTAAGAACACGTCTTATCACCGCGTGCCACGATAGCCGCACCTGCTCTTTAGCGTCCGTCTCATGGCGCAATGCGAGAGCCAGTGATTCGCGAGTCTCGCCGGTTATTGCAGGGGGCGATGACGACTTTATAGAGCCTCGGCGCGATGCTGGGGAGAGATTGGATGGTACACGCGGACTAGCCGCGGCGCGCGCGGTAGCGCCCTTTGAGATGGAGGACGAGGGAGAATGAGTGGAACCAGAAGAGACGGAGGTGGACCTGCGCGGGGCAGGCGGGCGGCCGACGGCGGCGGCAGACATGATTCAAGTCGTGAAAGTATGGAACAAGAGCGTAAGAGGCAAGATGGGTGTGCTGGCGGCGGGCAGTGACCGCGCTATAGTCCCCGCGCTACCGCAGTACGACCGTTCGAGATGAACCGCGCGTGGCAACCGTGACGCGATCACATGTGCTCCTTGCCTTTCGCCCTCATGAACGACTTTTTGGCCGGCGTGCAATCCGAATCCCTCGAGCAGGCAAGTCCAAGGGACATGCGCGCTTGAACACGACTGACTTTTCTACAGCTGTTGAACGAAGTCCGCGCAAAGAGTAGGCGCCATCACATCCAACTGTCGCATCTCCGTGTGCTAACCGCCTTGCGGTGCAGCGGCCCCATTCGGCAATACAGGTGCATCTGCCCTAGATGATCTCTTACGACGTACTTCAGACTCTGGATCACCCTTGTCGTGTCTAGGCCGTGGGCATGTACTCGAGATCCAAGGTGGTCCGGCGTCTGGCAAAACTCATCTACTGTACCAGCTCGTCTCCACTTGTGTTCTTCCTGTAAACTCTGGCGGCTGGAATAAGGCTGCGATCGTGTATGACGCAGATCAGACGTTCGACATCAAGCGCTTGTATCAGCTCATGCGCCGTAGAGTTGAACGTCAATCCCGCAGCCAACGTGACGATATTGATGCACATGCCGTGGTTATGACCGCCCTTCGTAATCTACGCTTGTTCCCCGTGGCTTCCACCATTCAGCTTGCCGCCAGCATCAGCAGCCTTCCCACTTATCACGCACAATACCTCCCAACATCCGAAATAGCTCTTCTCGCCATAGACTCCATGTCGGCTTTTTATTGGCAAGACCGGTTCACAGGAGAGAAAAGGCGACCTCGTAATACAACCCGATCATATGGACACATGGACTCTGCAGATGGAAGTGCTTTACACCGAGTGCTCGTTGCACTCGAGAAGATACGCATCTCGCACGGCCCTGTCATCGTTATGACTAACTGGGGAATCCACGCGGACACTTCATCTCCGCTGTTCTATCGACAACACCTACCCGCGTTCCCTGAGCTCCCTCCTCAATCGGCCGGTGCTTATCCAACACTCACGCATTGCATCGCTTTGCATCGGAATATGCCTGTCAAACTGCCGTCCGGGTCACTGCCTGCTTCAATGGAGTCACGACAAGCAGATGAAAGACCACGGTCTCGGCCCGAGGTTAAAGGCTACGTTCTGTCTGCTGGCCGTCCACAGATCGGGTTCTTCACTATACATCTCAACTCGAGGCAGGTTTTCGAGATAGGCCAGAGGATGGAGGACGATGCCGATGTTGAGATGGAAGAGTACAGTCAAAATATAATTACATGATTGATTTCCGTTAGCACAGGTTGTAATGTATGCTGAGATACAACTGGAGCGAGTCGGGATATGCTATATATATGCGTACATAATTGTGTTGAGGAGGCGTTGGTAAGCACTGAGCAAGTGATCGTACAGTGAAGAAAAGCATGTTACAGGTGATGATGTTGCACAAGACACTCAGAAAGTAGATGTCCTAATCGTGGTAGTCGAGTCCTAGGGCAAGTGGAATGCGTGTTATGGGGAGGCACGGAAGATGGTGTCCAGCTCCTGTTTGTACATCTCCTCGGTCTTCTGGCGTTGAATGTTTCCCTTCGTTGCCGTGCGAGGTAGAGAACCATTCTCCACGATCACGATCATTCTCGAGTCGACGATTCGTTCGTGGAGATACCTGCGGGAGTGAAAGGCCCGCGTGCGGCGCAGAATCTCACGCTTCAACCTCTCTCCCATCCGCGCGCCCATCTCGGTAGCCTCTACGAAGAGCACCGGGGATGGCCGGCCCTGGCCCACCACAACACAGTCACGAACGAGGTTGTCGCAGGTCTCTAGAACGTTGTCTTGAATGGCCCTGTATGATTGTTAGATACCGCGACAATTGCAAATGACGTATTGTACGTACTTCGTGTCACAGCGCAGACTGTTCTCGCTCTTGATCCAGTCATCATTGCGGCCCATCGAAACGTACTTGCCCTTGTTCTCGATGAAGAGATCACCAGTGTGGAAGTGACCATCCTGAGACGAGCGCAAGGTCGGATCGGGGCAGTCGGGCGAGTTAGAGAGAATGATCAATTCGAGCAACTGTGCAGTGCTGGCTTGAGCGCCGCTTTCTGAGGCTGATGGTGCGGGCAATGGGCGAAACTCGTAGCAGGTTCCCGGAAGCGGCTCTAGGCGGCGGTCACCATCTCCCACTGAACGCAGCATCGCACCGATCTCTGTGCTTCCGAAGAGGTTCTGAAGCGAAGTTAACGGATGACTCTAGGAAGACATGGCCAGCGATACGTACCCGAAGTCTGACGCCATTCTGATATGCCCACTTCTCCTCCTCCACGGCCAGGGGAAGCCCAGAGTACAAGACCTCGTCAAAGCTCTGCATGATTGCGGCGACCTTAGGGTTCGAGCGCGCAACGACCAGATTGGTCGCCAAGAAGGTCGCAAACTGGTTGAGACGGTTGAGCCCGCACTTGTTGACCATCAAAGACAGTTCGTCCGCGTCAAACGCGATCTTGGATGGTTGAATCGTACAGGTACCGTGTTGCATGGCCCCGAGGAGCACTACAGAATGGAACGGTGAGTCAAGATGACGATACAATAAATCAAGGACACTCACTGAAGCTCTGTCCGATGTGGGAAATACTTCCCCTGAATGTGGACGTCAGATTACGGGTGGCGGTGCGTGTGGATCTAGGTTCACTCACATCCAGATCGTAACGTCGCGCTTCTCAGACGCCTTGATGGGCGTCATGATGTGCTCACACTTCTTGATGGCCGACGCTAACCAGGTGAAGCTACATGGGACGAGCTTCGGGCTTCCTGAGGTGGAGCCGCTGGTGTGGAAGATGAAGACCGGGTCGCTAGCCCGTACACCGGCATGAAGAAGAGGAAGGTCTTCCTCGGTGGGCACGGCACTGCCATAGTCGAGGGCTTCGTGGGTCGGGACCGGGCATCCGGCGAGTATGTCCTTGAAGGTCCGCTCGTAGATGAGGGCTCGAGCCTTGGCCTTTCCGAGCAGCTCATAGACCACCTTAGGGTTCGGCAGACGGACACTGAACAACTGTGGGATATAGCCCGCACGGGAGAGGCCGTATACATGCAGCACATCCGTGTAGGTCATTCCTGACAGCCTTCAATTCAAGTCAGCCGTGTTCTACTTCGTCGAGGGCAGCTTTAGACTCACCAAAGACCGACAACAGATCGTGGCGCAACTCCATCGGCCTTTAGTACGCGCAACCAATACCTTGCGAAGTCGTCTACATCCAGTTGGAAGCGCGCATACGAGACAGGCGTCCAGTTGGAGACTTGCCCCGACGGGTCGATGACAGGGAGCTGGAATGCGGAAGTGTCTTTGTATAGCGCTGCGCTTCGTTCGAGAACAGTGAGGTGAGTAGGAAGAGAGACGGCCATGAACGGACGAGTGGGATGAGGTAGAGCAAACCAGGCTACATGCTTTGCAGATCTTTTGTACCTCTGTGCGAAGTCCATCTATCCTTGCCATGGCTCTGCAACTACCCGGGCCCGGGTCCGTACAATGCATCCTACGTTTTGCATACATCGCATACAGAAAGCTACTACAAAGGTTTCGAGTCAGTCAGTCCCGCGTCGCAGCATCCCAAAGAGGGTTGGAACGCCACGTACTAGTATCATCCGTACCAGTGGCACTGTTCACATCACTATCCTTACACGGGAAACATTGAAATGGAGCGATCACTGTGTAGGATGAGGGGCTAACAAACATCAGGGTACGAAACGCCATGCCGCCGGCACAGCGTTTCGGGTGTGGGTCCAGTAGACTGTCGCGGAGTAATCTTCGTTGACCAGTGCGCGAGCTATGTCGTTCCAGACACCGACCTCACAAAGATGAAGAATGTACAAGTCCGATCATCCCGCCCTACAAGGATCCATATCGAGATGCTGACACTGTCCTGAACGGGAGATGATCTGGATCCAGGCTTGTTCGACAATCAACAAGGACAGTGTTTGACACGGGTAGATAGCGATGAAATGATCAAGTGCCGATAGCAATACATGTCCGCCACCACGGTAGCCCAACAGCCTGCATTGGCGATCAAATAAACTACCTTAGCGCCCACGTCGCCGGAATTACTGGCCCTACATAGACACGCAAGGATACGGTTCCTAGCCTGCTGTGACCGCGGTCACTGACGATTATTTGGCCGGTCGAAGAGTCAGAGGTAGGACTGTCGGTGGCGGCGGCGCGGCGTAAGACATGATCGGAGTAGGAACGTAGTCTATCGATACGTATCGATGGCGAGTACAACGAGATGGTGAGATGGTTGCCAGGTTCAGCCAGACACCTTGAATGAGTCAATAAACATACGAATGCGATGTGACATACGTACTTGACTTGCAGGCGCAGTGTGTCTCGAGCGGATACAATAGTAGTGTAGGGACCTTCATACGGGATCAGGACGTCAGATTGCGTACGAGGTTCATACTCGGAACGAGCGTGTTGTATTGAAAGTGCATACCTAGAGTCCTAGACAGGGGTCCATGCTCCAGTTGGAAGATGATTCCGAGGCAGCTTCGGATAAGTCGCGAGATGCACGCTACTGGTAGGCGAGCTAGCTCAGCCTTGATTGATTGCGATGAATGACGACGAAGGCGGCGTTGTCCATACACATGCGGTGCACAACCTGCTGAACGATACATCCACTACATGCGCTGACGATCGTGCCCAGGGCAGTCGGCTTCTGGTAGTGCGAATGTGTAGGTCCTAACCGCGGGGCCTTAGCGAATGCAGGGGCATTGTCTACAGTTATTACATGTGGTGGGGTGGCGCGGTTCTCATACTAGTGGTCCATACAGTTGTACAGCGCGATTGAAGGAAGTTGACCGGGGTATTATGGAGCCGGAGACGTGCGCTAGATTGTCTGATGAGCGCGAGAGGAGAGCCATATTCAACTCGTGCGTGGGATGGCTGTACGGCGAGGGCCGGTCCGGAGCCCGAGGGCACGTCGAGGCTTTCCTGTCCGCGCCTGTCCGCGCGCCGCGCTCAGCCATCGCGCTTGCACCCCGACGAGCCAATTTGTCGACGTGTTCTTGTCGCTCACTGCGACGTCTATCGGATGCTTGTCGCGTGCGCTGCATTCTTGCGAACGCAAACGACAGTACGTGTAATTTAATGTCATAGGCGTGTACTCCGTTGAAGTGTAGTCCCAGGACGAGGAACTGCGGTATTGAGCGGACTGTCAATGCTCAGGAGGGCTGGCAGAGGCTGCAAGCACCTTGCTCGGAACATATCTGCCAACAACACCGCTCTCAATCTTGCGCCTCAGACATGTCCGCCTCCCCACCTTCGCAAACATGCTATAGCCCCGAAGGCCGGTGTCCAAGTCGAGACGCAGGAGCAGACCACCTCACATACCGGGCCAGCACCCGGAGCTTCGGGGACACCAAACCGGATACGCGCCAAAGATTTTACTCGCATGCTAGCGCGTCCACCCGAGCCGTTCCTCGACTTCCTAGAAGAACCGTTCGAGGGCTTGTCAAGCCTCAAACTATTGAAACGTGTTCCTCGCATTCTCAAGACGCCTCAGGGTCGTATACGCCCGGAAGCGGTATTCAAGAACTCGCGTCAACTAGTCGATATGTGCGAGAAGCTTTTGGACACGCAGAAGCCGTCGCTGGCCCTTCGCGCCTTGTCAATCGCCCGGCACATCGGCGAAGCGCAACTGAACGATCGGCGGGTATGGGAGAGAATAGCTCACGCGATTGCATCACGAAACCTATGGGCGCTCATGCCCGACCTCCTCGCTCTCGCAAGGTCCAGCATGGGTACACCCACTGTACGGCTGCTGAACTGGTGGACGCGTTCCCTGCTCGAGGCATCCGACTACGCGACCCTACGCACTGTCCCTCGGATTTTCGCACAGGAATCACGTCGGCCGGACAGGACGACATACCATCTCATGCTCTCAGGATTCCTACGCAATCGCGACCTCGCCGCCGCCATGCACATACTCGAGCTCATACGGCTCGAGGGCATGTCTGTGGACGCAAAGACCCAAGCCGTCATAGCATCGTCGTATCGCTCTCTCGGCCCAGACGTGGATGTCAGGCACCAAGCCCTTCAAGCTCTCCGGTCTGGCAGCGCTTCCACGTCCACCACTATCTTGAACGCTTTACTGCAGTTGTCCGTCGACAACGAAGACGGCGAGTGGATTGGCATCATCCTCGAGTTGCTGGGGCTCGATCATATCGATATTTACCGCCAAGTGAACCCAACTGGTTCTTCTTTCCTCCCCGACGAAGACGACTTCCAGGACGAGGACATAACATTGTCCGCCCAGACCATCGAGGCCGTCACAACGTTTCGCATCACTCGCACGTCACTCCGCGTCGCACCGGACGTCGCGTCGTATACGATTTTGATGAACTTCGCGGCAGCTAGGAAGGACCTCGATTCGTTCATCTCTCTGTTTGCGCACATGCAGGGTCAAGGGATTCAGCCCGATAACATCCTTCTATGCTCTTTGCTGCGCGTACTCTTCGCCGTAGACAGACCCATAGCGGCGCTTCGCGTAGCTGCAGACATCTACGGCGAAAGCCCGACGGCGAAAGAGATTCTGCATTCACTGGCGGAAGACATCCCTGGGCACGAGAGCGAGGAGTTTCCCTTCATCGACGCGAAGCCGTCAGTAGCCGTCCTCAATACGCTAGCGTCGGGCTTATACAGGAGCCTCGGACTCTCTGGATTCGATCGCGTTCTTCAGGTCATGCACGCCTGTGATCTTTCCCCAGACGAACAGACTGTCGAGGTGCTAGCCGCGCGCTTGTTCGCGGATGAGAATGCCGATCCGGACATCATACTCGCCACGATTAGGCGTCTGATCTCCTCTTCTTCCGCCGCCACACTTCGGCACTGTGACGTGCTTCTCCAGGCTGTTGTTCGCCGGGCTAAGCGGGCGACGGGGTTGTCTGCGTGGATACCAAAGACAACTCGCGCACACCATGGGGCCTTGTCAGAGCGTCAGAACGTCAACATGGCAATTACGGCTACCGGAGATGCGCTGGAAGGACCCACCGCCGGCCTCACTCTCGCGAACCCCGCCGAATACGCCATGTTCAAGCCGATACAGGACGCACTTGCTGACCGCGGCATTCGCGCCGACAGGTCGATGCTCGCCCTTCGCCTCCAGTACGAAGGAGTGCGACAAAACATGTCCACAGCGAAGGCGATCTTTCAATCGATGCTCGATCATGGCCTATACCCGACGGCGCACCATTACGCTAGCCTCATGGACGGATATGCCTCAGTCCACGACGTCGAAAACGCGATAAAGGTCATGGAGGCCGCGGAGGAAGCCGGTATTGCTCCCAACGAGGTCATGTATACCATCCTCATCACCGCTTATGCACGCATGGGGGAGCCCGAGCTCGCTACTCGCACAATGACGGAGATGATCGAGCGTGGTATTCGCCCGGATGTGCCAGCCATTGACGCCGCTGTCAGCGCGTATGCTTATCTTGGACTTTGGCACTCCGCGCGGCGCGCCTTGCTTGGGCTCTGGCCGCAAGATCTGCCTGCGCCTGTAAACCCGGACAAGAAGACTGTCGTCAAGCTTATGCGGGAACTGCATGCGCTTCGCAAGGGACGACAGGCGTCTTCACGCAAATTCACTCAGCCGCAGCGAGCGCATCTGATTGGCCATCTTAGAGGAATAATCAAGAGAATGCTCTCGGAGGCGAAGCAGTCAAAGAAAGGTTCCCCGGCGCGGGCTGTTCTGAAGGAGCAGTAATTTTGTCGTAGTATCTGTTTGGGATAGTATACAGGATGACGACCTAGTGGTTCGAGAATGTGCGGACATGCAAGTATAGTAGCGATCGAATGTAATCCACAATCCTATTCCGCTTCAGACTGGGACATGGCCAGAGAGCGTGGGCGTAGTAATACAGTAATTCTAGGTCGCCGAACAAATATCTGGTGAGCTATAACATGCGTATGTAAGAATAATCATAACCGACTCCTCACGTCTGAGCGAACTGCGCATCCAACATCTCTAGCGCCTCGCGAACGCCGGCGGCCTGAACCTGCCGTGGCGCGCGGCGCTGAGCGCATGCTACCAACTCGTCGTGTGGCACAAGCCGGGGAGGGGGCGAACCACTGACCAGTCCGCGCTCCTGCCGCTGCTTGAAGAGTGCATGAGGGTCGGAGAGCAAGATGGCGTCGGAACTTTGTGGAACGCCTGCCGCTGGTGTATTGCTACGCTCTGGTGTGATGGAACCCAGCGCAGGCTCGATGACCACTGTAGGACCAGAGCACTTGGACCGACGAGCAACAACATCCGCAAGCAGCCTGAGATCGGCGAACTCAACATTGGGATGCGACTTGATTTGTCGCCACGCCTCGCTCGTCGGCATCGTCTCCTCCGTGTTCCCGAAGGTGACGGACGTCGAATTGGTCGGCGGTGCGCAGGCGCCGCCCCCACACAAAGCCGGGTTGCCGCAACAGAGCCGGACACCGGCGTCTGCCGCTGACTGGGAAGGTCCCGCCGTCCGGCTGGGGCAATCAGCGCATGGGCCCTGCGACGCGACGGCTTCGCCAACCGCAGTGCAAAAAGCACGGCCGAAGGCGTCGTCAGCGCAGGCGGGACAGTTAGAGGGGTCTCCTGAGCAGGCATCGCCTACAGCCCCGCGCCCGCTCCCACAGTCGCCACTGGTGGCCGGGACGACAGGAAAGAGGGACTTGGCAGGCGCCTTATCGGAACGGCGCCGGAGAGGGACCGCTGGTTGGAAGGCGGGCAGGTTGTCAAGGATACTGGGCTCGTCTGAGGGTGCGGGATCCAACGAGATGGTCTGCAGTGACGGTTCCACAGCCTCCACCTTGAATGTGGGACCTGAGGGAGCGTGGGATTGCATGGCAATCTCCCTGCACACGCATGGAGTGTTGTCAGAGCAGAATCCACAATCGAAGGTGTCCATCGGGACTGCGTTCTCGTAGACAGACGGGCGCGAAGACGAAGCAGAGAGCGAGAAGTCGAAGTCGAGATTCATAGTGTCCACGTAGATAGCATCCTGTTGGGGAATAGGATCGGGCGCCGGAGACGTATCCTGCTCGGACAGATTCGAGACGCTTGGAGAGTGGACGAGTGAAGGCGGATCGTAGAGAGAAAGAGTCAAAGCAGGATTGGACACTGTACTTGCAGGCGCGGAATCCTTCGCCGTCGTACGCTTCCTCTTGCGTGCAGGAGCCTCAGAACGGTCCGGGGAGCGTGAACGAGAACGCTTGAGCTCAGCGTCCTTGAGTGCGGCGGCCTTCGCGGCAAGTGCCGCATCTCGCTCCCGTTCAAGTTGAGCAATCCTGTCTTTCAGCTCCCTGTTCTCGGCGATCAGCGCGTCGTTCTCGTCCTTGACGCGCTTGGAGATCTGCTGCAAGGCCACATTGCGCTCGATCTCGCCTTGCTCGTATTGCTTGATGCGCTCCTGCAGCTCAGCGAGTTGAGACTGCTTGCGCTCGCGAAATGCGCGCTGTGCAGCTCTGGAATGCTTCTATTAAAACACTTCTACACGTTCAACGTACATATTAAACACACCTGTTCTGCACGCGACGACCGGCCGGGTCCACAGACTGTGCCGAAGTTAATATGCGAAGCATGGCAGGAAGTGGGGTCACATACAGAGCTCGGGGATGGCGCGTCGACGGGAGACGGTGCAGATGCAACTGCTTGTGAAGCGTCTTTCTTAGGCTTTCGACCAGGCTTGGGCTTTGGCGGTATAACCCACTCCTTGGAGGCTACGAGTTCGCTTGAGCTGCTGCTGCGCAGAAAAATAGATAGTAAAGATCAAACCTGTCGCCCAGAGTGTCGTCGTCGAATTGCCCGCAGGCGTGGGTGGCATAACCGACATGGCGGTGAGAGGACAAGACTGCGAACGCGCTCTTGGTGAGAGCGGGGGAGATGGGGCGCGGAAATCAAAATATCTAATCTCGCCCGTCTTATCTCGTGAGTCTGACGATCGGCCGTGCGCGGGAGGAACCGGATCTTCGGCCGTTCTGGCGCTCAGATCGCGGCCAAGCCGAGAAAGTGACCCGACGTTCTCTTGCAGAGCAAAAACGGCACAAGTGAAGGCTATACGGCTACAGGTAAGGATACATGCGGGCGCTGATGCGAGACTATCAATCTTCCACGACCTCCTCAATCTGCTCAATCACCTCCTCAGTCCAGATATCAACGACCTCACGCTCTGCCTCGGGTACCTCCTCCACACCCGCGGTGGCCTTAGCCGGGGCGCCAACCGCCCGTGCATCCTCCACGCAGCGCAGGCGCCATGCGTTCCACTCCTCGACCAAACGTTTCCGAAGAGCAATGAGCTCCGCGCTGACATTGCTCTCTTCCGCGGCATCCTCCTCCTCGAACGCACGACTGTAGTCGCGTAAGTTCTTACGGATCTGCTTCTTCTGCTCCTTGGTGAGCAGGGAAGGAGGCCGCGGCCGCCAGAGGAACTGTTTGAAGTGGTCGAGGAGGTTCTTTTGGATCTCTTGTCCACGGAAGTCCCAAATAGCGTAGCCGTTCTCGACCTATCACAGCCCTGGTGTGAGTACAGGGGCGACATCGAGGGAGAGATTTCACATACGCGATGGGTCCACGAGCTCGCTGCGGTGGCGAGGTAGCGACCAGACGGATCCCACTCCACATCCGTCACGCCGTAGTGGTCGGCGGTGGCGAGGTGCTGGATGTTCGCGCTCCAGTCAATATCCTTCTGACCCTCCCTGCGGTCATCCGAGTTGAAATCGAGATCCCAAAACTCGAGCTCCGACTTGGCCATGGAACCGACCGTGGCGAGAACTACGTGGCGGCCGCGCGGAGACCAGCGGATAGTGTTGGTCGTGCGACCGGCGAGCGTCTCTGTCGGCACCGTCAGTAAAAGCGTGGAAGCGTGAGACGCGAGGATACGCACTCAGCAATTTGAAGTCGTTCTTCGCACGATCGAGCATGTAAAAGCTAACGTCCGTCTTGATCGTGACGCCCTGGCCAGGATTACCCAGGTTCGGATCGCTACTGGACACGATGGCAAAGCGCTCGCCCTTGGGCTCCCAGGAAAAGTCAGTTACCGTGTCTGATGGGGTCCACGTATGAGAATTTATCGCACGCGCATTCAGGGGAAATACGCACCCTTTAGTTCGACGACCTCGACGGGGAAGTCCTTTTCACGCACGCGGAAGATCTCGAGGTTGCAGAAAATGGACTTCTTCGTCTTGGTATGGCGGTCGACCCTGACGCAAAGGAAGTCTCCTTGATTTTGCCAATACAGTTTACACTGCGCAACATGAGGTTAGCAATTGGCGCTGTGAATCGAGAGGCGGTGTTGTACCTCGGACACGTTGAAAAGGTTCTTTTGGCGAAGGATGGCTCGGCTTGGGAAATTGACAAGGGTTACACGCGCGGGCTGATTCGCCACCTCCGGGGTCCAGTACGCAAGCATATTCTCGCGGACCTTCTTCGCGCCCTTGCCTCCAGAGGATGCTTTCTCAGCCTCCTCGCGATCCTTCTCGCCAAGAGGGCACCATTCGAAATCAACGACACCCTCGATCTTCATGCTCTTCTTCCCCTGCAAACCCATCCCTGGCAATTCATAGATACTGATCTGCGAGCCGGGCGTCACACGTCCAACGTATTTGTCGTCCGGACTCCACTTCAACGCAGGCCAGGCCATCTGCTTTTTGCCCTCGGCACCCTCCGGAGGAGTAACAAGGAATGTGCGAAGGAGGTGGCCAGTCTTAACATCCCAAACAGCCGTGTTGTTGCCCTCGTCCTCGACGGAGAAGTTTGTGGGGCCTTGCGGCGAGGACTCCGTCACGACGATGGGCTCGTTTGACCAAGTGACAATATATTGTTCGTTGGGCGAGAAGTCGATCAAGCGGACCATAGGATGGAAAAAGCGACCCTGATGCTCGAAGGACGGGCCGCCCCATAGCCGAATACCCTGCCGGTGCACCGTGGCAAGATACGTCCCAAGCGGTGACCATGAAACGTACAGCTCCGTGCGAAGTGATTGCTATATTGATGTCAGTAAGAGCGCCCAGCGTCACGAAGATTGAAGAGCGCCTACGGGATTAGAAAAGGCGACCTCGCATTGTGAAGGCTTTCCGTGCCAGTTGATGGAGACTTCGTCAGCGCGGTAGGTAACGAACTGGTCGCGCCCAGCGGGGTCTGCGAGCCAAGCGCGAAGGTGCTCCTATATATACCGTGAGAAAATAATGATGTACAGCCATTCGTTTCACGTACCTTTGTATGGTACTCCTCGCGCTCCGGCTCCACGTATGTCTCGTCGAGGTCGGCGTAGCGCTCGATATCAGTGAAGCGGTTGATCTGGAAGGTGTGCTTGGCGTCGAAGGGATGGCCGTTCATAGCGTTCAAAGCGAATGTCGCGTCATCGGCGTTATGGAACTCAATGAAAACGTAGCTATCAAGAGTATAAGTATAATTAAGATAGACCATAATGGCAATAACGGCGCACCCATCGCTCTTGTTGGTTTTCTCGTTCCAGGGCACGGAGATATTCTCAGGCTTGATCGCGGCGCCCTTGCGAGTGAACTCCTTCGCGATCTTCGCAACCAGCCTCTCGAGCTTGCTTTGGTCGATGACGGGAACACCGTCAACGACGAGGATGTTGTCGAAGCCCTCCTCGAGTTTTACTTGGTATCTGCACAAAGTCTCAACGAATGCATCTTGATCGTAGGGAGAGAAAACGCACTTTTTCTCGATATCCGAGTAGTCAATACCCTCGTCTTCTACGCTTGTAGGGACTGGCATGGTGTCCGATGTACAAGCGGTAAGGTATGTTGCGGGGAAGACGGTAGTGGACAATGGAAAAGTTGACCAGTCGTCGGTGCCGACGCGTGCGACTCAGATCAGGCAAATGCCGAGCGTGCATTCCGGCGCGTAGCGCGCCTACTCCCCTTGCTTGCCACTGCCATTGGGTGTATCCCTGGCCTGCACGGGAACACTCATCAAAAGTGCCACTTGAGTACTCTGTCTTGGCGGTGCGAGTGGATGCGGCCTAGCACTCGTGTGCTACAACCGGATATCAACTGATAATAATACGTGGCCGGAGGCTCGAATCTCGATGCTCGACGATCAGGCTGCTTCCAGGAGCCGCGTTCTTCCGGAGTCTCATGAGCCCGCAATATACACTATAGTGCGTCGCGACTTCAACAATCGTCTTGTCTGTGCTCCGTATATGTTGGCGAGACTTCAACCAACGTTCCATACCCTGCTCTATATTTGGCCGGCCGTCAACAAATGATGAGGCACATATTCTGAAGATCAGGCACGCTGAAGACTTGCCATGCAGAAAAATTGACTGAGTCTCGTGTTCCGGAACGGATGCCTCGTCGAGAAATGTGCTGAGATTTGGATTTGCGACAGCGCTCTGAGAAGAATTCGGGTGCCATCATTGTTGTTTAGCGCCGTCTATCAAGCTTCATCACGCACACCAGCGCTCCTCGTTATAATGTACCAGATGAGTCAGCTGGGACTCCCTGCTGGTCATTCAAGGTTTCCAGGTTACTTTGAAGCTGTCCGGTACAACCATGGCGCCGTATATCAATTATGCACGAACGTGCATCGGGGATGTACCCTAAGGAGAACGGCTCTCTCACCAAGAGCGTTTCTGAGTTGCTGCCTCGCTGGCCGGTTCTGGCACTTTTGAATCGAGACGCTCAGAGATATGACATGTAGGCCCGCGTTTTTGCGGTCGTGTGCGCACTTTGGCAGTTCAACCTCGTCGAAGGTGATTGTGTCAAGGCAAGACACTTCGTTCATCAAGTAAAACGGCCCCTAAGCTGATTACCGAGCCTTTCTTCACCGCCACCTCGACGCTGAGCATCTACCAGGACATACACAGATACCCTCGAGCTAACACGAGTCGCGATGCCTCAGTCCCGCAGCCGGCGATCTTATCTTCCATTCGGACACGGAGCAAATGGGGCCGCACGTGCGCACACGCATATTGATCGCAAAGATGCAACTGCTTCTCCTGCCCTGGCACGCGCCTAAAGAACACTCTGACGCTGTGTGGTACTTAAGGAAGCTGGTGCTCGATGTGGCACTTCGACCGTTCCTCCGGCTCCCCTCCGTAATCGCCGGTCTACCCGAGCTCCCTTGCGCGCTCGTCTACCGTCATGTCCGCCCCGATGCACGATGTGCAAACCGAGAAGGAGGTTCCGGAGCTCACAACTGCCGCTCCTGCCCCAGTCAAGCGTACAAGGGTGGAGATCATGAGCTCCTACTTTACGATCGCGGCTGCCGCTGCTGGCCTGATCAGCGACGGTTGTAAGTACTCTTATCGCGCGTGGTTGGCCTCTTCTTAAACTGATCTTCTAGACCAAAACAACATCATGACCCTATCAAACGTGCGCATCTACGGTACAGTACTTCACCGCAGGTGCTCAAATTGGAGATAGGTTGTATTCAAGAAGCTTTACCCGACTTACTACGTGAGCGATGTCTCCACTCGCGTCTCGAATTCGCTCCTTGTCGGTGAGTGATGGCCAATACATGCGCGGATCTAAGCGGAGCTGATACCATGATGTGAAGGTGCTATTCTCGGCCAGGTATGCAGACCACAATCATAATGCATCTTAAAGTACTGACATTGCGTAGATTATCGTTGGCTTGATGACGGACCGTCTCGGACGCAAGGTGCGCCTCCATGCTTGAGTTCGCGCACCCGGAGTCATTCTGAACATTGGCCCTAGTTTGCCCTGATCTTCACCACAATGCTGATTGTCATTGGCGCCCTTCTTGGTACGGTGGCGCACGGTGCGCACGGTAGTGTGGCAGGTCTCTTCTGGTTCCTGACGATCGCTCGCGGTATCACCGGTCTTGTGCGTTCAGTGTCTACACGGCTTGAGAGCGTGTCGGGAGACTCACTGACTTCGTTCCAGGGTGTTGGAGGCGAGTATCCTGCATCTTCGACCAGCGCTAGCGAGGCTGCGAACGAGAACAACTACAAGACGCGCGGTCCTGTGTACATCATGGTCACGAACTTCGTCCTTTCGGTTAGTGAACTATATCTGTACCGCAACATGCGAGCTGATAGGCACCAGTTTGGTGGTCCACTAGCCTCTTGTGTATACCTTATCGTCTTGTCCGCCGCTGGAGAAGACCATCTACCGACCGTCTGGCGTACCTGTTTCGGGATCGGCATCGTCCTCCCGCTGACAGTCTTGATCTTCCGTCTGAGAATGATCAGCTCAAGGCTCTATCGCGACAGTGCGATCAAGAGTGAGCATCCTGAAGTACTCTTCAACTCGTGAGCTGACTTCGCATGCATAGATAACGTTCCATACGGGCTGGTTATCAAGTACTACTGGAAGACCCTCATTGGTACCTGTGGCGCGTGGTTCCTTTACGACTTCGTGAGAACCTCGCCGGCTCGTTCGTTGATATACTCATTCCATCTCCCATTCTAGGTTACTTTCCCGAACGGTGTCTTCTCAGGTGTTATCATCTCCAGTGTGGTCGATGACACCACCGTCAAGACCACCGCCGAATGGCAACTCCTGCTCAGGTGAGTTTATCCGGCACACGCGACGTAGCATTGCGAGCTCAAGATCCGCTCTAGTACCATCGCGCTCCCTG